GCTGTTCTCTCCCAACCCTAATTCGTCATCAAATTTGGAACCTGTCTCATAATAGTAGAAAAAATTCATACAATACCTACCACTAGGTAGACAACATAATGATTGAAACACAACTACTCTCATCCTGAACAACATTTTGTAACTTTTTAACTTTAACTACCTTTTCCCAATGCCATAAACCAGTCTCCTGAAACACAAAACATAGCTCTGACCGAAAAGTACCTAGAAGCCCACGGGCTCTTGGAAAGCTGTGATTGCGGTACATATGTGCGTATTTTGTATTGACAAATAATTTCTCTCTTAATATAATATAGGGTCAAAATATTGGTATATGCAAGCAGGGGATGAACAATAATAGATTGACTAGCTCTCTAAGTGGATGTTGAATGCCCAGGCAGAAATGACATAAAGTAAAGATCAAACATGCATCTTCTTGCTCTCACACCACCTTACTTGATAATGCAAGCGATGCTCCTTCTCTTATTGTAGCCTCAGCAGTGATCCGTGTAAGGTCACATCACATCCTTCACTCCTCCTATTTTCAAGCCTGGGGAAGTTTGCGAGCGGCGACACAATCCTCCGCACTCTTGTAAACGCTGTATTCCGGCGCCAATTCACAGAAACTCTCACTTCCTAAACATACTTCTTCTTCTTTGCTAGTACAAGAAGGCGATCGGTAGCGCGGGACTGGTTTCCAATCGAGCTTCTGACTCCCACTCAGCTTTGGCGCTCGAGCTTGAACGCACCACTCTATGTTCTAGGGCTCACACAATGAGTATAGTAGTTGGTAGAAATCTCCAAAGTCATTACAGCAATATTCTATTCCAACACAATCCTCATACGTCCCATTCATGTTAAGAGCGCATTTACCTCCTTTTTTCCAGGGGGATAGTTTTCGAACAGAGTCCTAAAAGTAGATCAGAGTCCTTTATCAGCCAAACAGGATTTGTCTAAATTGTAGCAACAATTGTTAGGTACAGACCTGTTGAGCAGGTCCATTTTCAGGTTGAACAGAGTGCCCAAGTTGAGCAGGTTGATATTCTGACATAGGTTGTTCTGGCCGTTATTCAGGTTTAGGCTAATGGTCATTGGAGCATTCCTCGGGGGATGTATAAGAACCGGCTCATATTTTTCAGAATACTTTCTAGAGCAATAGTACTCGGTTCCAGCACACTTCTCAAAAACTCTATCTGGGCTTAGATTGTAACGAGCAGCTTTGTGCCATGGAAGCTTGCCATTCTCGCCCTAGAAGTCAAACCGTGAGCAGTCGTGATAGAATAAGGGAATCTAGGCTTACTCTTGGCCGGGGTTTGTAGTCATTAACGCATTCCTGTGCACTACCATAGGCATCCTGGTAATTAGTATAGCAATATACCTGAGTCCCCATGCAAGCAGACTGGGGCACATTTGCGCCATCCTGGTCTATATGACATGGAGAGCTCCAGGGCTCCAGCTTGTCCTTTTCCCATTGCTAGAATAGAGGGTATATAATACATATTAGGTCAAAGATGCTACCCACCTTCTTATACTGGGAAATGCATGGGTTGTTTGTTTGGGTTGAAGACCCCTAGTGGCAACCAAGGTTACTCGACTCGATGGCTTTCACTGATATGAGCATGTGGAAAGCACTCACTGGGATTGTTGAGGTTGTGCAAGTTGAGCAGGCCCGTATCCAAATTGGTCAAATCGTGCAAGTCCCGAAAGGAACGGGTCGGGACTGTATAGGCCCTGGTGATGCATGAGCAAGGTTACTCGAGCTCGAGGGATCTAACTGATATAAGCATGCGTAAAGCACTTACCTGGTCCTGTTATGGCAAAGCCAACGCCGTGGCAGGACGAAGAGCAAGGAGAGCGTGCATTATGAATCTCTAAGTTGTAAGCATAACAATAAAATAGTTGAGTATTTTAAGTCCACGGAGGCAGAATCACTGGCTTTATATGTTTTTTGAAGCACATTGGAGGACTTGTATCAGATCTCGACTGGATGGCAAATCTGCGTATTATGAAATATTAACGCTGCCCTCAAGTGTGAAGATTGTAGTCTAGGCTTAAGAGGGCCTATTCAAACGCAAGAGCACAGCGGAGGAGCTTTTGACCAATAGTCACTTATCTAATCCTTAGGATATATTTTTTTTGTTCTATCTTATTCTGGAACAATTCAAATAATGATAGGGGAATCTGTACCAAGGCTTAGCCAACTTTCTGCATTCATGCCAGGAATCAGTCTACCATCTATTTCATTCTTCCAGATGCTTTAATATGGAATGCAATATTTTCTTTCTGTATTTTTTTCTCCAGTATGCTAGACCTGCTGTTGGTAGAACAACACCACCCACCACTAGTACCGTATACTAGTGTGTTGCTAGCAATCTGTCGCCTACCTCACATGAACTGTACCAGACCTACTGTGGACTCCGAATTGTGGATGAAGTATGTGTCTTCACCCTTGGCTGCAAATCCACCCCTGGATGTATTCTGTCATAGTTAGAGGCAATAATTGTTCAGAAGATGTTTTGCCAAGCATCTTGCTGCTTAACTTAGTTGTAGCTATTAAACTTCTTTACTCTGCAGGATATCTGATCGAACTGAGTCTCCACAGTGAAATATTGCAAGGATTTATTCCAAAGAAAAGTAAAATAAAATAAAATAAAAAAAAAATTACATAATTTTAGAAATCTTGCAGTGGCGCCTGGAAAGGCCAGCTTCTTCGGACTCTACTATCTGAATAACCTGAAGTAGCTGTTTCTTGATGCCTCCTGTGTTTACACGATAGTAGTTAACTAATAATCAGACCGCACACCTTCCAGGACCGGCATCGCTATGTCCCCTGTATAAGTTTCTATTATCCAGTTGCCATTGTTCAGCGCTCTACATGAAACTACATGTACCTTGCAATACAACGAGGGTGATATCGAATGTAGTATATTTTATGCAAAATAAACAACAAGAATATCCGAAAAATTGTCTAGATTATACCACTCTACCTTAAGGACAGTGTCAGAGATATCTACTAGTCAGGGTAGAAGACCTGCCAACTAGGTAAGCATACGCAGGCTAAGGGGAATAAACAGATCAAAGGCAGGCACTAGATACTATTGAGACAGGAGACAGATTCTTGACCCCTTGATACTACTAACGGTTCGTCATTGTATAGCCGAAGACTCCACGCTTGAAGGATACAGAATCCCCATTGAGAACCTAACTATTGTATGGCCTGGAATTCCTCATCGGTGGCCCTTTGGGAGCTGATTTGTCCAGTATGGTCATCAGGCCGAACCGCTATCCAATCTGTGACAGACTGCCTTGGCCTGACCTTCCTTTTCATGCCCCTTCACAAAACATCTTGACTACCTTGACTAATTAAGGTTCGCAACTGTTGTTACACTTGCCTTCTATAAGATCTCCTGCATCTTGTCCCTCAATCCCTTCCAGCTTTTAAGGGTTGGATCTAGGCTGGTACGTTGCATTGATATAACCCGAATTAAACCACATATGTTTAATGGGGTTTAGGTTGGCCACCATAGAGGAAGGCAGAAGGTATCATCGGCTACAGTCAGTCTACAGGCCACCCTTAAACTCAGGAGGCTTATGAGGTGGCGGTGAAGTATAAGCAAAGATAAGAACCCCCACTGAAAAAGCAGGCGTCGCCGAGAATTGGTTGAACAGCGTCAAATTCGAAAGCTAGACTCGGTTCTTTCTAACACTCACCCCCTCCATCTCAGATACCTTTTATTAACAAGATTATGGCTTTGACTATTTAGGATATGAAATTAAAAAGGTGTTTATTCTTCTATAGAATCACTAATTTCTCACATATCTAATCAAGATAGGTATTTGTGTTTCTAGCGTTACTATGTTCAGGGTCCTACTTGAAGGGTTACATTCGATAGTTCCTATATCGGCCACCATTCCGGTACCCTTTCGCTCTGCCTTCCTGAACTCCCAAAGCGAACTCTTCCACGAGCTACGGAATAAATGGCTGTTGTTGATTCTTTCGCTGCTTCCTTGATCGTTTAGCCGTTTAATTGGTTCGTTCATAACCTCACGAATACCTTCCTCTGGGTTGATATCGCAAGAGTTTGTTTATAATTTCCAATTCTGCACGGTATAGTTATCTTTTGCCTTTTTTGAAAAAAGAAAATCTATATTTCTTTTCTTCTTAATACCCTATCCTTATTAACTATCTACTTTACAGAGTTCCTTGCCCTTATCATACTAGATATATATATATATACAGCACTTGAGCTTTGACCATATAGAAAATTGTTTTCTAGACATTAACTATGCCTTTGTTATATTGTATATTTTGGACATATGAGGGATGATACGAAGCTCAAACAATATGACATTGGTCGCTTAAACCTAGAACACTAAAGGTGGGGAGGAAAGAAGAAGTAACACAGGTGGTGTACGCTGGCTGCTCTGTATACCAACACGCGTCTCGTTACCGACCAATCAGAGCTCAGCGAATCTAGTAACTCTCAAAGCCGTCACAAGCAATACAGAATACCGATGGTGTTTATAACGGCTATAACTACCTAGATACTTATTCTATGCTCAGCACCACGTTACCGCTCAGCTGTAGGGCAAGACTTTTGCATCTTTCCTGACTGGAATTAATTCTATGCTAATTATAGCTACCGTACAAGGTTTAGGGAATCGCGATTCTAGTATACAAGCTTTCTTTGTATAATCCGCAGAAATTTATTTTTGTTCTCCAATGTGGAGTTCTAACTTTAATTTTACATAAGTTAATTTTAAAAGAAATATAGCTATATTTCAAAGTTCAAGAAGTACAGTAGATCTTATAGAAATCTCAAAAAAGGAGCTGTTAAGGAAGCGGTAAGAACTTCAAAATTTGGTATTGCGTGCGGAGTGGCCGTTATGGCCTGCCGTACACGTCCACGACCATGCCAAAAACGGAATGGCGCCAAACCACCTCAATCATCACTTTTATCGGATATGAACATCCTTGACTTGTCCCAGCCATTTGCTCCATGATGAGTGCACCGAATGATAATTATACTATACACAAAGTCTCGCTGAAGCGTACACGACAGGCCTGTGGCCCTTGTCGGTAGGTACTCACAATCCCCTAACCCGGGAAGGATGCACAATCGTCTTTGGATATTCATAGATTGAATCGGAAGATACCACTTTATTGAGAAAGAATTGAAATAGAACGCTGACGGCTTGCTATCTCGCAGACGGAAGAAGGCGCGCTGCCCTGGCGAGAAGCCAGTATGTTCGCTGTGCCAAAGGCTCGGCCAGCGCTGCTCATATGGTTCGCAGGCTGCGCCGAGTCGTGCTGCCGCCAATAGAGCTTCACCTATCAATGGCGAGGAACGCGGGCCAAGAGAGCCCGGAGAGGTATGCATTGTCTTAAAAACCCTGCGCCTCAGGCGCTTTCCGTATTTTTTATGAAGATGACAGTTTCATTTATGGTTTACCAGGCAAACCTGTCGAGCTCGCAGCGGTTCGAGCGTATCGAGGACAGATTAGATAAGATGGCAAACATTCTCCAGTAGGTCCATCGTAGGGTTTTATCCCTTGCGCCTTCGATAGGCAGATATCTCTGACTCTTTCCCACTTTTTGCTCACAGGGAATGTTTGCTGAAAGCTACTCCACTGACTGGGGTAGCGGGCGAGAATCCGGTTTCATCTCATAGCTATGGCGCTCGGGGCATGGGAGATTCTCCAGTAGCTTTCAGTTTCCAAAACGGGGAACGGACATATTCTCGAGGGTATGTGCTTTATTGTTTTCTTTACACCAACAATGGAAAGCCAACGGAATAACACCGACAAGGTCTTCGCTTCCCCCAAACTTTGTCAAATCCGAAGTAGAAGTTTATCTCGCCCATTTCCACGACCAGCCTTATTGTGTCTTTTCGAAGGAATGGCTTCTGAGCCGGGACTTGTCACTATCCCCGGAAATCGCATTCCCGTTAGTGGCTCTTACTTCTCGTATCTCGCGCCGCTCGCCTGGACCTACAGGAAGCGATATACTTCCGACGAAGTATTACGCCAGCAAAGCCTGGGATATCCTGTCACAGAAGTACAAGAGCGGGAAATTGGGTCTTTCCTTCTTACAGGGTACATTTCTTATGGCTCAGGTGGATTTCGCCGACGGCCAGTCGCATCGAGGATATTCGTCCGTTGCGCTGGGTCTGCGAACGATCCAGTCTGCAGGCCTAAATAAGGACAAATACACATCATCTCTAACTATCCCTGAAGCAGAAGAAAGAAGACGCATCACCTGGGCTTTCTTTATGTTGGACCGCAGTTACAATGCATCTCGAGACTACTCCCTGTGTCTTTCAGATAAACACTTTACCATTCTCTTCCCAGCACCGGACACGCCGGCCTCATTGGCTGGCGAAGTATCACTGGCTGGTGGGATGCTCCATGACGGACCCGGTAAACACGGAGAAAAGGTTGACCATGGTATCTTGGCCTGTCTGCTGCGGCTATACTCGATCTGGGGGAAAGTGACCGAGTATGTCTTTGAGCCGTTCGACAAGGATGCGTTACCGCCGTGGCGTTCCGGATCAGCGCTGGCCGCTCTAGAGTCAGACTGGATGCAGTTTGAAACTCATTTCGCAGATACACATCGTTACCGAAGTGTTGACTTTCGACGCCGTGCTCGTGAAGAACCGCATTCTCGTTCGTATTTGTGCTCCTGGCTCTGTGTCCAGTTCTTATTCCATTCCGTTCAATGTTTGCTGCACCATCCGTTCGTGAACATGGTGAAGCTCCGCCGGATCGACGGAAACATACCCGCAACATTCCTGCAAAAGTCATATGAGAGCTCTCTTATCCACTCGAGATGGATCGCGCGATTTATCCGTGAGATGTCGGAGGTTGACATTCGACTCTATGACCCATTCATCGGCTATCTTTGTGCCATTGCGGCCACCATCCAGCTTGAGAATACCGCCAGCAAAAACCGGCATATCGCGCAGCTGGGGAATAGCGATTTCCAAATCCTGATTGATTACATGACGGACTTGTCCGCGCACTGGGATAATATTGGTGTCCTAGTATGTTAGACACGTTCGGAGTTGTGACTGTCTGCTAATATTGCTCCTCCAGGTCAGCCGGGTGAACAAACTGGCTTCAAGACAGAAGAGTTACAAATCTCTATATTATAGCCAGGACGTATTTTCCGGAGAGCTGTCCCGCATGCCGACCCCGTCTAATATACCAAGAATGTCGGAGGCGGATGAAGCGCTGATGTGGAATATCCTTGACTTTAGTTCGTCATCTACGCCTACCGAGGCGATACAGCTCGGAGACCTGGTCCCATCACCTTATCAGCGGATGGGAACGATCAGCCCAAACTTCCCAGACCAGTCCCTGATTTCGGCAGGGCCGGACGCCGTCCCCCGTCGAAACTCAGAGCAAGGGGATTTAACCGCTCAGCAGCCTCCTTCGCAGGGCTTATTGACTCTCAACGGGCAGGATGCAGGGTCGGTCGGCGTCGACCCCATATCACAGTGGCCCTTTTCCGATAGAACTGATAACGGTGGATTTGACGCAGCAATCCCTGGTCTGCCCGATTGGATGATCTTTGGAGATTATGTAGCGGAGCAGCTGTGAGCTTTTCCCAACAAGGAAAAGGATACGATCTGCACTTACTATACCGGCATGATGATGACGACGTTTGAACAATTGAATGACTTACGATAAATTCAGGAAAATCAGGACCGGTGAAAAAGGGTGGTTTAAAATGTATATACATGCTCGTTTCTAATAGTCTAGTGCCGTCGCAACCGGCGATAGCACGCCCTCCCAATCAAAGCTGTTCCTCTTCAGCAAAAAAAGTGATTAGATTCATCTCACATTACGGACACCCATTTGCGGGTCAGTGGGTATATGTGTTTGAAAAGGAAAATGCTTAAAGCTTGCTCTGCCTTGTGGAAGCAGCCGTCAAGGCACTGGTGAATCGGTCGCGTTCTTGGGACGTCAGTTCTCTCCTCTCCGGGCCGCCACGACTTCCATCTCCCTTGAAGACGTCGCCCCGGAAGCGATCCTTGTACTCGGTAGGGAACTTCCACTTCTGCAACAAGTCTTGGGAAAGCTTGCCTTCGAAGCACCCAACGATGTACTTTCCGATCACGGGCAAGAATTTGAACGCACTGTTTTCCGAGTCAGTCCGGGCTGTTCTCTTCATGATGGTGGGGTCTGGCTCCTTACTGTCCGCTACCACCCGTCGCGATGAACAGGTTCTTGTGATCCGGGTGATAGTCCATAATGAAATCACCGGTTGGGGTATCGTTGTACCAGCACAGGGCTACACGTTCGAACCCCTTGGGCTCGAGCTCCGGGAAGAGATCCTTCATGCCAAGGTGCAGACGTTTGACGGCCTCGTCTGGGATGAAGTTGGCGCGGGAAGACGGCGGAGCAGCTGGGGGCGCGGAAATGCCGTCCTCGGATGAGTGAGTATAGCCATAGCTGTGGACGGCGACCTTCAGGATATTGGTTCCGTCATGGGGAGGGAAGCAGAAGAACCCCGTGGAGAGATTGAAGTAGACGGGCATATTCTTTAGCCGGATCATCTCCTCCGGGGTGAGCCGCATATATCCGACAATCTGAGCGGCGGCAATCATGGAATTCCAGGACGGGACGAGACTGGCGGTCCAGGCACCGGTCGCGGCGATGAACTTGTCGGCGGCGATGCGGTTGCCACTGCTCGTGCGGACGGCTTCGATCGTGCCATCAGCCCTCTTCTCGAAATCAGTCACCTGGCCATCGGGGCCCGTGATGAATGACACGCCCGCCGCGATACACCGGGCAGCCACACGAGCAGACGCCAGACCTGCATCGGCCCATCCGCCCGAGTTGTTGAAAAAGGAATAGAAGCCAGGAGTTCCGAGCGAGCCAGTGAGTTCGGGGAATTCCCTCTTAGCGTCTTCCACCGTGGGGACCGCATGCCAGGGCTCACCCATCTTGGTCAGAATCTCTCGGGTCTTGCGACTGTACTCCTCCGCAGCAGGCTGAACGGGCTGTCCGGGGGTGTCCTTCTGCGTGACCCAGAGGCATCCAGATTGATGGAAGGCTTCTTTGTAAGCAGGTGTCTTCCACAGATCGAAGGCCTCCTTGCCCATGCGGGCGTATACCTCATCTCCATAGTCGAAACGAATCACCCGGGAAATGTCATTACTGGAACCGTCGGGGACAGGAGGCATCGCTCGGTCGAGAACGGTCACATAGCGATAACCCTCTTCCTTCAACCTCAGCGCGGTGCCCAGGCCAAAGATGCCCGCTCCGATGATGACAATGCGTTCGTTTTTACTAGTCATGGCGTGGGTATATTAGTGTGTGAAAAGGTGTTGATCTGAATCACTGTTTTAGACATGATGAGACACCGTGATCCAATTCCTTTTATAAGATATGGTTCCCCAGACCCCGTATCAGATTATCCGTGCTGCACGGACCGTGGGCGGAAAACGGTGAGGGGCATTTTACCCCGATTGGAGAGACCGAAACCAAGGTTAAGAGAAAAGAGCCAAGAGAATTCGCCGTTTCCGAGTTATTGAACCGTTTCTCCATGCACGGTCCGTGTACGGTCCGTCTTTTCGTTTGCCGACCTATCTCGCGTTATCTGGGGTAGAAATCCCTTGAATAGACGATCTCTGATAGGCTGGTATCGCTTCTCTCCAAATCCGGCAAAAGAATCCTGTTCCGAACCGTTGGTCTGGATGCACTGGACCCGTGTCGTCCCTTCATTAAGAAACGGTTTGTTCCGCGTGCCCTATCGACCTATATCTCTATCTAGTCTAGATTCCATGCAGCAGTACTCCATAACATGGCTTAATTCTGCGCTATCTGCTGGAATTACGCCCCTAATATGGTTAAAGTGTGGTTCAGTGCAGGACTCCCTCACCCCCCTTGATATCGCGACTGCCACGGTTGCCACAGGAAAGACCTCGAGTATTCGCTATCAAGAAATACGACCATGGGGACGCCCTGTACGGGTTGTGGTGGATTGCTATCTTTGAGGTTATCTTTCCGAAGTCAAAGTGGCACATCTACCGTGGTCCGTCCTTGGTTAACGCGAAAGGGGCGGAGGATAGGGCAAGCTGATGCGAGAATCTCAATCACAATAACAAGTCCTATGAATGTCGTCGAAGAGAAGACCAAAGCCATTATTTCCTTTCCGCGATAGCCAACAAATGATCCGCGTTACCTAGTAGCCCTTCGTCCTCAGCAAACTGCATAACGACATCCACCCATCGCTCATACGAGCCCGGCGATAGATCCCCCAGCCTCCCAGCCAGTCCTCCCCCGAGAAACCCTTCACACGCCAGAATTCGAGTAAGAGCAAGCCCGACGTTTTCCCGCGTCCTCAGCTGCCCATCTGCCTTGTGAAACAAACCCCTGATCCCCTCGGCACTGGTATGGTGCGAAGTCATGGTTGGATTCCGCGTGTATTTTCCCGAAGAGAGGTACTCTCGATAGAAACTGTCGAACTCCTCCGCGAGACGAGCCGGCTCTCGCTGTGCGATATCCCTCAAATGCGCGTATCGAGTGACAAACGCGACCGCTAGGATACCGCCGGGACGGAGCATGGAGGCACAAGCACATAGGACGTGTAAACGTTCAGATTCTTCGAGGAGGTGGTACATTGGGCCCTGGCAGAGAATCAAATCGTAGGCGGATGTGATGAAGATGCTCTGAGGGTTGTCCTCCTTGGAGCCCACTTGAATGCTTCGTGCATCGGCTGTGACGATCGCCTCGAGCGTTACACCAAATTCTGTGGCGAGGGACTTGGCCAGATTAAGCTCCGACTCGGAGATGTCGGTGAGAGTGACCGAATGGCCTCTCCGTGCCAGTTCGACTGCTGATATTGTGGAAGAATTTTTGGTGAGCATGGACTGGCTTAGGATTGCCGTACTTAAAACATGCACGGTAAGGGGGAATAGAGTCCAGGAGTAGGAGAAGTTATTCGCATAGGATTTCCTTACCATATCGACCTGTTCCTCCCCCTACATCGAGAATCCTCAACGGTCGTTGCTCTCCCAGTAGCTCCACACACTGATGGATCGCTTTCAGCGAGATTGAGAATTCGAGGCGACAATTATTCAACCGATCGTGTTCAAGTGCCGCATTTCGGTTGTACCAGTCCGCTACAATTTGTGTGTCAGTCATTTTGCAGTCTATACCGGGCTACGATGGATTGGAATATAGAGAATAAAAGAAGGATTTGTATCTGCTGAACCACATTGTCCGTCTTGTCTCTTTCTTAAGTATAGTTGTCAGCCCTTGGAGAAGGATCGGCTCTTTTCCGAGTCAGGGCTTCTCGTATTCGCTCCGGCCACTTCCCGTCTAATTAAATGCCTCATTACAGTCAATAGGATAGATGTGCCCTGCAGCCCCCACCGGGGCGTCGCGAAGGTTGCCTCGGACGTTACATCTGATGCTTGACGGATCAGGTCCATCAAGCCTCCCGTTCTCGTCGATAATCTCCAAGTAACACACCCCGTCTCGCTGACGCTCGGTGATTTACGGTAACCATCTATAGAAAGCATACTATAGGTCAAAGGAGTCAGTCATTGTTTGGTAAACACTCGATTGCACTATGTACATACAGTACGAGGCTATTCTGACCTCCCTATGCACCCTCAATTGCACGGCCACTGCTCAATCCGAGGCTTGCTCTGCTATTGAATTATGAAGGGAGATGGTGGTACAACCTAGCCCGATCACCTGCAATGAAGCCCTATCGGAGGTAGTATGCCTAGAATGGTATCTAAGACAGTTCCCCCCCCAGCAAAACATGGTTCAATGGATCCAATCATGCGGAGATCTGATAAGATTCCTCTGATAGACGTTATTTTATCTTTGCCTATCGCAACCTTCGCCAGATGGCCCCCGAAGGATCCGATTGGTATTCCGGATCCACTTGGACGCTCCGGTGTACCCCATAATTTCCAGCGTCTCTCCCTCTCAGCCAATCAATCGAACTTCCCAAGGGGCTATCAGATCGGAGGCCCAGCTGGCCCCTCGAAAAGCGTCCACAACTGTCAGGAAAGGTGGGTGTGGGTGAAATCAACCCTAAACGTAAGCAGAATCCATCAGGAGACTTTTCTTTCTCTCTCTCTCTCTGTTTTCCAGTTTAAGACCTATTTCTTTTCTTTTTTTGACAAGAAGATCAACCGTCTCTACAGTCTACACCATCCTCTCTATTTCGAAGTGTACTATCTTTCTTGAACGGGTTTTTGCGCAGCGATGCGAAATCGGAGTACGAGAAGCGCGAGCGATGATGAGCGTCAGCCCTTGTGGGCAGGACCAGATCAATTGGAGGACCGCGGCAATACAGGCTCTAGCAATAATCGTCATCTTGGCCTATCCTCAACGGCCTTACTTCTGTAGGCAATAGACGGTTCTCTTTACTAGTTGTCAATCAAAGATAGGGACTGAGTGCGATATAGGACTAACCGCATGATCGGCGCCGCCATCTTCTCCGTACCGTCATCTATTTTTCTCAGCGTTGGCAGTGTAGGTGCGGCGCTGTCATTATGGGTGATCGGGATCATGATCACCTTTTGCGGATTCTACATCTACTTGGAACTGGGATGTCTGTTGCCGCACACTGGCGGGGAGAAAGTGTACTTAGACACAGCATTTCCTCGACCCTATAGGCTCGCTAGCACGCTCTATGCCTTCTACATATTATTTGGATTCCCAGGTATGTGCCTCATGATCTCAGATCGTTGAAAATCACAGAATCCGAACTGAAGTATGGGGATATGATCTCAGGTATGGCAAGCGTTGTCATTGCAGATAATACCCTATTCGCCTTCAATGTCACCGCTAGTGAGATAGGACAGCGAGCCCTCGCAGTAGGAATAATGGCCCTAGTCGCCGCAGCCCTCTCCATATCTCGCGAATGGAGCGTGCGAATTGTGAACTCGTTAAGCCTTCTAAAGCTTGCGACCTTCCTGTTGATTCTGTCAACTGCACTGGCCATTGTTGTAGGAGTCATCCCAAGTAACGGTGATCTTGGCGCCAACTTTCACCACCCATTTGCCCATTCGTCAACCAGTGTATACGACTACTCTGTCTCCTTGTTCAAGGTGCTGGAATCGTTCCTGGGATGGAACAGTGCAAGCTTGGTTCTTGGGGAGGTCAAGAACCCACAAAGGACCCTCAAAGTGGCCGGCCTGCTCAGTGTCGGATCGGTCGGATTACTCTATCTGCTTATTAATGTCTCCTACTTCATTGTTGCTACGCCGAGCGATATTGGCCAGGCCGGTACACAGCTGGTAGCTCGCCTGCTGGGCAACGTCTTCGGGAGCGCAGCCTCGCGTGTGACTGCTGGTATGGTCGCTCTCTCCACCTTCGGCAGTTCAGTGTCCACTGCATTTGCAGTCACCCGAGTGATTCGCGAACTCGCAGCGGAAGGAATTACCCCAGCGGCCAGTATTCTCTCGAAAACCTCCCGGTCCGGTAATCCGGCCATTGCGACATCCGTCTTTATGTTCGGCCCTTCGGTGGTGGCAGTTCTACTGTTGCCTTCTGGTAAGCTAGACGCAACAAGCAAAGGAACTGTGAAAGGACTAACAAACCACAGGAGATGCTTATGCCTTCTTGCTGGATGTGAACCAGTATATGTTGGCCATGGTATACGGTGCAGTTGTCGTATGCCTTTTCATCATTCGGCAGAACGTCTCATCCGCCGAATATCCGTTCCAAGTGTGGACCTGGGTCCCGTGGCTCTTCCTTGCCTGTCAGATCTACCTAGTTGTCTCGCCTCTTGCATCTCCCAGTGGCCCTGGCGATACCAATTTGCCATACTGGCTGGCTCCAGTCGTCTCCTTCTTGGTAATAGGCCTTGGTGTGCTGTACTGGCGGCTGAAAGCGTTTGGCAACTCGGCACGGAACCTGTGGTTCGGAAAGATAGGGGATAATCTTGGATCTTATGGTGCCATCACGGCACCCTGATCAGATGCGATGATCAGGACTTAGATGATATTTGACTGCCGTATTGGGTGGACGAAAAGGAATATAATATAAGCGCTTTTCACTTAGTGTAAGGCCTTCGCCTGTAGAATACGTGTCGATCGGGAAGATGTTTTCCGTAGGCTGAGTATGCAAAGACCTCGACATGTTAGATTACACAGATTCCTTCCCAAAAAAAAGGACATCCAGTTGTTGAGTGGGTTTCATGAGCTAACAGTTACTAGAAGCTCCAATAAACTACTTTATTTTTTAGTAGCACAAGGCACCAGGGAGGGAGGAGAGACAAGAAGAAAAACCGCTTCCTTAGCAAAATAGAGTCCGTAGGCAAGGGTGATCAACAGATTATTTCCCATTCCATCGTTAGTCTCGTCCAAAATAAAACACGATCATCCTATGCATCGCAAGTTGATTGCGACCTTTCCCCCTGACCTTCCATGAATTCCCAGGTGAGTTCATCTCTCTTCTCTCATCACCATAACGGTAGCTCTAGGAATCTTTGCCTCTTGCGGGGCAGTGCAATGCTCCATGATCTCGGTCCGTACTTTGGATAGATCTCATATGTCCATTGTCAAGGAGAGGTTCGATGATATCACGGCCCGGCGAAGGCGTTTCAGGCTCGGAACCCGTCCGTACTCGAAAATAGCTTTGGTATCGGGCATACGAAGTGTTTATTAGAAGGCTTCTAGGAAATCCACGGACCTCAAGGCAAGAGAAGAATAGAAACACCAAAGGTGTTGATGACGACCGGCAACAACCGTGATATCATGCCGGGTCTTAGGCTTAGTGGCCACTCTTCTTCTGGGAGAAAAGCCCCGTCTCAGGCCTCGGAAGCTGAGAAGCTGTTGAGTCCGAAATCGTGCCCCTTTTTATTGGCCTTGACCGAGCTTTCTCCACGCGGTTTATTCAGGTCTATTCGTGAACTTACATTGTGCGGGATGGTGGTCCACATGAACCCTCCAGACAGCCTATTAGGGCTTGTCATATGTAAAACATGTCTCACACCCTCCCCACTGTATCGATATTTAAAGATATCTGGAGATTGAAGTGTTAAACACGTAGTCGACGATCATTGACTCGAACCTTAGGGATATAGCTCAACGAACAAGATATAAAGTGCCCTTGGTACTTGCCATCTCTGCCTTCATTTTCATCAAAGTCCTCAAGTCCTCCATCCATCATAAAAACTCACACTTCAGTGAATTTACTGAAAATGCTCAACAACTCACTCAAAATGAAGTTCTCTGTTGCTGCTTTCGCCGGCCTTTTCGCCGCTGTCAGCGCCGCTGCTGTCCCTTCCAATGTCACTCTCCCCACGGCTTTCACTTTGGTTGCCGATGGCGGTAAAACCGCTCTTACCGATGGCCGTATGTCTCTGCTGTGTACACTTCCCTTGTGAGTGAACAATAGCAGCTAACCTAATGAACGTAGAATACGTCTACGTTGGTGGAGATGCTACTGACGGCAAGGAGATCCTCATCCTGCGCTCCGGCGCCAACGGCATGGTCTCTTTCACTTCCAAGGATGGCGTCCCGACTGCCTTCCAGAATCTTTACATTGTTGAGCATGACGTGACCCCCGTCTCGCTTACCGTCCCTCACTCTGGTGCTGTCCCCGAGAACGGTAACATGAATGGCTTCGGTGTTAATGCTCAGGGCTACTTCACCAACAACGGCCGTCCCTGGTTCTCCGTCGACGTCGGCGACGTTCCCTCCAAGCAGGTGTACTGGTACGGCGGCCACAACGCCGAGTACTACGGCCTGAACCTCTGGGTTAAGGAGTGCAAGGGCTGCTAATTGGGCCTATTTTCCATCCGGTTGTTTTCTCTGTTCACGGGGCGTTTTCCTTTTCATTGCGGGCTTTTATGGTCTGGATGGTTTCAACACGTCCCTGCTCTAAATGTGATACCCGGGACTTTGTATATAATACTTAACAATTCTTACTCAACCGATTCATGTCCACATATGCTTTCATTCCTTTTCGCTTTCTCCATCCTTAGTTGTATCTTTTCTCGGCAACGCTGAAGGTCCAACCCTCTGGAAAGCTCCCGTATTGAACATCAGCCCGGTCGCGGAAGATATCATCATAATGCTCGATCTTCGTTTCGGGCAATTCCGCCTGGCGATAGTAGTTGTGTGCCAGCCTCTGCATGACAGGGTTGTTCCACATGGTTTCCATCCAGGTTAAAGCCTCGATGCTGGCGTTGTCGAGAGGGAGGTTATAAGTACGGAAGCGCTGCACGGTTTGTTCAGTCTCATCAGCAGGTGGAATTTAAGCAATCAAAAGCGATGCTGGTAGTACGCACCCAAAGGACAGGCCAGAAAAAAGCATCCGCGATACTGAACTGTCCGAAAAGAAATCCCTCATCCTTTTCGTTCAGCTCAGCCAGACGAGTCTTGGTTATCCGCCTGGCACTATCCCAGATAACGAGAAGCCGCTCAACCTCCTTCTTCGCTTGCTCCGAGACAGGGACGTTTCCCGTGTATCGGGCAATGAAGTTCGTGCCGTAGTTGTTTCTCAGTGTCCAGAATCCCGAGTGCATCTCGGCTACGGCGCTACGCGCCAATGCCCTCAGTTGCCGGTCGCGCGGCCAGAGATTGAGGTCTGGGTTGGACTCGGCCAGGAATTCGCAGATTGCCAGGGAATCATTAATGCGGATATTTTCTCCGAGGGAACGGCACTCTAGCAATGGGACAAAGCCCGTGTGGGAAACATTTTTGACCTTTTCCCCTTAGTATATGCTTCAGGGTGGCCTGGCGATTGTACACCACATACCTCGGACAGGTGGATGATTTGCGCAGTATAAGGGATGTTGAAGTACTCAAGGACTGTCTCTGCGCGACATGTCCAACCTGCAGTATATCAGAGCAAGTCTGTATGGTGGGATTTTGGCACCCTGTTCATACTTGAGTACCGCGTATGAGTCCCAATGAGATGGTAGTCAGGCTGCTGCTTTCCGTCGGTCATTGTGACGCGCTCCGATATCGAATGAGGAGAAAATATTTAATAGTTGGTACAACTATACCCATACGCAAGCGATAGAGATAGAAGACCTTTTTATAATGTGTGGAATGTGGGGGCAGTGACTCATTTCTCGTATTCGATCATACTAGCTTCTTAGACGCGTTGATCGTCGGTGCTCTACAGTGATAGGTAGCTCAGCTCGAGCAAGGGCAACTGTGAAGAAAACCTTTATACTCGCTCACTATTATACAAAGGGTTATAGCTCTCTAGCCAAGAATAGACTAGACATTGATAAGGCTCGCCACTCTTCCAGGTTCACGTCCGCATTCAGATGCCAGCTGTTCTCGGCTTCAACATAGCTATGCGTAATCAGCTGTGCTTTTCGAAAGCCAACTCAAAGCATCTATATGTTGTTGATCGGTCTCCACCACACGTAGAGTCATATTTGTTTGAAGAACTACATGTTAAAAACGATGCTGGTGACTAGAGATGCCAAGAACGTGAATGAACGGGAGCTGACATAAATTCCGACTTCAAACTGATGGATATCTTTATCATTAGTATCTTCTCGGTCGTAACAAAAGAGAAGAGACATGACTTCGCAATTACATCCCTTACTTGATGAACAAAGTGCCAGGTTTCCTCGCCGGCGATGGATATCTCTGCCGGGAGGAGAAGATGGAGAGGAAACCCTCATCGCAAGGTCCCGACGGGCCGCGCGGGACTTTTTATCATGCCGACGAGGGCATTACCTCGTGCTGCTGCTCGTTTCGGTCGACGTCGCTTGCACCTTTGCGGATTTTCTGATCGAGCTACATGTCTGCGAGTTGAAGCAGCGTGGTACTCATGTGGCCGCCGGCTGGGGGGCCACCCAGCAGACACTCGCGATCGTGGGGTTGGTATTTTCGCACCTGTTTATGCTGGAGTTGATGGTTGCAATAGTCAGCTTTGGCAGGGGGTAAGCTTGGTTTCTCACTTTCTGGCCCTTATATCTCTGCCATGACTGACACAACAGTCAGTTACTTTTCATCCAAGTTCCACGTTTTTGATTCGCTAGTCATCATCGTCGCGTTCGCTGTGGATGTTACTCTTCATGGCGTACAGGCAGAACTCGGCTCCCTGGTCGTGGTACTTCGGTTATGGCGTGTGTTCAAGATTATCGAGGAGCTCGAGTCTGCTAATGAAGACACGCTGGAAGAGTATGAGCATGAGATTGAAAGACTCCACCTGGAAAACACGTATCTCCGTCAGAGACTTGACTCGACTTCCGGATAATGCCGACCCTATGAATTGACAAACGGAAATCGTCTGCAAGCAGTTACGGTTTGTTGCGGTCCGTTCGTATCCCCGTTTAGGGTATCCTGTGACTCAGTTTAGCATGTACAATGCGGAGCACCCCGTCTTGGTACTCGACGTTGAGGGTGGAGACGATCACTGTGGTGCCCTATCCTGAGATTTCCATTTAGAAAGCAGGATAATCAGCAATGGAAACTCGAGCCAGTCAGGCAGACCATACACGCTGCCGCCTCTAGAGAGTGATTATTCATCGACAAAGAACGCAAGGAGTAATCGCGGAGATCAAGGGCCACTCTAGAATGTCGACTGATGATTTTCAAAAGGAAGAGCAACGAGCGCATAAATACAAGTACACATTAAACTTACAGTCATTTTATTTACAGTATGCGATCCTTTAAGGCATATGTAGGCCGCTATCGGGGAATACCCTTGAGCTTCACACCTCCAGACGTGATCTCCAACCAAACCTTCATCTTTCTCGATGCATCCTCCATCCCACTCAGACTAGGATTCCTATGGAAAGTATGCGGCGTCTCCACAGCCAGATCTGAGAACAAAAGCGCTAATGGGGATGATTTCCAAATATACTGGTTTCGGGTCTTGATCATGGTCACCGCCAGGAAGATAATTGTCATTGCAACGAGGGCAATCGGGAGAATCATCCATGGCCAGCGAACACTCACAAATGATTCCGCTGTCCAGGTCATGCCCCTCACAGAGGCCTTGCAGACTTGAGTGCGGGCATTGATCGTGAGGGAAGACGCAAGCGAGGTGAAGATAGTGCTGATCTCGGACAAGTTGCCCTGCTGACCGAAGAGAGCGCGAGCAGTGTCAGACGACCAGTACGGTCGATTGGACATGAAGTATTCCCCGGACCCGTTCAGGAGCGGCCGGAGGGAGTTCACCATCGCGAGCCGGCTGAGCCAGCTCACAGGGTATGTGCATTCGCTCTTATCATTTCTCTGGGTCCCGTTGACATAGCAAGTGTCCGGGACCAGGACGAAGTCCTCCGTCATGGCTGTGGCCGACAAATTGGAGGATATCGCGGAGGACACGACTCGCTCGTTGAATACGCCATCCTTAACGGTCGCTTCGTATGTGTCGACGCAGAAATACAAGGCACATTCTGTTGCGCTGATCTGGGGCGGCACTCCGTAGCCAGCCGCACTGATCGCCGTGAAATTCATGATGAGTGGAAGTCCTTCAGCATCAATCTGGAGCAGGTTCAGCCCGTTCGTGGCATTCATGATGTGCATCCCCGTCGTGGACGTCGTGAAAGTCAATCCATTCGGTAGCTTGTAGTCATAGGTTTCTAATCTTGTCAATGAGTCGGACGAATGGTTTACAGTAAGCTGATCGGTAATATTGACACAGCGACTGCAGAAACCCAGAGACTGGTAGGGAACAAAGGTACAATTTCCCGTCGGACAGGTCATCGTCCCCGAGTGACTGCTGGTGCTTTGGCCTTGGAAGATGCCCGTGTAGATGGACGCCATCGTCGAGAGGGGCACTTCATTCTGCCCAGGGCCAGCTCCTTCACCATAGTCGGTGTACACGCTGGTGTTGCAGATCTGAATAGAGGATGGATTGGGCGAGTGGACGGATCGCATATTGATAGCGATGACCTGTTGAACGAATGGAGCAATCGCTGCCGCGACGACGAGGACGAAGCATCCGACCGTTACCAAATATCTGCCTCCTCATTTAGCATCAAATCCCACTCTAGCAAATCATCAGGCAATCAACACCCACCGAGGTACGAATCGCAGCAACACTAGAACGGCGCCGATGGCTCCCCGGCTCGCGGCATCCAACAGCGCCAAGTCACTCAGCTGGTTCCCCCGGCTGAACCACGACCACTTGAGTTGGGAAAGGGCCTCGGTTATGGGAAAAGCCATAGCGGCCTTCATCAGCGTGGTTAACAACGAGATGACAGCGTTCAACGTGATTCCATAAGGCCAATCTGGTATTGATTTCCCATCATACATGTACAGCACCACGATAATGGCCGCGAGGGATGCCACTGCGATGACACAACTCAGAATTTCCCATAACCAACTAGTTCCCAGTGACCCCGATCCCTGCGAGTGAATGATGGCCTGATCCGCTGCCGATAAGGGTCGGCGTTGTGCTTGATGTTGTTCTTGTGGGTCTTCCACCCGGAGATACGAGAGACGGTACTCATCTTTGACATGATCCATGGCGGTCGCTGTCGAGACACATTATTTTTACTTGAGGTCTCATTAGCCAGTGTGAGACAATGATTAGAAGATTAAAAAAAAATAGAAGCCACATATAAACGTCTGAGAGAAAGATGCTTAAAATTTTGACACTGACGTAGCATCGAGACAGGCAGCAAAATCATTCCCTTTCACGCTAAAAATGTGAGACTAGGGCTCCGATCGGCGCCTCATGGCTGGAGCTGAAGGCCCATTATTTCCCCCTTTCGAATAGTGAGTGGAGCCTCGGCCCAGCAAGAATTTCTGACTTGGGGGTGATCGACTGCGTTGATCTTCCTCTGCTACCCCTTTCGGTAGGTTAGTCGCCGGCGAGGTTGATAGAGCTCTTTCTTAATCTCCGTTGTGAACGCCTCCTCCGAACGTATATTCAACAGACTTGGAAGAAAAAGGGGGTGAAAAATGAAAAAAATAAGCCGTGGGAATCAAACTTCTAATCGATATCTACCGAGTGCCAGGCTAGGAACCCTGCATTATTTAAGAATTTATTACTAGAACCCCATGTTGCGACTATACAGCTGTTTATCTCGCTCGAGTGGCCAGTCGTTCGCCTGTTTGGCGACGAGCGTGACCTAACTGATGGTTAAATCTGTACTTTGCATGTTGGAAGTCAATTAATATCAAGAGCGATATAATATAGCATGGCTGCACAGTGCTCGCACCCGGTAATAAGCGCATGAAGTGCTGTGGAATATCTTCTTGCCAGTTATGTACATTTCGTCGCAAAGCGCTATCAAAATAGCAACGGGGTATCGAAACACCCATAGCCCTTCACTACACTCATCTCATCCACATCCTCATGCTTCGTCTTAAATGACCATCCACCGACAAAATTCTGCAGCATGTCGTAAGGCCGGTCGTCCGTTCCTTTCCGCCAAAGACAAGTTCCGAAGACGCCCAGTTCCGAGACCACGCCTCCCGAATCCAACCCACTGGGGGATAACAAGACGTTCGTCACAGACGGCGATCGAATACGCTCCATAAGAATATACGCACTCCATTGAGACTCGGGAATGGACGCCAAAAAGTCGGGGATATCCTCCCCGAAAGTATTATGCCCTCCGCCTTCCAAGGACGGCTTCAATATATAATTCCGCGCAAGTTTCTGATCGGTCGCCAGATGGCGGGCCCGAGATCCTATGTCACTATCGTCGAAGGAATACATGGAGACAAAGGTTGACCGGATCATGGCTGCTTTCTCTGGGGATAAGAAATGCTCCAGCGCCCCCGGGGCTGTGAGAGCACATTGTACTTTTTTGAAGGTGCAGATATGTGCCAGGAGTGAAGGGCATTTAATGGCAAGGGAAAGCTCTATTCGAAGCCGGGCTTCTTGGCCTATAGAATCGTATTCATAGGCCTCGTAACCGGCACGCATATAGGCGACCGAGACTTCAACACACTTTGACCCTAGCCATGGTGGGTGGAAGAGAAGTTCACGCGACTCAGTTAGGGTCGTGTACTGAAGGAAATCATCTGGATAGTCGACTCGGTAGGCGGGAACATCTTGATCCCACAGTGCGTACTCCAGCGGTCGCTCATCCGCGATGTTGAAATTGTTGGGCTGGACCACGAACAGAACCGCTGTGTCGGCAGCCGCCCGGTTTCTCTGGCGCCCATAAGCCTGGTGAGCGGCGGCTAGGCATCCGGAGAGGGATGTGATATTGTCGTTACGCGGCAAGGCCTCGAGTGAGACGGGGGTTGTACTATCACTTCCGGTCTCGTAGGCGCTGGTGCGTGCAAGATAACGATGCATCGCCCCGGTCTTGTTCGCATGCGTTCCTCCGGCGCACGAAAACGTATTGAACTCGACCTGTTTTAAAGCGACATTCAAGGTCTGCCCTGATCGGAGCGGAAACTCGGCCTCTGGTCCTTCCAACATATAGTCCGACCGAAAAATGCCGACCGATATTTTTTGCGCATATCCAACTTGCTTCACCTCCTTATGTATGCCCCAGAGCGCTGCGGCCAGAGGGTCAACCGGAAGTAGATCGCGAATGGCCTCGAAGATCCATTGTTCATCCTCAGCCATGGCGCAATATAGTTCATTGTAGATGGGCTGTAACTCCCGCGCATGATCGAATTGTGCGCGAGGGAATAATGTCGGAAAGACCGAGACTCCAACAGGAGAGCATTGTGAAGAGGAAGAGGTAGAAGAATGAGGGATAATTTGCTTGAGCAATGAACCGTGGTTAATCTGCCAGTCGACAATGTCGGCTATCAGGGCGAGGCCTCTTTCTTCGGAGAATTGAGGAGGGTATTCCATCGCTTGTAGATACGTTGTAAGTTGAGGCTGATATAAATTAGGGTTGGGTTGTTCCATGTAAATATAAATATGGATTGTGGCTGTGTCTATTTAGCGCCGCCTTCAACCACGTTCTGACGGAATTTTATGAATTTATATTCTAACATCATGCCAAATGAAGAGAGGTTTATCCGTGGTTTTATAATTCGTTCCCCTGCACTAAAAACAACAACTTCACTTAGTTCGGAGGCTTCGAGGTCTGGTCAACACCCTCGCTCTCGCGGAAGTAACCTATTTTTGTTTTCATTCCGATCGCATAGCCGTCGGGGTTCAATCATCAGTCTATCGACGGAAGTGATTTACATAGGCAATGGTGGATCTTAGCACAAAAAGGTGAGCTAGGAGGATAAGGGTGCTTGTCTAATCGATGTTTCCACTACATATTTATGCCCCGTCAACCTTGAGCTTCTTGAGGGCCTTCTGTCACCCGTCGTCACCGGAGAAAGTGGTTGTATCAGTCTCAAACTTCGCCTCAGGCTCGGGTAAAGTCCCGTCCAGGAAATAGGCCCGCATCGCCTTCACCGTGCAGGGAGATGCCTGCCCAAAACGTCCGTGCTAATCCGGAAAAATTGATCAGTATATGGTTGCGAGCAGTGGAGGACAAAGAAGAACATATCCCTAAGCACCATGTTCGAGAACAACGCTATTGGCAAGCCCTGCGCTGACATTGCATGCGGCCACAAGAGGGTTGACTGGATCAGCCGTATTGCCGATCAATCGGACTGGACTTTTCGTCGTTGCCTCGAAATCACCAGTGAGTGTATCGCTCCTTCAGCTGGACCTTCCAATCCGTATATCGCGCCAGTACGTAGTCCGAGATATCAACCCCAATTAGGCTGAGTTCGTGTCGCTGTTTGATGAGCAAGAACACCTCTTCGAGTTGTCACTGCGAAATTAGTCACTACACTTGATCCCATACTAGGCTTCCGCATCCAAACTGGGATGAGCAGAGAGGAGGTGGCCGAGATATTTACCTGCTGCTTCCAACTTCCCCATCTGAGAATATCGAGGAAAAGTGAAAACTCGGCCCAGTCGATGGGAAAATAAAGTACGCTGAACATATGGGTCTTCAGGGGGGACTAGTCGAGAAGGGTCGGAGTGCCCGCAATTGGTAAAACTATCGGATAATATTTCACGTTCTCAACGAATTGATAGAGAGCCTCTAGTTTGGATGCAGTGCGGTTTCGAGCCAGCGGGCAACGATCGGGGGTGGCAACACATTCGGAGCAGAACCCTGTAAAAACCTTGTCCATGTCTGCAAGCATCTGTAAATCACTGTGGGCCAATTAAGTACAGTTCAGTCGTCAAAATCACAGTCCACAGGAAAGGATGGAGTAGTATACCGCTTCTGATAGAACTCGTGAGGGTTCGCCACTACGTCGAGAACGATTTTGTCAACCCTTTCTGGAAACATAGAAGCCAGGGTGGCGCCCAGTACGGAGGAATACGAGAGACCTAACACAGTCTGCGGTCAGCTACTTGGATAGAAAGCAACCTTGTCAATGTCCCAAGGTCTCACCCCAGTATCGTAAAAGCCCATCTTCACCCGGGGCGTCGAGGATAAGCATATGGTCCCTCGCGGTGAAAGCGGAAATCATGAATTGACCAGTTCTGTTCTGTGTTGCATAGCAGATATTCGCGAAGACACGCGATGTCACATTGTTTGTTCCCAAGGCCACATCAGATGCATTGCCAGAGAGAGATGGGTATGTAGCCGCTGCGGACCTTTCTTCCTCAGTGGCATAACAGGAAAACCGAATAATGTTGCCCGCTCCTCTATGTCTGTATGCGTTAGTACGAAGAAGGAATACAGAGAGAGGAGTCTTTTGGTACGCATACCAACGAGTGACAACAATGAGATCGTAGTAGCTGCCGGTAGAACTAGACAGTTACACTAAGCATCATGGAGTCATACGAACGTCTCATGCTTGTATCATCTTCCCATACGCAGCCAGGCCCTCCTTTCCGTTATCACCCGGACCGCCGAAATTCAAAAACACGCTCCCTCTCGAGCAGCTGTTTGCGGCACGGTTTCGCCTAAGCCCGAGGCCCAACGTGGCATTGGAGGCTTCATTGGTATAGTCCAGCGGTATAGGGAAAGGCGCGCACTCCGTAACCAGGGCTCCATTGATATCCCCAGATGAAGTAATTCGATGCTAACCTTAAATTAGCTTACCCTAGCTCATCCCTCTTTTCACTTTCGTCTCGTTTCCTCCTGTTTCATCCCTTTCTTTTCAGAGCGACTGCGTTGCGGAGCTTGCGGAGCGCGCGTCACCAGTACGATAATTGATTCAACTGAATATTTAACTATTGATTCTGACCCATGATTGGCCGGAGTGCCGACAAACTACAGCAGGAGGTTGGGCCAAGCGGAGGCCGACCCCGGCACCACCGACTTTACTGCGTTACTCCTGGACTCGCTCTACTTTTTGCCTGCAGATGGAGGCCAGAAGCTGTTTATTCGCTCTTACTCGTGCGTCAATTCCCCCATCTCCATACTGCTCCGGCTGTGAAGATGCCTTATTCCCAAACGCGGGGGTACATGCCCTCTGCTGCTCTGCGGAGTCTCTCCAAGTGGTCCGCCGTCAACATGCAAGGCCATAAAACAACGCCTACTGTGCTACTCTCGTGTGAGCTGCTAATCTCTGTCCTTGGCTAGCTGTCGTCTGTCTGCCTCCCTCCCCCAAACGGAAGAGCACTACCTCCGAAGATAACGACACTATGAATAAGGTCTCCCACTATGTCACAAAGCCCACCTCGCAGGGTACTTCTCAGGCCGTGCTGTACGCCATCGGGTTCTCGGAGAAGGACATGGACAAGGCCCAAGTCGCTATCTCCTCCGTGTGATACAGGGGCCACCCATGCAATATGCATGCTCGACCTTAACCACCGCGTCAAGGCAGGCGTAGAGAAGGTCGGTTTGAAGGGAATGCAGTTTGACACCGTCAGTGTCAGTAATGCGATCAGTATGGGCACCAAGGATATGAGATATTCTCTCTAGAGTCTTGATCTGATTGCCCACTCCATCGAGACTGTCATTTGTGGTCAGTGGTATGATACCAACATCAGTATCCCCGGTTGTGACTGTTGTGATTCAGATTGTTCGTATTTTCTTCTATAGACCTGAGGGTTTTTAAAGAAGATAAACATCAGATGATTGGAAGTCAATCTGACCCTATACGGAATTTATCCCGTATATGATCCTCTATAGTTTGCTTGATCGAGCCACGATTCACTGCGCTATTACCTATACTGCTGTGCAGGAAACACCTCCCTGCCACGTGAAGAGCTACCTTGAAAAACATCTATAACGCTACGTTCCATGCGGAAAGGTATTACAATAATACGAAGCCCTAAAAAGGAGCTATCTCTTTTTTATGAGCTTTTGGATCATATTGGAAGAAATTATCGTTTGAGGCGCGATTATTGTTGAGCTGCGGCAGAACTAGAGGGCTAGGAAACATGTACCAACAGGCATTGGGCGCCGCCGTAACCACTTTACAGTGCGGACAGTGAGCTGGCCGAGACACCGATACTATAATTACCAGGCTCGCCAGGTTTACTCGTTTTTACCTTTCTTGTCAATACGGCCGATAGAACTCGGTGTCTCGGCAAGTTCAGTATTGTTACGTTGTGGTCTCTCCATGCCCACGGATCTTTGGTAGTTCCACCTTATCCCATGGTTCTGTTGAGAGTGCTTCAATAGACGCTTGAGAATAGTTTACGAACGGATAGCGAGCTGGCCGAGACCGAGTTCTATCGGCCGTATTGGCAACAATATAAGTAGTAATAAAACAGGGGGATAATGGTAATTATTGTATCGGCGTCTCGGCCAGCTCAGTGGACCAGATCCCAGTTCACAGTATTTAGCATAATCCAACCAACCACCGAATCGACCACCCCCCAGCCGGCCAACGCTGTATTGCCTTACAAACTATATATTTCAGTCTCTTTATATAACATATAATAATTTAATAAATATATTATACTATATATTTCACCTTAGGTCATCTAGATGTTGTCATACGTAGAGCGTTGGAAGTATGTAAGAGGGTTGATTAGGTTGTAGGAACAGTAGGCGTTCGGCAACTAAAGAGGGCTCGGCACGGCGAGCTGTAGATACATATAGCGCTGAAAGTAGGGACGATCGGTTGACCGACTCGGTGATTGAATACGTTACTAGAAAATTAACTGGAACATCTTCAACTTAATTCCTTTAAAAACCCTGGCCAGGTGTGGCAATTCCACACTTAGATATCGAATTGCTTTTAGTTAAATGGAACCGGCGCTGCGTTCTACATGGTATTGTATTATCTTCACTATGTGGATGAGCACACTCCCTGCCGAAAAGCAAGGTCCACTGTGCCCGGCCGAACCCGCTACGCGGGCCTGAAAGGTACTACGAAATAGACCTACCGAGCAATCTTGCTGATCCAATTAAAGCCCTTGTCTGTGATAATCTATCACGGCGACAGAAAGCCAATCCCTGGCGATACCAGCCGTAGGTGAAACTTCGGAGAAATTATTAAAACAGTATGAAGTGGCCCTTAAGTCTTCGCCTGTCCATTTCCCCAAAACCCAAGTTTAGGCTAGGCTTTTTCGTGCAACAACCGTACAGAAGCAATTTCTCGCAGATAGCGGAGATGTCCACGACAACGACGACTGCGACGACTGCGACGGCTCTACAACTCGATTCACTACTATTAGAAAATAGCAGTATTAGCAATATTCGCTCAACAGAAGATGTCCATCAGCCGACCTCTCGGAATTCCCGCCTACAACAGGTCGTGGTGGTCGTACAGCTCTTTGCCGTCACACTCACGGCCAGCGTAATTAATGGTTTAGTAACCGTTGGTCTGCCAACTATTGCCAAGGAACTTCAGTTGCCATCTTCTCTATCCTTCTGGCCCTCATCCGTCAGTAGCCTTGCGACTGCTTCCGCCCTTCTATTGGCGGGGTCCATTGCAGATACTGTTGGTCCACGATGGGTTGAACTGGGCGGATCGTTTGCTAGCGGAGCATTAATGATCGGTCAAGGATCAGCTGTGAATGGGGAGGAATTGGTGGTACTGAGAGCCCTTCAGGGTGTCGGTCTCGCGTGCCATCTCGCGTCCTCCATTTCCATCATTACGCAGCTTTTGCCTCCAGGCAAAGGCCGTAACCTGGCTTTCTCATGCCTGGGTCTCAGCCAGCCCCTTGGGTTTTCTCTTGGACTGGTCGTAGGTGGTGTTCTAATTGACACGATCGGCTGGCGAGTGGGATGGTACATCTCTGGAGGAATCACACTCTTCTTCACAGCCGTCGGTCTGTGGGCTGTACCCAAGGGCAATGCTCATCAACACGAATGTATAATTCGTAATGTCAGGACCAGAATCGACTGGGTCGGCGCCGGATTGGCGTCTGCGTTCATGGCTTTGCTTTGTTATCTACTGGCGTGAGTCGCAAACATGGAATATAATGTTATTCGAAAATTAATCAAGAAAACAGTATCCTGAGCGCTGATCCCTCCCGGATCAAATCCCCCGAGAGCATTGTCATCTTATGCCTTGCTGCAATCTCCGTTCCATCTTTCATTACCTGGGTCCATTACCAGGTCAAAGGGGAGAAGCCCGCGTTGATCCCCAATTCGCTGTGGAAAAACACCACCTTTTCATGCGTCTGTGCTACTCTCGCAGTGTCAAATGCGGTTATTAACTCTATGGAACTCTTTGCCAGCTTGTTGTGAGTGATGTCTGCCTGATTTTTCGTCCGTTTCCACCCTTCCGCTAATGCCATTCTAGTTTCCAAGAAGTCCAATACCTCTCTGCTCTGCAGGCATCTATTCGGATCCTACCAAGTCTCATAGTTGGTGTACTCATAAACCTTCTGATTGGACTCTTTGTGCACAAAGTCCCCGCTTACTGGATCGTGACGATTACCTCCATCCTCTGCGCTGGGTCCCCTTTGCTCATGGCCACTATCCAGCCTTCATGGCCATATTGGAGTAATGCCTTCGTCGCTCAGATATTGCAGCCTTTCAGTTTTGATGCTCTGTACACTGTCGGACTGATCGTCATCACCAATAGCTTCCCCGATAATACCCAGGCCCTGGCAGGAGCAGTCTTCAATACGTCCGCACAATTCGGTAGCGCCCTTGGACTCGCTGTTCTGCAGGTGATCTCCACCATTGTCACGGATCAATCTGGCAGAGAGGAGAGACAGGCGCGGATGAATGGATATCGGGCTAGCTTCTGGGCCATGTTTGGATTCATGATTCTTTGCACGATTCTTGGCTTTTTTGGATTGCGTAAGGCCGGTAAGATAGGATTGAAACAGGATTGATCTAGCGAAGGTGTCGATGGAAGAATTGGAGAAGGATAATGAGTCATCTTTCAGCAGGGGAGTGGACGGGCTTTTGAAATATACCCAAACGTTTTAGTTGGCGGCTTCCGTGCACTGCAATCGGAGCTGTTAGTATTTTAGTTACCTCTGTCTGCTCTCTACCCGACAGTAGTACTCAATATCATAATATTACATCATTTTTTTGTGAGATCGTGTCATGATCTAGCCATTCGTTCATAATAGTAATCATGAAGCGCTTTCGGTCCCTTAAGCATTTGCTGGCTTGTTTAGCCATGAAACCATGATATCCTCGATGGGATCGCAGACAATGGGAATGTTGGGACTGTTGTCGGGGTAGGAGATACGTTCCAGATTTGAAAATTCAACACTGCACATAGAAGATCGGTCCCATGAGCATGTCCATCGGCTCCCACCAGTGCATGGCAACACTTCACACATTGTCGCCTTTAAACACCGATATCTCCGCGTGCAACCGCAAAAAGCTATTAGTTCGCTAGAGGGAGATTGAAATTCAAACAAACCCGACCCCAATCTTTCTGATGGAAGGGGAAAAGGAAAGAGGGCACCTGATCATCTGGACTACATAACTAACTATTTGCTAATCGTAAGGCTCTCCCCACCCCTATCCGCAGGTATTTGCAAAGTTATAGAATTTGGATGGTCTTAATCGAAGTCAAGATGACCGCGAACGTCCAGGGTCTTTATGGTCCAGAAGGACACAGGAACCCACCAGGCTACAAGTACAACAAATGCAAAATATGGACAATGTTATAAAATGAGAAAAGTAGAAAACAGAAGAAGGGCAAAGGAGGACAAGACGAAGCAATCGGGAAACGTCCTCAGACATCATTGACAAACCCACTCCCCCTGGAATCTGTGTTAATCATCATCGTATTCATCAATCTCTTTGGACGCAAGCCCTTCGATGTTCCAATAATACCGCCATCCGTCAACCTTGCAACACAGGATTGTTGCCTAAATAGCCCATGCCAAGCACGTAAAGGAAAATAATATGGTGCGGAACCCATATATTGCGCTTCGTTGGGTATGATAAAAGGCCTAGTCCCGTTCCGATCCATATCCAAGGGCGAAGGCTATAGCGCCATGTTGTATGCCGCCTGTCACGCCTGCTCTGTGGAGGTGAAACCTTCCAGCAGTCCGACGTCCGCACCATGGCCGCGGGCATCCTTTAGCCGAAACGCTACTCTATGAAGATCAAGGAGTAGAAATACCTTTCTGCTCTTTTAAAAAACAATTTGACTGAGTGCCTCAGACAGGTGCGAAATGCCAAGAAGCTTCAATATTCCTTACATGTCATTGTCGTCAGTGAACTGTGGTACCGGTAAGTGTCAACTTTCAACACTGTTTATTATGTGTAGTCTTACTGTCGCTCCCAACATGTAACTAAACAAGCTCTTGTCTAATCGGCTCTTTTCCGATGCGACCTAAAGTAATCTTCAATGCCAGAATGTAATAATAAGGTCATCCCAGGTATGCAAGAGGCAGAAGCGCCTTGGATAAAAGCAACGCTAATTTATCTACATCCTACCGTCTAAACTACTAACTACTTTGCTTGGTTGTTGTCTAGAAGCGAGGGATGGCTGGATCAGCAAATGCCAAGTTCCTGTAGTATCTCCCCCGCTAATTGATTTGCAGCTCACTTTCCCCCAGCCCAAGATAATGTCAACTTGGCTATATCTGCGGTACCAACTGATAAATATCTTGATGATATGTACTCGATGGCTTCTTCGGCCAAGCTCAAAAGTTACGGCCCTCCCTACCTGCTGGATCCTTGTAGTATATTGCGTGAGAACTTCTTGGGTGGTTCTAGCGTGGGCAGGGTATCCCTCTATCTATCGTCATCCTTGTGGATCACCATAGATCTATACCTAATAACATCTCCAACTATAATATTTAAGTTATAGCGATAGTTATGATGTGTTGACTTTTATAAGTGGCTTATTATGGAAGCTAGACTTTTCCTATACTAGAGTTTTCTAAATATAGGGGCTCATCTTCGAGCTGGGCCTCAGAGAGATCCATCGCAGTGACTTTTGTGCGGTAATTAAGGGGTCGGGTAGCTGGCTGGAAAGGACAGGACAGTTTGCAACATAATAACGTTTTACACCATAGCGAATACATCGGTGTTTCTGCTTGTGTCTCTCAATTTCTTCTTCAGGCACTTATTTTATGTGTCTCTGTCCTACACAGCTTACTGACCCACCGGCCAATCCATAGCCTTGCTATTCGGCGTGGTGGCTTTGGTAGACTCAGAGGTAATTGCAGGGGCTGCGGCTGCTTTTGGGGTGTTTTGGGCACGATTGTACGTCGTAGGTCGCTGATAAGCGTGTCTGGTACTTAATAGACATTTTGCCTTCTTCATTTCAGTCAGCAATATTCTTGACCTGTGTACGGTAGCCGCTAAAGGTTTCCGCTTCGATTGAGATAAGCTTGTCACGGAGGGAATTACTAATGACTTACAAAAGGTAGTTCTTCTTAATATAGCCATCCCAACCGTGGGCGCCAGCCGAGCAGAAGTCGGTCAAGATCCGCTAGCATGTCTTCCAGGAAGCGGCTCCCCTGCCTTACGCGATTGAGTCAGACAAAGCCTTCTCTTGCAGGGCGTGGTCTTCAAACACTGTTTTTAAATGGTCGAAATAGGCCTCCAGAGTGAAGGAAGAGGTGCTTTGATAGGTGTTAATCCAAGGGTAGACCTGCGCTGCTGTATTGTCGTCTAATCTACTAAAGATATACTAGATACATTGTATATTATTTTTGATATTAGCTTAGTTTATTACAAGGTTTACACAAAGCCTGCCTTCCTATTAGAGGGCGCGATTCTTCTCATCAAAGATCTCCGGGTCTGGGAGCCTCGGACGGGGTCGCCTCTCAGGCGCTGTTGGGGCTTCGTTTGGTACTGGGTTTACCGGTACGTCCATCCTCGGTGTCGTCGTTCCGGGGGTTCCAGTGGTAGTGGCTCCCTGGACAGCGTCTTTCATCGCCTGTAAGGCATCTAAGAGCTGTCGCCGTTCATTGGCATGGTGCTCCCATGACCGTCCGCACCCACGCGGGAACATGGTCGTTGGTAGTCGGGGCAGAGTTCCGCTCGAAGCCTGCAATGGGTGGAGGCCCTATGGGCGTGCCACTGCTGCTTCCGCAGTTCAAATCCATGTCGCTAATCTACGCTGGTGTACGGGTTTCGTGAGTATCTTCTAATATATTGTCTTAGTGGTAGGCGCGATCTGATGATTCTTCGGATTCGAAGTCCATCACGGGAGTACTGAAAGTGATCATGTATCATTGTTGTTGTGTCTATTTTCATTCGTTGTTAAAGCGATGCGTGTTTTCTCACTCGCTGCGTGTATTAAGATATATTCGGAACTAATCTACTGTCGTCCTTGCTGTTTGCTTTTTACATTTAAGAGTATGGGTTAATTCCTAGTATAAAGGACTAGACCCTGCTATCTAATTACTAGATACATACAATAAGGAACTATTAAAAAAGAAAAAGAAATCTACGCGACACGCTGAAAATAGCTTCTGCGTCCAGGTCACGGGGTCGTCAAGCAACTGCGAAGGTGGAACCGAGTGCGATGCAGGCGTAGCCTGAGACAGGATAAGTCTAGAAGTCTTATCTAACTAAGATAGATTAATACTATTTACTATATCTAATTTAGTTGATAGCATTGACAGGCGAGCTGTTTAGGAGCTGCTCCTGCCACCGGTGTAAATTTTACCCTTTCTTGGGGGGGTTTAGCGGCTTGATCAGCTTTGCCATTCTCTATAATATCTCGATGGCTCGGGATCTATTGAATTTTCTTTATCCAAGATTTAACCGGTGCAAAATCAGATTATCCTTGTCTCTGTAGGCTGCCGGGGTTGACTTTCCGGTTAATGATGCACAGAACATTTCACATAATTTCAACTTGATTACGGGCATATTGCCAAGACGTGGCCAAACCGCCCGGATTCTGAATGGAATATGATAATGCAACGTATATTCTGCGGCATAGGTCTTCACATTCTAATCGCACTTCTAGGGTGCAATCCACCATACAATGGCTACTTTCGCGCAGCCCATTGCCGGCGCATATCGGGGTGCAGGGCGCAGAGGAACTGTGGAGTCAAGTTCGGTTATCTCTCAAGCATACTCAACAGTGAAAGCAAGGTACTAACCGTATAATCATGAATTATATCAAAAATGGCTCCTCCGTCTTTCAGAGCATTAGGTTCCCAGTCTGTCTTGAAGAAGTCGCCTTCAAGGAAAGTAACATTGCCTGGACCGGCAGTGCCACTCTGCTGTTCTCCGAAGTTGTATGCTTGCGGTTTTTGCAGTTCCTTGGAGGCGTAATTCTGGGCTGCTGCTACTCCGGTCGCAGATATATTCTGATGTGGGTTTGTTGCATTGAACCATGGTCCTTACTGAGCTCGTTGTCAGCACCTTTGATGGTAAGCACGAAACCTCTAGGGAAGAGACCAATAATGACGCACAGTAGGAACTATATGCTACTATTTACCGCCGGTTTTGTCTCTGGCTCTATATCCTAACCTAATGAACTCGCTCAATGAGCCTAGCCAGATGAAGCATACTGCTACCTGATACGTTCGACTACATCCGGACATTGACAGCGCTCTGGCGTAGATAGAGGTGTGTATACGCAAGACCATGATACATGTACCCCTCATACTATCATGGCTAATAGCACTGAAGCCCCGGCAGGATTCTTCCTACAGGATGCTTCATACAGGATTTGTTACATTGCCACTTGTGGCATAAGTTGTTGCCTAGCCTGGCCGAATCGAAACACCCATCGCTACTAGTTCCACCGACAATATGCGGTATTTTTATCATTACTCCACATCCCGTAGAGTTCTAGCTAAAGACAGAATAATGAATCCCCAACGTCTGATCCGCGGAGGTCCGGTGTGGACGGACGAGAGATTCAAGTCAACAGTCCTTAATATAAATACTCCCGACCCTCCCTGCTCATAGTTATAGCTCACTCACTCCGCCAGATACTACTATTCCAAACAAGCACTCATCTCGACAAATACGCATCTCGACTCCAAGATGAAGGTCTCTGTCATTCTTCCACTCCTTGCTACATTAGCTACGTGGGTTCTACTCTACCTCATGCAAGATAAATTTCCTAACAGGATATAGGACTGTTACTGCCGAAAACCATTATTGGTGTGCCTGTCAGCAATCGTCCGGTAGCTCTGATTTGATCGACAAAAACACCAAAATATGCTGTGGCCGACAGGGTGGATCATTTCCTAGTAAGGAGGAAGCTAATTTACACAGGAATATGTTCAATACTGACTTCTACTTAGGCTACCAGGACGTATCACAAGAAGGAACTGAGGTCAGCTTCTCAGGCAACTATGTGAGTGGAACCCTACATAACCCAGATTAAAATTTTACGGCCTAGGGCGTTAATTTTGTATTAGTGTTATAGCAGTGGGGGAGGCCTTCACGGTAATGATTTTGCCAGCTGCTGTTCTAGTTTGCAAGGTTCAGGGGATTCGACTTGCTGGTGAACTTCTAACTTGATCTAGGATTCTTGCTGGACTGCTCTTATACTTGCTTCTAGAGATTCTATTCAACAATTTTGATCGCTGATTCAACTCGACGATTTGCGCTTTCTACTGTCTTAACCTTATATTGCCAGGGAACATAACAGTGGCAATGTAGGATTCCCGGGGTTCCCGGCGCTCAGTTGACCTTCTGTATCTATTTATTTTGAAGGGATTTACCTATCCTCGGTCATTACTCGAGAAATCACCATTTCGTATGCATTTGATCAAGACGTTAGCTAAACCTCAAGATATTATGAATCGAGAGTATATTTATAGAGTATCAGCCGTTTACAACTAACTTATCAGCCAATTCACGATTCTAATAAATTCAGACATAGAATACCAAGCATTTCTATTGGAACGGGGCAGTCAGTGAACTTTCTTACTTTATCAAAATATTCCTATATCTTCTCCTACACCACCAACTCCCACCCATGTTGCATACGTTTATACATGACATCTCCCAGCTAGCCCTTGATCTTCCCCGTCACCTCCACCGGTCCACCCTGCTCCCCCGTCGGAATCACGACATCACGTCCTCGATGTCGAATCGTCAAAAAAACAGGCGTAATAAACCACTATCCACCGTCAGCACTTCATTCAACATCCAATATCCATATCCAATACACCCCTGCAGTCCCTGCCGCAAACTCCTCCATCAGCGCCCCTCCACCTCCATCGCCTCTATCGTATACTTCCGCTCCGTCACCTCCAGATCCAACTGCTCCCTCGCAAGCTCCAACAAACCTTCCCTCTTCGCGCCCTCCAAAATCAGCCCCTCCCCAATCGGCGCCGTCACCAGCTCCTTCTTCCCATCTTTCTGCACCAGGACGTCCCATTCCAAAACCTTGCTCTCCCGTGCACGAGTCGCGAATTTGACTGAATGTGACTTGGCCTTTCTTAACAGTAAAACTATCAGCTCCCTCGTTGCACCGCAGCTGAAATCACGACTTTCATTGTCAAGCAGAACGCTATCCGACAGCAATTGAACTGCATCTAAATGGAATATTTTGGGCAATCCTAAGATCAAGATATATGGACTCTCCCTGCAGAGCATTCACGAACAAAACCGATACGATAAAATTGAAGACTACGTGCGCATATGTTGCTGTAGCAGCCTGACAAAGAGCAAAGGTTCCCTTCCCAGGACATTTTCTCTACCCTCGGAATATGTCATGATCCTGACCAACACTTTTACACGATTCGGCCTGGATAATGGAACGCTAGGCACCACTATAGGTGTTGTGGTAGATATACCTGGCATGTCTGCTTCCAAATCATGCGTGTACGCTGGTCTCATTCTCTCTAGTCAGGCGTAATTCGCATCAATGGCCTTTACATCATATGCCACAAGCCACCCACTTGCGTTCCCATTCGGCAGCAGAGATCAACTAAGCTTGAATTTGATGACCTCGAACCGGCAACCATCCCAATTTCCCATCGGAACGATCTGTCCCTATTAAAGGTCACACAATACGCCGAAGACAAGCGCCAATGTGTCCGGCTTTCTGTCTCATAGAGTACAATGTCTAGGGTTCGATCCTCACGGCAGGGATCCTCGAACCCAAAGACGACCCCAGTAGACGTGGCCAGGATAGACACAGAAAATACTGCTCCATGTACGTCCAGTTATCAAGGCTCAAGTCTTCCAAAGAACTTCATCTCCTGCAGAAGCTAGACATGGAAGATCTCCAGTTTGCACCTTATATGGAATTGACCACCGAAATTGTAAAGACTTCGGGAACTAGAAAACAAATGATTGCGGCATGGGCATCGAAGCGACTTCACTGGGCCACTGCCTTGCAAAAGAACTTCCTCTCTTATTTGTCCGTCACCTTTACTGAAGATGCAGGCCGTCTTGTACATCTTTGACAAACGTATCCTTATAGATTTGACATGGTTACTTTGCCTTCTATAAGCATATAAAGCATATCCCTAACCCATCTACATTTAACCTGCTTCACCTTCGACGTCATACCCACGAACTTTCAAGTTTCAGCACCCTTTTTTCCCGACTCTTCTAGCCACTCAAATCAGAATCTTAATACCATATGTGTCGGTGGCCGATTTAGCGGCGTGCCATAGGCGACTCCCACCAGGAGAGCGCAAAACACGTTGGGATAGCGGTAAATGTTTATGGTAATTGCTCAAAGAACAAGAATAATCGTTGGACTGTATTCCTTTGACATAAATTTTGGACAATGGGCCTCCTTCTATACGCGTAGTCGGAGGCTTGTTGCGTCAGAATGCTGACGAGTGCCCAAAAACAACAACGCAGTCAAACATATTCAAGTTACAGTATATGGAGTGTAGCAATATCGGTTTGATGACCTGTAGATTGACATCATAGCTTATTATTTCCGATCGTTCACCATCAGATCCACGTGCCTCAACGGATGGTGGGCTACTTGCTACGGGGGTGGCATCTTGGCTCTTGGAATTACCAGAAATAATATGACCAAAACGCAAAGCGGGAATTCTAGGTCCTTGATGTGCATCATCTCTACTGGTCATTGTTGTGGCAGATCATACAGCACAACAGGCCGAGAGCTCGTATCTTGACCAGATCACCACCAGTCGGACCTCTGATTGGATGCTCCGCTGCGTGGGAATATTAAAGAAGCTGTCCGTCGATCATTACCCAGCTTCCGACCTGGGGGTGGGGAGAGCAAGAATATGATATGCTGAATCGACACTTCGGAAGACAAAGACAACAACTGCCATGATCCAACCGTCTTGGCAGTCATTTCAGCGGTTCATGTAACCGGATCGGGCCTAATAGAGGGCTCCTGATATCCAAGTCCCATGGTTCGTGGCCGGCATTTGCCTTGCGAAGCATGTTGATAGATCTAGTGGTCATATGGGTCGTTTCCATAGAATCGACGTTGCGTTTTAAGCCCAGAAAGCAGGCTTTCTCTTGGAGGCACAGGTCTTTCTTCTCGGTCACTCTACGGGCTTCTGGGCAACAATCACTAGGAAATCGGACATGGCATGCATAGTGTTAGCCATAATTTCCTTTCGAACTCCGGCGTTGAGAATCATCACCTCTACCTTCTGCCAGCCTAGAATATCGGGGAGGAGCGACGCTGTGAAGGCATCCACGCCCTCGATAAAGTTCATCCGATTGAAGCTGCCACATTCCTTCAACCGCGTGTCCTTTGGCCAAGTTCCCAGCGGGAGCTTGAATCTCGACTCGTCGACAAGCGTGAAGCCGGCATCTTCCACCCAGCCTCTCATATGCGGGGCCGGATCCATCGTCTGCCCAATGCGCAGACAGGCCTCCTTGAGCGCATCCAACATCGTCACGGTGTAGCAATCCGGCGGTAACGTGCCATCCTCCGCGTACAATGTGTTGGTTGCTTCCTGTAGTTCTAGGTATCCTCCCGGTTCCAGGTTCTCATAACATTGACGGATCAGTCTCGGCCAATCCCGAATCGAACCGGCCATGTAGCGACAGTGAATGAAATCGTACTTTTGGCTCTCCAACCAATCTTTCTCGACGTCATCAACGTAGAATCTCGTATTCGGCGGCACCCAGTCGGGCTGAATGGGACTAAGATCGTTCCCGACGATTTCTGCAGCCGTCGGGTACTCGTCGCCTAGCTCGATGGCCCACGCTCCGGTTCCCGTTCCAATATCGAGGATGCGCTTTCCGTCCAGATCGATCGGAGCCAGGAACAGTCGATCGTTCAATACTCGATAGTACATATGGTGGACCATATCCAGTCGGTCCTGTTCGGCTTCATCGTTGGGGAAATGGTAATTTCCAGCGAACTTGCTGTGATAGCGCCGACCGTGTCGGTATTCGTACTGGAATACGGTGGATCGGATGGACGTGCTGGCCTCGGACGAGGAATCTGTGATCAGATCGGGGATCGCTTCATCCCAGTCGACCTCGACTGTGTCTTTGTGGCCGGCCATTGTGGTTTAATGTTGTTCAGGTCAAACGGCGACCCCCGACCACGTTTCTCCGAAGCAAAGTGGGGAATTTTCTTTCCTTTCTATTGACGATGTGGGGACCTGATCGTTATCTCTGCCTAGGACCATACATTGTTCCAAAAGACGAGAATAACCCCGGAATGCGAGCCCATTCTTCCCTTGTTCTCTGTGAAGCAAGAAACTGCCGTGTTATTTGGACTACAATCAATTCGCTATGCTACGTTTTGGTAGGGTCTCACCAAAGAGGAAAGGGAAAAAAAAGTCTGATGAACATAAATTAAGATACCATATCATTAAAATTAGCACCAGTCCTGTTGGACCGTCCAGAAGATATGTAGGCCCCCGTCAGGTTTTCTTTATACGACGGGCCATCCGTCGTTCCAGTTCAGCCGATTCCACCCAAACTGATACTGCTCGACAGCTAGGCCGATATTCGTATTGGCATAATGGTAATAGAGAACCGGGCCCAAATTCTTATCGTTCAAAATACCCCTAAAGCGTGTGAGTAGCCGTCTTCGAAAGAAACATCCTCTGCGAAATGCTTACTGTCCGCCAGGCCCGTAGACAACTCCGTGGCTTGCGAGGACCGTTGTCCCTCCACTTTCGAGGCAGGACTTCCCACTTTGATCAACCTGTAGCAGCTCCTGTTAGTACAAGTAGGATGGGGAGAAAGAGTAGGAACGATTTGTATTTCACGTACAAAATCACCTCTACCCGACTCCGAACGGCAGACGTTGATCCGATACTCCTCTCCTGGCGCAGGGTGGTTGGTATCGTATCCATTAGCCCTGCCCGAGGAAAAGAACAGGTAGTAAAATCCATTATATTGGAATAGGAATGGCGCCTCAATCGCGTGGTTGCCAGATGCATTATAGGCAATGTTATTCGGGGCGGTGCTTCCAATCTTCAGTGGGCTCGACAGATCTACCTGGTACAAGCCCTGCCAATAAGACCCAAAATTCAGGACTTGAGTGTCCTCGATCTGAATCCAGTTGGCGTCGATGGTATTGTATCCTTGTGAGCCGTCGGAACTCAGACCCGTGCTACCGTGGTCTGTCCATTTACCGACTTCCATGGTCGGGGAGCTGGCAACTCCGATGACGGAGTTCTGTGATCCCAGCGTCGAGACAGCATAGTACATGTAGTATGTGCCATCTTGGTAATGCACATCGGGGGCCTGCAAATATGGTTAGCTACATGTGCTATGTAGAGTATTGGACAAGTGATCTTTACCCAGAGGTTCTTATTGCCGTCGTGATCAATGGAGGAGCCTGAGGGTAAGGCATAGCCCTCCTCCTTCCAGGGCCCTTGGAGGGCGTCTGAGGTGCTGATATGGATGCCATTTCCGGTCGAAAAGAGGAAATACTTGCCGTCCGACTCACGTTGCCAGAGACCCGGATCATGGGCCCAACAGTCTCCCGAGCAGGGGCCCGGGTCTGCGTAGGCATTAACCAACGTGAGGGGCAGACAGAGAGCAGACAGAAGCGCGAGCATGTTGAAAGGCAGGAGAAATGAACTGCGGAGGCTCCGTCATGCAGGAAGTTTTTGGTGTCGTCCTTGGGGTTTATGTATGCACCCATTCGGCTTGGCTCCGACTGCTACCTTTGGCCTTCGACAGCACAAGGACTTCGGCCGTACAGGTCACAAGGCGCGGTGGAATGCATATTGCACCAAAACGTCCCGTGAATAACTTTTGTGATGTCGACGTAGCGGGAGAAAAAAAAAAAGCAGCCCCAAGTTAGGCTGTGCTTTGTGCACTGTATACTTCTGGCATCTGACAACATTAGGATTCATGCTAATCATCTAGTTTAAACTTCTACCACCCTTGCAGGAAGAATCCCCGCAAAGAGTGGGTCTTATCTCCCGCAAGGCACAGCAATAATCGGGCAGCAGCACCGATACCGAGATATTTTCGCTTTCTCGAGCGAAGGACAAAACTGGGACAAGTCACGGAATGACGTGCTTGGACACACTAAAGGCGCCACTAGGATAGAGAGAGAAAGCAAATACAGTAAATGCGAGGGCGTGATATTGCCGTAGATCCTAGTCTGTTGTTTCCAAATGACGCAGTCACCTGTTCTTTGCCTATTTTTTCCGTGATTTCCAGAACCCTGACAAAAGCCTTCCCCCTGAGAGGAGACATTTCTGCATGCGCTGGCAGACGCAAGGAAGCAAATCAATAAATGTCCGATCCCAGGGGTTACCCGTTGGGCAGTAGACACGTAGAATCGACTCTTGGAAATCTCAGATTCACCGACTTTTGGCCATTCCGAGTTAGTAATAAATCGAAAATCCCCTCGCATCGAAATCCGTCGATCGCATCGCCTCCCCCACACTTCGCCGGACGATCTGCGGCCGCCACCACAAGCTACCGGCAATGCACTATATTATATTAATCGACGGCAGTTGGCTCGGGGGTTGTGCACTGGGAAAATACGTGGAAAATCACTATCTCTTCAAAGTGAGCAGTAAATGTCGCAATATAGACAGACATCTGAAATCCCCAGCGTGTGTGGGGGAACAAACTCCTCCATGCATGACAGGAAAATATTACTAAGGAGATATGTAGTAAGTTATCATAGTTAAATAAATTGTCCACTTATTCTGAGCTCTAGTTTCCCGCTCCACAGAATCTCCACTGCGGTCCATTGCGGTCTTGGACTCATGTGCCTCTATCGTCACTCATGCAGAACGACGCCATCATAACTTCAGATAAGACTCATTCCCCAGATCTCGAAGCATCTATCAAGTACAATGCAGGATCACCCGAGGTGATCGCCTGAATGGTTATCTCATACATGTAACACCACTTCATATATGCTTATTGGATCAACACAAGTGGGTTGAAGAACCACCACAGAAAGGAGACAGCAAACGATAGGAACAAGGGGGATAAAACAAGCCCGCTACACTATTTCTCCGAAGAATTCCGTACCACCAGAGTCGCTGTCATAGTTTTATCATAACATAGTCCCCCCTCATGGGCACTTGGCGGTGCCTGCAGCCTGTCAGCCGTGTACGACGTGGCATGGTCCTAGCAAAACAGGATTGTTGGGCATTCCAGTGCGCGAAGATCGGTGTTTCCTAGCGTACAATGCTACACCATACAGATGGCATGGTGAGAACAACACAGTCCCAAAAATGCGGCTGAATGTCGCTGGAATCCAACCAATGCCATCGCATAGTCCCGCGGCTCCACATTAAATCCCTCCAAGCCCAGACCTGCGTGAGGGGCAACAAATAAGCAACTGTGGCTATGGCTCTATTTCTCGTATTTACTAACATTCTTCCCTCCCTCTACTCGAATATTGGGCTGGTGCCTCATGAGGGGAGCCGAGGACAGTTCATGTTTTTCTCTCTCTCCAGTGGATAAAGGAGAACTGCGAACAGACACCAGTTGCCTGTAAGTAGGCTGTGCATTTTCTTCGATAGAAAAGAAGAGAGGCTCTTACGCTTATACTCCGCTCCCAGGATAGATCCGAGAGGGATGCTGGAAGAAATGGTCACATAGGGTATCAATCCAGAAGACAAACCAGAAGCTACTTGTAAAATAGAGCCGCGGCGGATCAAGGCAGAAACAACAACAGCGGTTAGAATAATTGGGCTTGAATGTGTGTAAGTCCTCGACGCATGGCTAGAGGCAGGAGCTAATGCAAGCGGAGGCGGCCTATTCTCTGAAATGAGACATGCCACAGGGGGAAGTAGTCCAATTCAAGATGCACGGCCATACCAAAGCCCATTTCCGTAGCCCGATTCACCCGATTCACAAGATAGCGAACATGGGGTTGCTATAGGCTACCCAAACAGGTCGCGTCGGCTCGCTAGATTGCCGCGCTGAAGAATAACTGTGCAACTCGCATTCAATCGCGCTATGCTTTGCTGAGAACGTTGATTCCGCTTCCAAGTTCAATCTGGTCTGGTAGTCAACATACCGAAGTATCTCCGAGTGTTCTCCGACGCCCTTTGTTCGTCAATCGAACATAATTCTATACCCTGAACCGGATCTTCGCTATACGACCAAGGTCTTGAGTAGCCTCTTACCTTCTGATACGGGAAACTGGCACAGAGCTATCTCCTTTGCCGGGGATCCCTAGCACACAGATGGTTGGAAAGGGGAATGGCGACGCATTGACGCGTAATAAGGGGCAGATATCGCCGCAAATTGAGAAGGCTTGCTAGGATCAGCTTTCCCCTGATTCCTGCATATTATTATTGCTCATTTGCATACAATCCCTGCCATCAGAGACTACGATCATCCCACATGGGACAAAGTTCAGCGATGCAAGCGCGATAAATAGTTGGGAGATTTATAGCTAGACTACAGCGATGAAATAAGGCAACTTAAATAACGCCGTCGATCCTCCACGGAGAGCTTAGCCTGGATGATCTTCATGGGAGGTCGCTCCCTTCGGTTGACGTTAGCTACGCTAAATTTGGTCTATGTGGATCTTCTTTGTACTCCATGCTTTTTCTTTTTTTGGAACTAAGCATATCAAAGTTCGAATTGATGGAGTTCCGGTGAAACAAATGCTAAATTCCAAGGGTAAGATCAGACTTAGACGACAACAACCACTATGAAGGATCGGCCCTACCGAGACCTCGTTTCTAACGTATTGAAGGAACTTCATGGAATCGTAAACCAGCTGTACTGTACAATACCTGGAGTCCAGCTTTATCTCGTTTCATGGACATTGCGTGTAGGTAGTTGAAAGACCAGTGAAGCATAAAATTCTGTGTCGGGATGTTTGAGCAATGGTTCTAGTATCCGGTCACGCGATACGGCCACCATTGATAGTCTATCTGTCACTGCTAGAATCTAAAATATGAAGGAGCGACTAAACATTAAGGAAGGACTAAGGCTAAGTACATAGTTGTATATCAAATCGCCACATGCAAGGCATCATTAAGGACCGTAGACCTCCCATTTTCGGGTGGTATAATGAGGTACAGAAAACATAACGTGTCTTCGTCATCGTTGGTAAGAGGATACTGCTAGCTTGCCTTCTTAGTAGCGGACAATGTTGCGAGCTCCATGCCACGTCTTGGTCTCAGTTGGAGTGGGACCATTGCCAGTGCCTGTGGGTTTGGTATGGGTAGGGTGAGATCCAGTGCCGGTGGGCTGGTTGGTCTCGGTAGCGGTAGAGGAAGGAACATCCGTCTTCGTGGCCTTGTCGGGTCCCGTACCAGTAGGTTCTGAAATTGGGGGGATCACAATTGTAGTAGTGAAACCTTGAGTGTTGGTATAGGTGATAGTCTCGCAACGCTCACAGTGGTGACCGCTTTGACCACCGGGAGCATCGGTGGGAGTAATATCTGAGCCGCCGTTGCCAACAGGGACGTACACTGTCACGGTGGAGGCTGGAGGGCATGTCTCGGAGCCATCAGCACCAGTAGGAGCAGGGCCGACAATGGTAGTCGTAGTCTCGACGTGGGGAGTGGAAGTGGGGGTTAGAACTGCGGTGGTGGTATAGCAGGTAGTGGTCTCATAGGTGGAAGCAGTCACCCAGGTGCTGTAGTAGGTAGTACCACGTTCAGTGTGGACTGGGGTCGAGCACGGTTTGAAAGTCGTCTTGGTAATGGTGTCGGTGATGGTGGAAGTGATAGTAGTTCCGGAGCCTCCAGGAGCGGTCGTGGTGGTATGAGAGTCACCACTACTTCCAGTCTCCGTGGGCTTCTCTCCACCGCCACCACCTGTGGGCAGAAGGGTAGGAGAGTGAGAGATGGTTGTGTTCAGGCCACGGGGGAAAGGTCCCGGTAGAGCAAGAGCAGAGCCGGCAAGGGCAGATATAAAGAGTACAGTAGAACGCATGGTGAGCTCGACAGAGTAGATCAGCTGGAAGCGAGGGTAGAAGGGTGCTAAGGAGCCCAAAAAAGGTATTCGGCTTGGTAGACAAGAAACGACCGTCGTATTTGGGGGTTGATAGTGTATGCTAACAACGCTAGAACGTGAAGTAAATGGATCTAGACAATCCGAGAAAGAATATGACGTCCAAGAGGGGATCCTCTGTCCTTTATATAGTCTGGTGGCCCTGATCTTTTCGCCATCTTGTACGTAATAACCACACGCCCACATTTCCCCAAAGCAGAAATGAAAATTCTATAGCCATCACCCCATTGACCAGCAATATCGGAGACACTTGCTTTCCGGCCCTGTCGAAGAACCGTTAGAGGAACTATTGGTTTTTGGATCCACCAGGGTACCATTAGACCCTGTGGCGTCTCCACTTCGGCTCTCTGCCGAGCTCGAGGGAACTATTCCCGAACGCCGCAATTCCACGGGCTGTCAGTCCTGGCTATCGTTTCATTGGTCGAGGCTAGGTACTGTAGGCTTCCTATTCGGCCGTACCATGTACAGTCTCAGATTCTGAGGTAAAAATAGGACCTCGAGACGTCAGGGTCTTGAAGTGAACCATGGTTTGCTCGTCCACAGCCGTTAAGCGAGTGTGGCGCACCACCGTCAACCGAGCTCTGAGACAGAAATGAAAAGTCACCAGGTATCTATGGAGCCGATAGTTCTTCAGTTCCCCTCAGTAGCGCAAAAACTCCTCGTAGACTTTTGCGGGTAAAGTAGAGTGCGAGCAAGGAAAATGTCGAGTCCCCGCCGCTACTTGCGATCAATCTTCTTTGTTGCTCCGTGTGACATCTTTTGAGACGATCTCTTCGAACCACAAATGTGTAGATTCCGAGATCTCATGTTATGCACATGACCCATGATGATATAATGCTAGCAATTGCGAGAAGCGGCAATTGTGGCTGAGACATTAGAGTGGGAGCTCTGGAAATGATTTGTCGAGTTCCGGATATTCTTATCTGACTTTTCGTATTTTATTCCAAGCATCACAGAAAAGAACAATAGCTCCCTTCGACCGACTCCATGCGCTCATTGTCTTGTCCTCTCAAGTCGCATTGAGACTTGTTTCGGAAATAGAAACAGTCCAACGACAAATCAGGGCCAATGCCGAGGGATGAGATCGGTCTGGCCTTCACAATATACTTCTGCGGCGGTCGCATAATGATCGTACTCTCGCTCGTCAATGGCGCTATGACACGCTTAACTGAATGAACGGCTAGCCGAGGATTGTGGTCATTGACCAGGTATGTTGATGAGTATCATTCGCATTGGCCGTGTAGGTCTTCAGGAAATGTTTGCTGTTGCCTCGGCAATAATAAAGGTTTCTCTACCTCGCCCGTCCTGACTGCATCATGGCCGCCTTCAAGGTGCTTGTGAACTTTGCGGTGCCTTTTCCAGCTTTCCTCGCGGTGATTCAAACCAGTCTGAGCATAGATGTCGCGTCATCTGGGTTGCTAAGACTCTCCCACAGTATTTTGTGATAAGCAGCTTGCCCAAACTACCCATAGGTTTCTATGGGTATTTCAGCTCTCCGCACAGGCGAAACTGCGTAGCTGTTTAGCTATCGTGGCTATTACCGCCGTCAAACATCTCACTTGCCTATGCCATAAAAAGACGTGCTTGACCCAGGATGGGCGACTCGGCTGTAATACCCAACGAGAGGAGACAATTCCACAATATAATCTTCGTTCTTCCCGTCCATAATCCCATGAATTTTGCAACCTAGAAGCTGACGGTGTGTTTCCATTTAGGCCCATCTTTGTTTTTGTGTAAACCAGGCTGCCCTCCAATCGATACGCACCAGCTATGCTTAACATGAAAATTCTCTGTCGAGCCAGAGGAAGGTGTGGTCGCAACAAATATCGTCCATATCGCGAAATGGGTCCCCATACATCATTGGAAGCCTTCGTTGTGGTGAGCATTTACGCAGTGCCGATCGCCGGAAGATCGGGAAATCAGCTAACGTACCATCTCTGTCGGTTTGTAACTTGCTTAGTGATGATCATAGACTTTGCATTCTGGACGAGACTGATGATAGAGGTTTGTAGGAGCCATGCGTGCTCGTACTGTGCATAGATGTTAATGGGACCATAGTACTAGAATGCGTTGGATGGCACATCTCCTGTGTAAAGTGAGAAAAGGAAGAAACTTATAGGCGGCCATTAGAAACATTATTATACCCACAGTTAATCAACGATCGACACTTGATCTTCGTAGTATTGGCCTTTAACTCCCTGTCAGTTCTACGCATGCCCCAGTGATCGTCGCTTGGCATCGGAGGGATTCCGCATGTCTTGAACCAGTTGAGATTTGATTGAGGCAGCTCAATGTCATATACAATGACATACCATTCGTCTATCTATTCATAATCCTAATTCTTTTCCTCTCTAGAGACTATTCGACGGATGGGACGACTTTCTGGAAGACAGTAGTCACAACCGCTCTATATATTCGTGATGCATCATGTAACTAGCTATCATGACAACGAATTGTCTATGTCTTTTCCATGCACAGACAGTCTTTGGTGTAACGGCTCGAACGTCTTTTCGGAGGCACCACCGGTCGGCTTGCCAAAGACCAGCTGCGCCTTGAGACTCCAATCCGCAGGAATCTTCTATTGCTCGGGGACACGATCGTCGTACATAGGGTTGTAGTGCTGGAGATTATAGCCCAATCTGTCCGCTTCCAAAAGTGCCCAAACTAGGGGCCTTTGGTGAGCAACAAACTCGAGTGAGTGTGACTCGTACTCACGGGCATAATGATGCATAGCACTAGCATGTTCCGACCTAGATAATGTAAATATCTGGAAGCTTTCTAGGTCCAAGGTGTGACAATTGACTTAGCGACATAAGCGGGAATTTGTTTTTCAGCATTGGCCGAATCGGGGCGGGATCCTCGTAGAGCAATATCTACTTCTCATCAGCCTTGTGTGGACTTTACAGGCTAGCGATGATACTGACTGACCCGCATGCGTTGCGAAACATGGTAGTTCGTGGCGTATGTACTTTGTCGAACAGTTCCGGTGGCACCGTTGAACGGGCTATACCATGCGCAATATCCCAAAGCTTTTGGTGCTCCTCCTTGAGAAGGACAACTTCCGACGGCCCTTGAAGCTGTCGCCAATGCTCTTCGCCATGTGGTGCAAGTAGTGAAGGTCAGAAAAGCCTAATACAAGTGCATGAATAATAAACAAGGAGAGCCAAGATACAGCATATTATAGAAAGAGGTCTCGATTTATCATTTTTTAGGATTGGTGGTCAGGGCTAAGCACACTGACATGGACGCCAATCAGCCAAACAAGCTATTTTAGTGTAAAGCCTAGTGATTGACCTCGTATTACTTTACTATGGGAGGGTCGATTCAGCTCCCTCATAGGATATATATATTGGATGTACCGTAAGCCCTAACGTTTAATGCGACCGTAGCGTTGCAGTGAGACTCCGCTATACTGTGGCTTGTAGTTCAATTAATACGGCGATGACTCTTCCTAGATCCATGATCTTGGGGGCTAGGAGACGCGTAACAAAGAAAGTGAGGCGCCTTATCAATGCTATCTATCTACATTACTATGACCATGATCAGTCCTCATGTGAGCGTTTGATGCTTTCCTCACAGGTGTGATGGCGCAAATCTAGGCCACTTAGAACACAGACGTAAACATAATAGCTCGTAGATAGGGTCGTTCTCAGCGACGAGTTCCGTGCCACTGATTAAATCCGGAATGCGTGTCATAAAATGGTACGGCGCTGACACTGACACGCAAAGGGAGGGGGAGATATTTTGCGTTAATAATGCAAGATACCGGGCGTAGTCTTGGAGATTGAAGTGCAGCATTTTATAAGGTGAGATAAATCGACCAGTTTGATAATTCGGTAATACCATATAACATGGAAGAAGAATATTTATATCCTCGAGAAACTCGTTCAGCAAATACCATTAGACTACTTACTATACTAACCTATTAAATTTCAGCGCAAAAAAGTGAGAGCAAAAAATTGGTCCCGGAGAGGCTCGAACTCTCGACTTCTGAGTTATTAGCTCAGCACTCTAACCGACTGAGTTACGGGACCCATTTTGTTGCGATGCCGCTTCCATAATAAGCCCTATAAAGCCATTTTACTTCTAATCGCCAAAGGGGATCTGGACGAATCCTTGACGCTTTTTTTTTTCTTCTCTTCTACTTTTTTGCCATTGATAAGGACTACTTAGTACTCTGGGACAGCTGGGGCTTTGAAGGTGTCTAGGATTTACGTCCCGGTTGCTTGAGATGATGCCATATTCGCACTACTCTCTCGCCATAATCCCAGGAATCAGCCGGGATGTCCTCACTGCTCATGAGTTCAATGCTCAAAAGGTAGTTAATTTATATTTTTTGTCTCTTCTCAGCTCCGCATTCTTATAGAGAGACGTGGCCCCTCGACTGTGAAGCATGGTGTCGATCGTGTAGCAGATAAACTAACGGGATACGACAAGCAAAAGAAAGATAAGAAGAAAACAAATCTTGAAATTCTTACGCACTAAAGTGAATCATTTATGTACATGAAATTTGACGTCCAATCCAGTACCTAATGTGAGATTCAAAAATAGTCAGCCCGGCCTTGGTAGGCGTTAGCCCGGGGTCTTCACCACTTAAGGCTTCCAAATGCGATTTCAGGCCATATAGTTCAGAATTGACGATCAATAGGTAGCTGCACGTGCCTCGGAGGTTGCATTTGTTAGCTCAATAGGCCCTTATTTAATCTATTTCTCGTAGGAAACATCCTGCTGGATACGAGAACCTGTATGACGATCAGATAAGATGCTCGGGGGCATCGGAGCGACTTTCGTCACCGAGCCTTGGCGCCAAGGGCCTGGAGTTCGTCACGAAGGGAGAAACCTGGCTAGTTTTGAAGGGAAGCTGGTCCAGGCCCGAGACTAAGCGGGTCTTTCGTAAGGAAGGCAGCAACAATCGGAGTCCGGGTATCTGGCATCTATCGAGATTCGAACTAGGGCCAAGCATGGAATTGGAGTAACGAGCATGGATGCGACTCCTTCGAGTGGAGTTGGGAGTCACATCATTTACCGAAGGCTGGTGCAGATATCCGCGGTGGAAAAGGCAGATGAAGTGTGACGTGAAGGGATCCCCCCAAAGAGGATCTGCCGTACTTTCGAGTTGCGCGGGGAAAAACGCATGTATCTATTTCTATTGCTCCTGAGACAAGAGCACGTCTGTATATGTGACTATTGACAATGTAGGCAATTAGCGACCCTCGAAACTGGGTATAGGATAATCAACCAGCTGTTCTGCCTCTAGCAATACCCGTAAACATTGCTCATCACTCGCATCTACTGCGTAGTGCAGGGCAAGCCACCCCGCCGAGTCCGCCAGCGTGGGATCAGCTCCCCGCTGGAGGAGCTCGGCCACCATAGTGTGGTGTCCACTTATGACTCCTACATGAAGGGCGGTAGCCCCCTCGCTGTTGACGGCATTTGGATCCGCCCCATGTTCCAGCAGAAGATGCATCATGGAAAGGTTTCCCCGCGAGACCGCCACATGTAGCGGGGTAGTCCACCGTGGATGTGCCGGCGCCGGAGCACCTGGGGCGGCGCCAAACCGTGAGAGGTGCTTTGGTGAAGGGGCTCGTGGGATGGTTGGCCCACTAGCCATAGAAGAATCGAGGGCGTGCGCCTTATAGGGCGGCGAATTCAACAAGCCAGGCATTATACTCTGCTGCGTAGAGCCGCTCTCTGGCAAAATGGGAATATCGTGGTCATTGCCTGTGGGATAGCTCTGGTCGAAGTGCCCTGTCAGTGTGAATGAGTCATATGACGGCTGAAATGCTGTAGAGAGTACGGGGTCGAGGTATGTCCACGGACTCTGTGTGGGTGAACGTGGTAGAGGGCCTGCGGAAGATGATGACGAGGAGGAGGAGGAGGAGGAGTCGTATGGGGACACGGAGCCATCAATGGGCGGCATTTGGCTATCTGACTGCACCAGAGAGTTGAACGAGGCCTCGTACAGCAGCGAGTCGTTTTCGGAAATGGGAATCTCGAATGCTAATGAACCGGTGGATTTTGTATTTTGAGCGAAATTGCGCGGACGGTCTTGCGACTTCCGGCTTGGAAATGACGGACGGCCAGCGTCGAGACCCAGCTCCCTCAGTCGCTTTCTGACATTATCGCCTATGCGAGGTTAGCTGAGCGAATATAACAGAGATCCAAATGCTGGCGCTCACGGTGGCGTCTCTGCGCGATGCGGTTTTGTTCCCTGCGTCTCTCTAGAGCAAGTAGCTCTTCGTGAGGTGAATCCATAGTGCTTAACATGGCCCTCATTTCGATGTCCGAGAGAAGATCTTGGAATTCAGCGGCACTGGGAAGATACATACCAATAAATACAGGAACCCAGTGCTAAAAGCGGAAATTGAATAGCGCCGGATGGATGGCTCAGGCGGAGAAAGGGCATATTGGCTTCCTTAGAAGCAGGTACTAACGTATTCGGTAAGCGACTCGCCTACTTGCGCGACTCGCTTACCGAATACGTTATACTGAAGTGAGAAATTAGTGCAGTAGGCAATATGCCGATCGTGGAAAGTACTGTTTCCAGTAGGTGTGTCAGGATCACGTCCTTTTCCTCCACATGAGTTCTTGATCTCCAAAGGAACTATGGAGAAGTCGAAGGTATAGCCGAAGAGAACTTATGGACCAATCGTGTACACAGTAAGGCCCGCCTCGTATCATCCCCGTGGCTTAGGAGTGTCCCGTATTAACTTGCCAACGCAAGTTGCAATGAGCCTGTTTTCCGGAAGGAACCGCTTCCGCCCACTTGATTGCTAGATCGCCAAAGTACCACATCTCTTGTCAAACTCGCCATGGCTTAGAAGGTTCCATTAGTGGTTCCCGGCCGTAAACTTGAAGAAATGGCAGTAGAAGGCCGGGGAGTGTAGGAGTATCTTGGTGGAAGGCGGCCGACTTCAAGGAGACCATCGTTCCAACAATATATAGGACTTGGGATGGGAGATAAGAGCGTTAATTCACTCCGTTCGGCGCCCCTTTTCCTCCGGCAATGGCCCTCCCTGGGTCCGTGAGAAAGTTGAGAATAATGTCTCCACTGGATGGCGTCGGACTCGCTTCACGCTCGGCCTTCCGACAGCCGCGGCAACTCCAAACACACTAATCATGGGTTGACACTGCCAATGGTTTGGTAAAGGCGAACGTGGACGCCAGGGAGTACGTGTCATGAACATGTCCAAAGCTTTTCTACGCTTCGATCTGTACCCCGAAGGCTTACGACGAGTCAATTATTTTGGCTTATCAACATCGGTTTACTCGAATACAAAACATTTGATGCTTGGTGCCAGGTATGCTATGTCTTCATGAAATGAACTTCCTCTATACAGATGGAGACTAGTGGCCCTGACGGACAGGACCGAGGAGACATCCGTCCGAAGCCGACGACCCTTGCTGTGCTAGCATCAGCCATTGACGTGAATGGCACAATGCCGAGAAGTCTTATGCCAGATGATCATCATTCTGCAGGTCATCCTTCCGCCCTACTCCACTTTCAATCTCCTCTCATTCGACGAAGCATGGATATGAACATATGAACTCCGAGAGGTAGCCAGTATCAACGCCTGCTGCGTTTTACATAGATGGCCCAAAGTAGTAAAACGACGATCAATTGCCTGTTGCTTGGAAACTAGGTAGCCCATCTCGTAGTAGTGTAACCTACTCTTTGAGCGATTCGGTGTAGATCTTAGCGTCGCCCTCGGTCATATCGTCATGACCGAGCATTCGAAGGCTCGCGGCTGTCCCATGGTCAAATCTCTCGCAGGGTTGTGTTACGGCTCCACCGAGCATTGAAAAGGAGGCCTCGTCAGCTTTAGATGTGAGTGACTATCTGCTATCTACGGAGTTGATCTAAATCTTTGACTTACGTGCCGTTGTCATATTGCGGTGAATTCACACCTACCCTAACGTACTTCGTGACTTTACTTGAAAAAAATATCTCCACCAGGAAGCATGCATCTGCCTCAAGCCGTCCAGACCTCCCTCAACTATTGGCCTGCGGATGGCCCTGCGAAAAGGGAGCTTGTACTGGGCACGGTTGGGGCGTATCGGCGACCCATTGATAGACGATCTGTCTCAATCCAGGATGTACGGGGCCGAGAGGGAACATATACCCTGAATATTCATGGCTTCCAATTCATTAATCATGTCAGCCCGCACGTGGCATCTTTTAATGAGGCCGCGGTCAAGACGTACATGTATCCAGAGGCGGAAGAGATCCTCAAGAGCGCGTGAGCCTCGCCCTGCCACCCTTTTCTCTCTTCCTTGTATCTGTTTTCTATCACTCAAATCACAACTATGGACTTCTCAGACCTCTACTTACAATGTACGGACAGGACGGGCGCCACTCGCGTGCATGTCTTTTCCCATATTACTCGTACCGCCCCCTACGAAAAGGTCGAAGCGATGGTTCATTCCGCCGAAGCGGATACCAAAGCAACCAGTCTGATGGTGCCTGCGCGGCATGTCCATGTAGACCAGTCCGAAGCTGGGGCCTTTGAGGTGCTGAAGGACAACATGACTCCAGAGGAAGCCGAGCGACTGGGGAAGACTCGGTGGGCGATCATCAACATCTGGCGCCCGCTGAAGCCTGTTCCCCGCGACCCACTGGCCGTATCAGATGCCCGATCCTTCAGTGATGATGATCTCCTGGAGATCTACGGACGGGTCCCTGGGAAGGAGCAGGAAAAGGACTATGATGCAGCAACCAAGGGGAGTGGCTTTGGGATGCTTTATGGTAAGTATGCGCCTGACCAGAAATGGTATTATATGTCCAATATGAAGCCGGACCAGGTGGTATTGATCAAATGTTACGATTCGAAGAAGGATGGTAAAACATCCAGACGGACGCCTCATACAGCGTTTGTAGATCCAAGAACCCAGAATGTGGAGGAAGCACGACAGAGCTTGGAACTGAGATGCTTGGTATTCTTTGAAGATGAGCCCATAGCCTAAAGGGACGTGGACAAGGACCTACTGGCGGAGTAGTTGCTGTGGAAACCAAGTGGTTGCGAAACAACTTTGCCATGTACTAGGAGGCCTTGAGCTATCTTGTTGAGGGTTCATTGAGAATGAACCGTTCGTCGTAGCATTGCAGAGGTAGATAATGACAGTCCGGGTATGCTTTGTCGACTTAGCTACTTAAGATGCGGTTCCTTTAGATGTAGTACGGATTATGGAGAAAGAGTAAGGTAATATAATTAATATATGTGTTGTGATATTGATATCCGAAGTTTTCATAGAATTCCTGCCTTAGTTATCTCTCATCAAAATTAATAAAGGCGTCTTTCGCCCATCTAAACTTGTACTGGGCCATTTAAATAGAGAAAAATGCTTGTTGTACTAGATCAACTATGATTATCCTTTCTTTTCGTTGATACTTGGACCCCTTCTACTGATTAATGTCGTTCCTACGCCTGTATATTTTACTTGACAGTTTCACGAGTTAAGTGCATTAAAACAAGAACCAACAGCCTAAACTCAAAAATGAAATTATGCACATCTTTTACCATATCATTTCCTCGAAGGCACCATTCCCCGAGCGACCCAGTCGTCTACATGTCGCCGCAAGTCCTCCAAACCAACACCAGATTTCAGCTTCCCGCAATCTTCGAGCGCCTTCCGGGAGTTTGTCACATCGTAAGTGGCCATGTTCTCGTACAACTCCCAGCGTGTCAGATGCTTCCGAACCGGCTCCTGTAGGACCGGCAACATGGGCAACAACGGATTGGCAAGCAGATCCTTATCCTGAGATAGAATCTCGAGCCAGTCTTTGTACTCCACTGCCTTCAGCTTGTACCCAAGCTCCTCAAGCATATTCCAAGAGGTTTCAATGTCTGTGTCCTCCTCCGGTGTCTGTGGCACCAGATGGAAGGTGCGCCCAATGTTTTGAGGATTGGACGTGATATGCAGCAAGGCAGTTGTGATGAAGTCAACAGGAATCATAATCTTGCTTTGGTTCGGAAGAATGGGACGATATCCTAACTTGATGCAGCCAATGAACACCCGACACATGAAGTCGTCACAGTTGCCCTTGCCACGTAGACTGTCGCCCATGATGAAGCCTGGCCGGAACACAATGGCTGGCATGCCCTTGGCAATCATACTGTGGATCAACTGCTCCGAGACCCACTTGCTCTGCGTGTAACCTATATCATAAGGTAGCCAGCCCTGGAACTCTCCAAGATCCGAATCCTCTGAGATGCTCTCTGCGGACGTGAAGTGCGACACAGGCCCCGTGACGGCCGCTGTGGAGGTGTAGTGCAGTGCCTTGGTGCGACCAGTTGTCGCGAGCTTGATGCAGTTCAGCGTTCCGAAGACATTGGTATTGCGGTGCTTCTCATACGGCTGGACGTAGTTGACATGGGCTCCCACATGAAAGATGACGCTAGTCCACAGAGCCAGTTCGTGAAACTCGGTCTCAGACAGCCCGAACAGTTCCTTACCTAGGTCACCCGCAATGGCCGACACCTTGTCTAGATTATCCTTCCCTCCAAGACCGTATTTGTCTAGGGCACCAAGAAGCCGCGCACGAGCAGAAGACGCGTCCGAGGCCCGGACCAGACATCGTACAGACTTGACATCTGGTCGGTCGATCAGCTCACGCAGGAAGTACGTCCCCAGGAACCCAGTTGCTCCGGTTAGGAAGATCCTGCCTTCGGAAGGGCTTCGCCAGTCGGGTGCTTCTTTAGACAAAACAGGGATGTCCTTCGCGAGCTGGGAGTCCGCGATGAAGATGCCAAGGCGAGAATGGTCAATCTTACTTTTTGCCTGACCAGCGTCGATAAGGGTGGCGAGGCTCAGTAGGGTGGGATGGTCGTAGATTTGTTGCATGGTCAATGACAACCCGAAGCGCCGACGAATATGGACCAGCATCGCAGCCCCTTGTAAGGAGCTGCCTCCCAAGTGAAAGAAGTTGGACTCGTCACCGATATTACTGATGCTGAGGACAGAGGTCCACAAGGTGCGTAACCAGCTCACACTGTCAACTCCCGCTTTATTATCAGAAGACCCAAGCAACTGCTGTTCGGCCTTCTTCGTCTCCTCTAGGTGCTTGTTGATGACCGCCACACGATCGATCTTGCCGTGGACGGTGAAGGGCAGCGCGTCGACAGCCTCCAAACGGGGCATCATGTACGCAGGTAACCGCCGCCGCAAGTATCCGTCAATTTTCTCTAGAGAAAAGGTTTGCTTGTCTTTAGGGATCACAAATGCCACAATGTATGTTTCCTTGCCTGGTCGACGGACTGGAAGGACGACGGTACCCTGGACCATCTCACTCTTTAGGAGCGCCCCTTCGATCTCCGCTGGCTCGATGCGGAATCCGCGAATCTTGACCATGTTGTCGGCACGCGCGACGAATTCGAGGTCCCCAGAGTCGAGAACCCGAGCGAGGTCACCCGATCGATAGATCCTGACTGGTGACCCGCTCTTGGACAGATGGGATACCTCAAGGAAGCTCTTGGCGTTCGCTTCAGGACGTCCCAGGTAACCGCGGGCGACGGCGTCACCACCAATATAAAGTTCACCGACATCGCCGTTCTTGACAGGTTGGAGATTTTCGTCCAGAATGTAGACTGTGGTGTTGTCCAGTGGCTTCCCAATAGGGGTCTGTCCACGACGGACTTCCTCCAGGGTGGTGAGGTGGTATGTTGTGATAATGGTGCATTCAGTTGGCCCGTATGCGTGCACCAGCTTCTTTGGCGGTCCATTCTCTAAAACAACCTGCATAACGCTGGGATTCGCCGCCTCGCCTCCCGTCAGCACATAGTCGAGGTCCTCAAAGGCATTGGGAATCGCCGACACGATATGGTTAAGCAGTGCGGTCGTGACAAGAATGGAGGTAATGCGGTACTTGCGCAAGCTGTCATGGAAGGCGACTGGGTCAATTACAACGTTCTTAGGAAGCATAACAATGGCCGCTCCTCGTGCCAGAGTGGTCCATATCTCAAAGAGAGCGGCGTCGAAGCTCGGCGCCGAGATTTGAGCAACTCGATCCGTGCTTTTGAATTCGACACACTGCGTATTGAAGGCCATACGAGTGATTCCTTTCGACATAATCTCGACAGGCTTGGGCAACCCTGTTGTTCCTGAAGTATGCAATATGTGGGTGCGATGCTCGCTTCCGGTCTCAATGGCGGCGACTGTATCTTCATGGAAACCATTCTGATAGACGTCGGTGTACTCGGAACCAACGAGGATGGTCTGGAAGTCGTCAAAGCGAGGCTTTTCGTCCTCGACTGTGAGGACAATCCGAGTGTTCAAGGCATGCAGAAGGTCTTTAATACGCTGGTCCGGGAATGACAGATCCATGGGTACACAAGAACCCCCCAAACGCAGAACAGCCACCTGGGCTACGACGTGTGCAATTCCCATTGGCACGAGGATACCGACGGGCTCTTCTCGCTGAATGTGTTCCCGAGCCAGGATCGAGACCAGGCGATTAACGCGGGCATCGAGCTCTCGATATGTCATGGATTGGTCTCCTTCCACCACTGCAGTGGCATTGGGAGAGGTGCGGACATGGTGTCGGTACCATCCCTCGAGTCCGAGTGCAGGGCCGCTTGACAAAATAGGCATGGTGAAGAATAGGTCGGTAGTTAATAGGACTAAGCAGAAAGATATGATGAGGTCGGATGATTCTTATGTGTTTCGCTACATACACTGACTTTGGTATCCGGAGCCGAATTTATATGTTTTTGGACACTTCTACCTTTTGTAGGTAGGTTTAGTCCTATGCCTCCCATTCCCTCAGCTTTGCAATCTCCTCGAGCATTTCCATCATTGTCCTTCGCCTCACCCCGCTGAGCGGTGGTCCATTGGGGCTGCAGCAATCTCACTTCAGGCTTGGCAACGCAGTGGCTAGACCGTGGCACTTGCAGTATAAAATTCACTCTCTAAGTCATGTCATGTCATGTCATGTCATCAAGGCTAGTTTCAGGGCGTCCCCACCCAGTGTAGATCACATCGTGGCAGAAGGATTCCCGTAGTCCAGAATCTCGTATTTCAACATTACATTAGAGTATGCCTCCGGCAAAACGGCCCTATATAAATGGAAGAAGGGACGAAGCTGGCGCTGAATCTATTTTGCAGCCTAGACAGCTAGAACAACAAGCTCTTTGTCCCTACGCCGATCATGGCGGCCACACCGAGCTTGGTGCTGCTCTTCACAAAAGCCCTCTCACATCCCGCAGTATTCTACGCCCCTCTAGGTGCCTTCCTGGCTGTGTCTGGTATCGTGATCGCGACACTATTCTGGCCAAAACTTTTCTCTCCCGCTTCTCAAATCATCTCTTGGGTTCTCAATGTAAGTTTCTCTCGTCTTCTGTCCAAGTCACCAGCAACCCAGCTGATGTGGTTGGCGACAGACCTATCTACGGTTCAGGCATCCGATCTGGCACACCGAGACCGCTCGTCACATCCCGGGACCGTCGTATACATGGCCCAATGGACAAGGTGATGTAGAGAAGTACGTCCTTGGGAGGGCTAAGAGTGAGGAATGGCAAAGCCAATATGGCAACGTCTACCGCATCTGGGCGGGAATGAGCCCCGAAGTGTTCGTACCTTCATCTTACCATGACTGGAACCTGACATTCTGACTGAATATAAGGGTTCTGACAAAACCCGAGCAACTGCACGCCGTCTTCAAGGATTCAGACAAGCACAAGAAAGCTACAAATAGTGACTCGGGTTACTTCATGAGCCGCATTCTCGGTCAGTGTCTGGGCCTGATGGCAGGTCCGCGTTGGAAATTTCTCAAGGGTATTGCTGCGCCGCCCTTCATGCACCCAACAGCCGTCAGGTCTATCAATCGGATCCAAGAGCATGTTCGGGAGCATTTCCACGATCTTGAAACGCACGGAAACCTGAAGAATGGTCGGATACACCCCGTCCAAGACCTAAAGATGCTTCCCTTTTTCATTGTCGCAGAGGCAAATTATGGCTCCCTCACACCAGAAATGAAATCGGAGCTGTATGCCCTGGCCCCCGCGCGCGAAAACCTTATGAAGTTCGTTCTCTTCGGTGGTCTCGCTCGATTTAATTTCTCTCGGTTTTTCCCGACCGAAGCCAACCGCCAACTGCAGCGATTCCGCTCCCAATGGCGGGCTTTCAATCGTGCCGCATACGAACGTGCTCGAGAGAAGCACCCGACAGCCATGGTCGTGCAGATGTACGACGCAGTCCAGAAGACCTCTCTCACGGAAGAACAAGTCGCGCAAACAATGGATGAAACCCTCTACGCTAACCTCGACGTCACCACGGGCGGCCTCTCGTGGAATTTGGTCTTCCTCGCCGCCAATCCAGCGTGCCAAGCCCGGTTGCATGAAGAGATCTCCATCCTGAACACCCGGGAGGAAGAAGAAAGCTACATCTCTCGCAATGGCACATACCTGGCTGCCTGCGTGTTGGAGTCCTCCCGGTTACGTCCAGCACTCCCCTTTACAATTCCCCAGTCTGCGCCGACGGAGCGTGTAGTAGACGGGTATCGCATTCCGGCTGGAACCAACTATGTAGTCGATACCTGGGGACTGAACGTGCGAGATGAATACTGGGCACCCGACAATAACACGTACCGTCCGGAGAGATTCCTGGGCAGCTCGACCACTGACTTACGGTACCATTTCTGGCGATTTGGATTCGGTCCTCGTCAATGTATTGGCCGTTACACTGCGGATATCGTGATTCGGGCCATTCTATTGCATTTGATCAGGCACTATGAATTGCAGATGCTGGAGGATGGAGGTTGGACACAGGATCCGGAGTGCTGGATTACGCATCCAGATCTGCAGGTCCGGTGTATTCCGCGGACATGATTATATATTCTGCTCTACATAGCACAACAGAGAAATAAAAATCCACCGTCTGGGTAAAAGCCTCAAAAGCTGGTGCTCTGGAAAGTAGTATCCCATCCAGGGAAAGCATTACTTAATAAATATAATGGATCCCCATGGATTGGTCTTTAGGCAGGCGTTCCTCGTATCCTGAATAGTCGTGGTCTTACTTCGGACTCGGTCCTCTTGGCATCGCCGGGCAGCCGAAGAGTAGAAAGAGTCGACTGCCCATTTCTCTCCCTTCGACAACTGTGCCTCCACCGTAGGTCTTCCCCTTACACACCTCCCCCCACTTGCTGGTAGTGTACGCGCATTAATCCCATCATGGAGCGCTCATGTATCCAGTGTCATCAGCGCAAGGTCCGGTGTAGCAAGACACTGCCATGTACGGCTTGTGTCCGGCTCGGGGCTTCATGTCGATACCCCACCGCCGACGGCCACACCCCTCGGCCACGGCGTGTTCAGAAAGTGACCATCACCGATCGGATTGCCCAGCTGGAACGCAGCTTGGCGGCCCTAACGAACAGTAACAGTCCAAGACCGGGCTCCAATGACCCCACCACACGCGCAGCCTTTCTGTCGGAGCCACCGCCGTCGCCGAGTCGCCGACAAGAGCTTCTGCTTCCGGACGGAGGGTCCACACGCTACATCAACGAGACATTCCTATCACACATCTTGGAAAAAGAGAGGACCCTACACAAGGTCATAGGGACACCGCGTAATACCGATAAAATTACGTCAGACATCCGACCGGAAGGTCTTCTCGCACGGTCTAGACGTCCACCAACCCGGGAGAATGAGGTAGATCTCTCTCGCTGGCAATCAACTCAGTTATGGCAGATATATCGCAACAATGTCGATCCTGTGGTGAAGATCCTTCATCTGCCCACGGTGGAGCCGCTTGTGTATTCGACTATGAACGGGGAAGGATCCGATGATTGCAAAGCCCTCCTGTTTGCCATTTACTTTGCCGCGGTGACCAGTCTCTCGGAGAGCGACGCCGCAAACCTCCTTGGCCGCGATAAGCGATCTAGCTTGTTGGACTTTCAAGCCCGCATTGAAGGTACGCTTATTGATGCGGCCTGTTTGGACGCGCCGTCCATGCTGTCTCTACAGGCGCTGGCCATCTATATCGTGAGCCCACACCTTACCCGTCCCTGATCAAGAACCCGCACCTAATGTTTGCCGCAAGACATGCCTCCGGGCCCATGGGACAAGTCGATCGGGGTGGATCATTAATGGTGTCCTCATCCGTGCCGCGCTATCGATTGGGCTCCACCGGGATGGAACGCATTTTGGCCTTCCCCTTCTCGATGCTGAGCTCCGCCGGCGCCTCTGGTGGCAGATTCTCGTGCTGGATTACCGTGCGGCGGAGGACCATGGTCTCGCAGTCCACGGATTTGGCAGCCGAGCGGATACTCATCTTCCTTTGCACGTCGATGACAGCGACCTGTCGTCCGATCTACGGATCCCGCCCGGGCCAAAAGCCAAATGGACCGAGATGAGTCTCTTCCTTCTCACGTCGGAGATCGCCATCGCGTTCCAAAAGATATACCATAGCTCTGTGAACCAGTCCGATATCGCCCAGCGCCTTCAAACCGTCCAGGAGCTCACCACATACCTGGAAAATACGTACCTGCGTCACTGTAACACGAATATTCCCATCCAGAAGGCGGCGTGGCTGTCCACACGGTCCCTGCTGTCCAAGTTCGAGTTTTTTGTCTACCAACTCGGTCTTAACAATGAACAACCGCTGGAGGTGGTGTCCTCGACGGCTGAGCAGACCCTAGTGGCGGCCTGCTCCTGCTTGGAGCAAAGCATGGAGCTTCAAACGGACGACCTTTTACGTGGCTTCCGCTGGTTGTTCGCAAGCTACAACCAGTTTCATTGTCTCATGTATGTCCTGTGGCATCTGTGTGCGCAGCCTACTGGACCTCACGTGGCACGGGTGTGGCATATCGTCAACCTCGTCTTCAACGTGGCGGAGAATGACCCTAGCCGACCGGATCCGGGGCCGACATGGAAGGTGCTGCAGCACTTGCGGGAGAAGGCGGAGCAGCGCAAACAGAACGCGGCCCTGTTGTCTCCGGCGCCAGCCCATGGTCCGTCTGGAGACGCTGCGATGGAGCCACGATCGACCGAGGAACCCCCAGAACAGGAGTTAGAGGGGGCAGGGGACGGATTCGGGGATGTACTAGCTCCCCAGCTGGACCCAAGCTCCCTGTCCGAGTGGATGAATCTCTCAGAACATCTGGGGATGTACCGCTTTGAGATGTAAAGCTGAATTTGTGTCTTGGAGAATATCATAGCTACAATTTTAATGACTTCGTCGGCCGCTCAGCGTTATCAAGTAGATATTAAAGTTGCACCTATAACGTCGCTGTTGGATGAACACCATGCATAGCGCATTTATTTATACCTACCCCCGTAATACAGCGACCTAAATGGGTCTCCACCATGTACGGGGCATGCCACGTGCTCGAGACTAAGATTCGCTTATTTCACAGCTGGTTTTAGACTCGATGAGTATTTTTACTACTGGTGTGAGACTCTTGAGGCGTCGGCTTCATGAAACTGAGCACCGAGCCGAGCAGAATGCCAAGTAACGCCGGGGCCGAGATGACTTCACAAGCACGACAAGGATAAACAAATCATGATGTTGTTCCCATCAAGTAAGCCGTATATAATCCATCGTCCGACAACGACATGTTGGATTTGTGTTTCTTTCATTCCATCTAAGTCATGAAACGTCCATCCAATATGCCTCTAAACCATCCCGCATCCCAAGCTTCCCAACAATCGGAAAATGAAGACGGCATGTCAACATACTTGGATAGGGAGAAATCCTTTGAGGAAAAAGACCCGGACCTGGGTGTCGATGGGGGGTTAACCGCGTGGCTGGTGGTGGTGGGAGCGTGGTGCACTTCGTTCTGCAGCTTCGGATGGGTTAACAGTGAGCCTGAATCTATGAATCTAGCATACTCCTAAGGACAACAGGCTGATCAGATAAACCTTTAGGTGTCGGGATATTCCAGAACTACTACGAGTCGCACCTACTAAAACAATACTCCTCTACCACAATTGCATGGATTCCGTCATTGCAGATTTTCTTCATGTTCGCTATGGTATGTCAGCCAACGACAAGTCCTCTTGATGGAGACTGCGAGACTGACAAACCTGACAGGGTCCCATTGTCGGCAGGCTCTATGACACCTTCGGTGCTCGATACCTTATCATAGGGGGGACCTTCTTTCATGTCTTTGGGCTGATGATGGCCTCCATCTCGAAAGAATATTACCAGATCTTGCTCTCCCAAGGACTGTGTAGCGCCATTGGAGCGTCCGCGATTTTTCAACCAGGTAACACCCTTTCCTTTCCGAGGAAGTTGGCCTGGAAGCTAACGACATCAGCACTCAACGCTGTCAGCGTCTGGTTCAACCGCAAGCGCGGCATTGCCTTCGCAACTTTATCAACAGGCTCCAGTGTTGGCGGGGTCATCTTCCCCATCATGGTAGACCGTCTCGTAGCCCAAGTCGGGTTTGCCTGGACCATGCGGATTTCGGCCTTCATGATTTTATTCCTCCTCGCGATCGCCATTGTGACCGTGAAAGCGCGGTCTCCCCCACAGCAAGGCCCAAAGCCATCCCGCGACCAGCTGGTCAAGCCGTTCAAGGAACCAGTCTTCTTCCTCACCCTGTTGGGATATATGCTCCTCACCTATGGCGTCTTCATCCCCATCAACTATGTCATCGTTGAGGCCGTCGCAAGCGGCATGGATGCAGATCTGGCCGCATACCTAGTGCCCATGCTGAACGCAGCCAGTCTTTTCGGCCGTCTCAGCGCTGGATTCATGTCGGATAAGTACGGTCGGTATAACATTTTTATCGTGATGTGCATCCTTGCTGGCGTGCTCGTTCTTGCGCTTTGGATCCCTGCCGCGTCCACGGCGCCCACCATCGTCTTTGCGATTATCTTTGGCTTTGCGTCGGGGGCGTACGTGAGTCTGTCACCCGCTCTGATCGCGCAGATCTCCCCTTTGAAAGAGATTGGGTATCGCACCGGGCTGCTGTTCTTGTTTGCGTCGGTGGGAGGGCTGACGACGAGTCCGATTGCGGGGGCGATTCTGCAGAACGGTGGTGGGGACTATACTCATATGAAGATCTTCTCGGGGATGATGCTCTTAGGTGGTACGGGCTTTATTGTTGCCGCGCGATTCGTCAAGACAGGGTTCAAGCTGGCGGAAAAGTTTTAGAAGGGACACATTTGATCTGCGGCAAATCTGCCCCAGGAACACATTGGCTGGGAAAGTCTAGATAGAACAGATTCCGGGCACATAATCTGACAGGTCCTAAATAGATCGACTGACAATACCTCCGTTTGGGAGGACTTGGCAGCAAGAAATTAATATCAAATTCTCTCTGACGATTGGTCACTTCGGTGGTGTTTGTCCCTGTTGGCAGTGCAACGTATATGGCGTGACTTAAGGGATCATCGGCGACGATCATTCGCCGAAAAAGGAATAACGTAGAAGATTCTAAAATCCGTTTCTTTACCACTCATTTCCGATGTGACGTGGACAAGGCTGGAAGGATTCTCTGTGTGCAACAGTGCGGTTGCTTGTGAAGATAACTAGGAAGGTCAGCACTTCAATGAGCAACTAGATCCTTCATCACCACCGTTTCTTTACCTCCCCCTCCTCCCCTTCTTATTCCTCTTTGGAAAAAGCAACATTTCCACGGTTCTAATATATAAGGGACTTCGGTCATGGGACGAAAGTTTCTGTCTCTGTCGACCCCATAGTCTATAATGCTTAGTGATATGACCGGGTTGGGAAAGACACTCTTCGATAAAGTCTTTTTTGAGTTTGTTCTAAATCATTTACATAAAAGAAAAGAAGAAGTGTTGGAGAAAAAGGAAGAGAAATAGACGTCAATCAGTGGAAAAGGATCAAAATGTGGTGTGATGCTTTAGGATGGCAAAAAAGCGGTGGCTGACCTGCAGAAGAAACTGACAGGTCGCTCGGATAAGAATCTTCCATTATCTGATATCACTTTTATTCTATTATGTACATTGCCTTGCATATTATACGCGCCTGCATACGGCTAGGGGGGAAGGCTGCTATCGACGAAAAATGGAGAAAAAAGGAAAAGAAAAAGAAAACGAAGAAGAAAAACGTCAGATTATGACCCACCGAGTCGATAGGCTTCAATAGCCCTTGTCTCGGTAAGCTCAAAAGTACGAGGGGTGAAGGATGTGTCAAAAGATGATTTCTCATGAATGTAACCCTCTTACCTGATCGGGTGTGGAAGATATCTGCCACTAGGGCTTCGTGTGGACCCCCAGCCTTCCCCATTGGCTTGTCCTGCCGGACCGCTGCGGCCCGTGTCTCCACTGGACCATAATTGGTCCTGGTGATCCGTGCAATATTGCAGAGAGCAGTGGTGATACTTACCTGTCCATACATACAGGTCTTTTTGGTAGCGTATACGTAAATATTTACATACATACATATGGACAAGGAGTGCGTGAATCGGAGCCCTATGAGATGACGATCGGTATTAGCAGTATATCCCAGGTGTTCTACGTGCAGAATTGCTCCTTTGAAGGATTCTTCAACCTCCAGGTGAGACTAACAATGAGGGAACTGGGGGCTGAAACACACTGACAACGGCGGGACCATGGCTCAGGGGCCGTCTTTGCCGCTGACCAACACTAGTGAACCTTGATGAGAAGACTGCAGTGATCTTCGCCGATCTCCTCTGCCTCTGGAGCAGCAAGACACCATAATCTGCCGCCGTTCCTTTACTGGCCACATCGATTGTTGAAAAATAAAGGAAGATCAAGTAACGGGTTCCTCCTGGATGGCGGATTTCTCCAAGAGTCGCAAACATGGCGTCCACATACCCCGGTGGAATCTTTGACGGCTTAGCCAAATTCTACGTATCTGTGGCGATTGTGTGGACAGCCGCTCTGCTCGTCGGCGCCAGCTTCCTCGTCATCAACCGCCATGAGCAATGCGTTCGCATTCGCAACCTGCCCCTCGCATTGTGCGCGGTCGCCTGTCTGCATGTCTACTGGATCCTGTGCATGTCGGCATATTCCATGGGCAGCGCGTATCCCTGCTCTGTGGAGTACTGGATCATGAGCATCTACCTGCCTCTTGGGATCGCACTGTTTCAAGCGAATAGCATGCAGCTCCTCAGTGTCTTCGGCATTCAAGAGAAGCTACTCTATACCGCACATCAGCCGCACAGAGCTCAATTTAGCGCTCGTCCGAGATCCCCTCGCCGATACCTGTTTCAGTGGAGGGAAATGAATCTGGTCCAACGAACGGAATTGGGTATCGCAGTGGGAATGGTCGTTCAGGTCCGTATACTCAACTCTGCCGTCGACGGTCGTGCACTCACTGATCCCCAAAACCAGCTGTGTCTATCCCTGGCGGTCTACCTTAGCTCTCGAAAATTTAATACGTTCGGCACCTTTTCCCACCCCGGGAGCCCCGAAGAGTGCCGGCGAGGTCCCGAATGGCAAGATACCCGTTTGGATGGTAACATGGTGAGCATAGTTTGACAATCGTCTAGGATTCCTTCGATTCTGTGGCAATTGTTCTGGTCGTGGATTTTTGCGCCATACATTCTGTGGAAGATCCGCCATATTCAAGACATCCACCACTGGCGGCGTCAGATCACTTGCTGCGTCATCGCCGCGTGAGTACACCTGGTGGTATTTGCTGGTTAGGTACTGACGCATTTGCAGCCTCCCCGGTTCGCCGATGTGGTTCGTCGCGCTCCATTCGCCCACCGATCCTTGGGATGCAATCAACCGATACTGGGTTCCATCCCTCTGGTACTGAAATGTCCCCCTATCCTGTGGACTGCGCAGCTGATTATCCTGGCAGGTTCGCGCCCGGCATCTTGGCGATGGAGGCCGTCACCATCTTCTTCCCCTGCTATGAACTGGTCGTCGCGAGACGACAGAGGCACCGGATCCTCGAGGCCATGGAGGCCTGGAATGAGAAGCAGAAAGGCGACACAGACGAATCGCGTTCCGGGACCTCACGCTCGCACAGTGACACCAGCCGGATGCACGAGTTGTATTGCTTGAAGGCCTTGGAGAATTACTTGGCGGACGACTCGAGCGCACTGCTTCAATTTGCGGCGGCTAAGGAGTTCAGCGGTGAGAATATCATCTTTTTGAATTACGTGCGCGACTGGAAAGCGGCCTGGGCGAGTCTCCAGGCATCTAAGCCTGAATACGACTGGAATAGGGATCCTCAGTACCACAGACTGGATTTCTTCAAGATCGCCGTCGAGATCTACACGACCTGCGTCGATTTAAAGACGGCGGAATTTCCCATCAACATCGAATCCCGGGTCTACACTGATCTCATGGATCTGTTTGGGGACGCGGTGGAGTTGATGGGTCAATGTGTGTCCAAGGACGCTGGGACCCGCATGGATGAGGACACCCGCGCTCTGTGTCTCGACGAACATGTCTACGAAGGTCAGGGCATCATGCATGTTAAGCCACGTCTGCCGGACTCCATCGTAGTACCGGACGGGTTCAATATCTGCGCGTTTGACGAGGCCCAGAAGTCGATCATTAGCCTGGTGTTTACGAATACGTGGCCCAAATTCATTGATTCTTCGAATGACATGTCAATTAAGATTTGATGTAAAGATGCAGACATCCTTGATTCCAGGCTCATCTAAAGGTCCCATTATGTAGATATAAAGTTTCATCTGAGCATATCGTGCTCGATAGTCCAAAGCTAACGGGGAAAAGAAAATAAAAAGTAACTAGTCGTTGTGATTCGTATCAAAGGCATATCTAGTATTCATGCAAGTATTTCCTTTTCCTTTCCTTTCCTTTTCTTTTCTCTTCTTTTTTTGTTTTTGCTAAGAGTCAAAGATGGGTCCAAAAGCGGACACACCGCGAGCCTCGAGTTCAAAGACGATCTTTTTCGTCAGTCCCGGGTTGCTAATCACACAGACAGCCTCTGCATCGAATTCGCGAACGAGTTCTTGTACTATGGGCACCATATCCACTCGACCGCTACTGTTGGTGTCGATGATCAGTGGGTTCGGGTCTAGTTGCTGCACTAGGCTGAGGACCTCTCGGCCATATGTCCGATTCGGGTTGCGTGTCTGCCAGAGCACCCGCAGAGGAGGACGATTCTTCTCGCTTAAGAATGACAGGCAGGGCCCGATACCCGACCCAGTGGCCACCACGACCACCCGGCGAAAAACCCGCATCACGTGGATGAACCCATACATGAGGACTCCTCGCTTCCACAGCGTGGTGGGCTGCTGATTGATACACCGCGTCGTCCAGTCACCAGCTTTGGACACGATACATGAAAAGCTCTTACCATCCGGATTAGGGAAAGTGGCAAAGCTATGCCAGTCCTGCAGCGGATGTTTGGACAGGGCGATGACCTTGCCGAATGCGGTGGATGTGTGATCCAAGTGGAGTCGGACTGCATGCGGTGACAGATACTCTGGCACAACTTGCACCCTCCGAAGTAGGAGCCAGGGATGAACAATAGTCAGGATGATCACCAGGACAAACCAGAACGCTGGGAGCTTCAGTAGATATTGTCCGAGGGCGAGGCCTTCCACATGTCGAGCATGATCCGAGAAAACCAACAACAGGGTGAGAAAAAGGGCCACAGCCAACCAGGCCCCGAACCGGTGCATGAGCTCGAAGTAGTCATGCCTCTTCGTCCGGAATGTAGGGTATGCAACCACAATGATGGCCACAAGCACCACAAGTAGAACGTAGGCTAGAACCACCACGGCGACGGACACCGCCGTCGAGTCTCGAAACACCCAATATTCCCGAGATATCAGAGCCACCAGACCGGTATACCACAAAAAGGCGGCCACACCACATCCACTATGTACACCGCCATAATGATACGCCTTGGCCGCCATCTTGCGCAGCGCGAGAGGTGCTGACTGCGGGATACGGCATATGCCCACAAAGATAGCGTTCACCACTAGTGGGTGTCGTGCAAGACCGCAGACGAGCAAATTGATGCCCGCTGCGTTGACGAATGCAAGGAGTTTCTGTTGACTCTCGACCATGACGATCACGAATGCGACCGCATTGGCACAATACACCAGTGAAAACAAGCGGCGGTAGATGGTGAGAAGGAGATATCGGATCGTGGCACACCACCTGGTCGGGGTCTGTTGAGCCTCGAGGTCCGTATGAGCAGAGAACCTTTTCCAATCTCCCGTTGTGTCATTGCTCAGATATGTGTCCACAGATGTTGCAATGCTGGGCTTGCTCGAGTGTGTTGGAGACATTGTTCTGTCTTCTTGCTTGTTTCCCTTCTTCGGGATGAGATTACATATATAGTGTTACAATTGAAGACATGCGAGGTAGGGGTCAAAAAAATAAAAATAAAAATAAAATAAAAATAGTATACAGGAAGGCGATATTTATGTACATATATGGGTTAAAGATTGGGACACCAACCGGGTTTAAATAAGAAATACGGATCTTCCTGTTCGACGGAGTATTACGGGCCAGGTCTGCCATGCCTGTCACCAAAACAACCCCTCTTTTGTCAATGATCGTAAGATGTGCTTCTTGCGCTGGCAGCTGTGGGTCATTGAGCCAGGTATGCTATCGAATGCGCAGGTGGCGAGCGTCCCAGTCGCATGGTTGACGTCGAAGTACTCGAGATGTCGTGTACGTGCAGCCGTCAGTCTCGAGGAACAAGGAGGCCACGCAGCCACGCGAACCAGGGGATTCCCCATATCATTAGGCATGGGCGAATGGTATGGCCTGAGCAAAATGACAGGGAATGCAATGCAACCAGCTAGCAAGTAACTCGCAGCCGTCTCCTCCACTATCGCTCTGGCCGTTGGGGTTCCGCCGCAACGCACTTAAAACGGTTATCTCTTATATTAACTCGCCATGGTAGGAGTGGGACCCTACGGGAACAGGACGCATGATTGCTTTAATTTGATCCTGATAATGCCAGAGAATTATGACGGATTGCCAGGTGCAATGATAGACTGACTGTCTACTCAAATCTAACATATTCTAACCCTGTAGCGAGGCGTTGCTCACCATCCTTGTCCTGCTGCTAAGAAGGCAGCGGCTTGGCATCTTGCCTAACGGTTGAATGCTAAATTTACGACCAATGAACAATGTAACCCTAATTAATTTATTGGTCTTTATAGTTTGCCTGAGATTGCCTTAGCGTGGCTCGGGCCAGTCCTGAGTCAAACCCGTTTTTCTGGAATCCCATGGGATTATTCATCTCCTCCAAGCTTCCCTGGAAGTAGGAGCGAACTAATCCGCCAGAGAGAGTACAGATAGATAGATAGATCCTACGAAGATAAGCGAAGCGAAGCAGTAGGGTGCCAGCACCATGACAATGCCGCGAGAGTCCAGGATTCCGGAAGGAACCGTTGGACCCGCACCGGGTTAGTTTTTCTTGGTCGGTTACGCACGGAGTTCCCCTTTCATAAAAGAGGGTCCAAGTCTCCATGTGAATATGCTAGAGGCAGACTTACATTGTACATAGTATTAGTGCGTATGACAGCTTCACATTGTCGGTGACGTGAATAGTTGCGCGATGCAGGATACACCAGCAGTCATTAAGCTTATTTCTCGCCCCATGCGCCAACTGAATTTTCATGTATGCACCAAGAGAAGATGACGGAAAGCATGAACGGCGAAGGCTTCATGTTCGGGATTGAGAGCTTTGGGTGACCGCCAACACAGTAAATGGATATCCGCCGAGCCGAAAACCGGATGAGAATTAGCGAGATGGATCGAAGAGGTTAAGATCGACCCCGTCTACCGAATATACATTGGACGCCGTGCAAGGTTGGTAACTATTAGACCGGCCCCAGGCTGGCCATTTGCTGATATCCTCGGAATATTAAATTGAGAACGTGCCTTGCGACTCCAACATGGCCTGGATTCCAGATGTCCCAGTTATGAACATCTGAATGACCTGATCTGCCGACCGTGATATTTTCTTTCCCTTCAAGCCCTAAGACATACATAGGGTTTAGTATATGTACGAATATTAACACCGACCACAATTAGGAAATAAACGTGCGACAGGGAATAAACCAACAAGGATTGAATCCCCAGTCCAGGTCAGGAAAAGATATATTAAAAAAAAAGCAAACATGAGAAGACTACCAATTGCATTAGACTAGTGATTCTATTTATTGACCGCGAGGATGAGGCTGGGCCAATTTACGTGATCCTTCACCCTCTTTATTAATCGATCCGCGCACGACTTGACATGTCCTTTTAAACTGTACGATATCCTAACGACACTCTAAATTCCCCTCTTATGCTACATGGCACGGGAAAAGGCATAATATCGACTAGGGCTTCGAAATAGTGCCTTTATGGTGAAGTGCACACGGTCGCGTTGTGATGACCACCGCGAAGGTCGTGTGAGGCACGCGGCTCGATACATGTTCGATGAGAAACGTGAGCGACTGCCAAAAAAGAAAAAAAAAGACCCCAATACATATTTCAAGGGCCTTGACTGGACTCAAAGTAACACTCGCATCGTTTCCAGAGGGAATAGGGCCAGGGGCGACTGGCGACACCTACACGAACTTTCCCAACAATAGAGCTTCGTTTACTCCTGGTAGGGATCTGTAGGAGGATTTTCTTAATGGTCTTTGTCTCCAAACGCGTTCTGAGAGAAGCGGTCAAATGTGATCTAGGGAAGGAACCACGAGTGGATCTATGGAGAAGGAAAACCTTTGCCCTCTGCCGACAGAGCGGCGAAGAATGATTACAAGGATGAAGTCCGATCATCGTATACACTGCACCGATTTGCAGAGTGCCTGTCGGGGACGTTGCTCATGCCTCCTTAACTGCGGGAGTATCAAAGACATCGGTGAGAGATACTTTGTTTCTCGCGCACTACATGTCCACGAAAGATAGAGCTACCTCTACCTCCTATAACAAGAGCGACACGGTCTAATGGCTGTTTTAAACGGTATCGGAGGAGTGTTCTATGTTATTGTGGCGTTGACGAATTGCGTTACAAATATGGATGAGAAGCGGGATAGACTGACGGAGGATTTGAGAGGCATGATATGCTGTAGGATGGTGTCTGCCAGGGCAATAAACCTGCATCAAAGCATGCGGTCCATGAGACTTCCGACTACCGCTTCTCTGATACGAATGACAACTATCCGCGGTGTGGGAAATGCACACAGATCAGAAATCTACTAGACGAGATTCCGCTTGCTTCAAAGGCCTGTGTGGTCTGCTGCATTTTCTTCAAGGACGACTTCGAAGACTAAAAGTCCTTCATTGGCGCTCTGTGCTGTATTCCCTATCAATTCCTTCAGCAGAAGCCTCTTATGTCGCACGATCTCCACTTCGGATTTGAGTTCGATGGCGGGCACATTGGTCCGCTATTTCGGGATTTGTGGTCCATGTTATGCGACATCATGTATGGGCTCTCAGACGGGCGAGCCATTTGTGCCTTAGACATCCTGAATAGGTGTGCCAACAAACATCCCATCTGGCCTAGCGCTTGAGTACATCCATCAAAGCGAGACAGACCCTTCGGGGCTGAAGTTTCTCTTGACTAGATGAGATGACCGGATAATTCCACCTAACGGGGCTGTTAGTCGCTCAAAATCAATCTTCGACTATCCACCTCGACGGAGAGGATCAAGATGAGGTCCAAATGATCGTGGGAGAGATCGACCTAGTACCAAGACTCCGGGTTTGAGGAGGTTACACAGAGCTGTTCTCGTCGAACGAACACTATCGGAAGCCAAATATACCTCTAAATTCATCTCATGATTCTATGATCGATCCCCTGTGAGTATGATTGCGAGCACCCCAGGTAGTATATGTGCATGGCTGGAATATGTCTTCCCCGAAGGCTCGAGGAGGCCGCTGACAGCATTCTTTCCAGAAGGCCCGAAGCCAATCGGGCCAAAAGATTTCGGCATATAGTTGTTACAGCTTGGAGCACCCTCATAGTGACAGAATACCTAACGCAATTTCCCTGATGAAAAGGGAATCGCCGGACGGCATCGATGGAACCTGGTCATATATAGTGGAGGTGGAGTTTAGCAGAACCGGACAAAAATAGCCAGACTACCCTGACTGAATCTCCCACGGGACGAAAGAATATCGGTAATCGGCTAGGTGGTCAATTGCCTGAGGTCAGGGAAGCCAATCAATCAACACTTCCGGTAATCGGTCAAAGACCTTGTAAAACTAACGGTAGCGCAGGAGGAGGAATCATCGCGAGTATAATGAGTTTGGGCGCCCTGCAATTCGGGCAAAGATACTCGCATGATATTCGCGATATTACTGCCTTGTTCCTATAACATGCGCTTGGTAGACTAGTCAAAAGGATTGAGCAATGGGTGAGTTCCGCATCGCGTTCACAGTGCATGGTGGACGTATTCAATGTAGGATATCCGACATAGTCGACTCTGTATTGAACTTTACCATCGTAGCTTAGACCTCAGTTCATATGGGGAAAGCTCTTGTTGTTTACATTAGCAGATTCTTATGTTTTAATTGTAATAGGTCCGGGACTGTAGGAGGGACTGGTCCCGGCTGCCCCGTAGACATGGGGGCAACACTTAGAGTCACAGGTCTGTCTGAAGGCATCCTACCGCGTATACCACGTGCTCTTCAATGTATTGTTAAGCGCATCCTATAATGTCTCGAGAGTCAGCTCGGCAATAACTCAGTGTTACAGACGTGCCGGTCAACTCCGCGAACCCGAAACGAAATCGAGGTCCAAACCGGGGCTCGATTCCGACTCCGGCTCTGACGACGAATCACAGGACCGCAAGCGAGAACAACTAAAGCTCCAACCCTAATCCTTAACTTTTATGCCCGTTCGGGAGCCTCCAAGTGTCGTGTTCCGGGGATATATTTCCCCGTGGCTCCTCCGATTTAGAATTTCGGACCAGGTCAGCCCAGCAGGAAGTGGTGAAAATTATCCGGATAGACCATCGGTGTGCAATAAGACTCGTCCATGGCTTTGCTATCCAGGGGATAGCAGGAAACTACTGATATGAGACTATGGTCTACTATGTTAAGAAAAGACGGGGATCTTAATGACGAGTTTTCCCGGGTTGCTGCCGTGATTTCTGTTATGCCGAGGATTAATTTATATATGATTCCTTTGACTCCCCTTCTTTCACTACCAAAACAGCAAAAGTGAGAGGCCTAAATAATAAGCATTGTTGGGAATGATTAAATGTGAATAGCTTCTTCTAGGACGAGGGATAATAGGAACTCGTGCCAAGGAACGCGATGCCGGAAAGTAGCCGAAGGAGAAAAGGATCTACCAAAGAAAGTAACAAACATAGGAGTTTTTAGGCTTCGCACTACGTGCCATAAGGTTCGTAATGACACCCCAAACGAGTAAATGGGGTGATTTCAATCAATAATCGTTACTCCCTGATCTTTGACTGCCTCCCGTTCCGGCACGGCACAAGTTTAGCTCGTTTTTCGGCTCTCAACTGACCCGGCCTTATTCCTGCTCAATCTGACAGAAGAAATATTGGAATATATATCCGCACTAAAGACCGGAACAAGGAAAGTTATGTTTCGGATCCATGGGCGAGCAATACGAATCGGACAACGACCGGTCAGTTTCGATTATTCGTACCCATGGTAAGCACCGGTTCTACTGACAAAGAGAGAAAGAAAGAAACAAAAAATAGGGCAAAAAAGGGTAGTTTCACTGAACGGCGGTGCCCGATCAGCCACTCGGACTACAAAGTTCTGAATTATAAAAGTTTTGTTGGTAGCCTCCACTCATTCAACTCGTATGGCAACACGGGAAGTTTTCGCCAAGTGGACAGACCGTCGAGGAAGCCCTAAATCACTGGCTAGCAAAGTCGGTGGCGCACTTAGCTTCCCGCATCGGTGCCCGGAAAGGAACAGTGAAGCCAAAAGCTTTCACAGCCCAGAAATTGTCCGACGAATCATCTGAGAGTAGTCGGATCATGGCCTGATTCAGCCAGTGGTTCCTTATAGGTTGCCTAAAAGCCACATTCTCACAAGCGTTGGATTCGGAGCGGGTGGTCGATTGCCACTTCAAGACACCACTGCAAGGGAAGATGTACCCAAAAAGCTCCAGATATCAGAAGTCATTTGGATGGATTTCTCTCCCAAAACCTTTACAAGGCCAGGGAAAACCCCACATTTGCTTGTCTGGAGTACAGCCGAGTCTTGTCCCCATGGGCGTTTTTGAGTCGTCCTTTCACCTCCGCTTGGACCGTCGTCCGTGGGTCCGCCGAGAGTCCAATCCGGCACGACGCAAGACCACCCATGGCCTAGTTTGGGGGCTTAGTGCGCTGGATGACCTGGTGCTAAGATCTCCTGCCGTTAGTGCTCACCCTACCCCACGGGGCGTTCCATATAATATCGATCCCCACGGGGGCTTTTTTTGGGGGGCGTTCATTGTCATTTACAGGGACGGCGAAACATAAGAGGGAGTCAACGACTCATCACGTCAAAGATTTCCACTACTACCAGAACACACGCAGAAACACACGCGCACACATACACGCCCACCTCCGCAAGCCACCATGGATGAAAAGGCATCCGCGGGTGTGACCGCTCACAATGAAAACCTGACTCCAGCGATGAAGCCGGAGCAGGAGGAGGGTGCAGACCGCCGCCAGTCCGTCGCTCTGAACATTGTCGAGAACCCGCTGACAGTAAGTACCTCAATCATCGTCGGGGTCGGATCGACCATGGATGCTGACGGTCTTGTCTCCGACAGCGCTGCTCCAAGGAACAGGTGGTCCACGATGCCCGGGCCTTCGCCGAGTCGCACCAAATGGCTGACCACGCCGACCTGTTTGGTCGGGCAGCGCTGGTCGCGCGGGACCCCCAACAATTCGAGATGATTCCTGAGCTCGACGAACAGGAGCGCGCCGCGCTGGCATACGAGAGGGATCATAAATGGCACGGCCCGTTTATGCTCTGGTACTCGATCGGGCTGTGCGCCATAGGAGCCGCCACGCAAGGTTGGGATCAGACGGGAGCCAACGGGGCCAACCTCGGGTTCCCACAAGAATTTAATTTGATGGGGGAAGGGAGAGATGAATGGATTGTGGGATTGATCAACTCTATCATCTTCTTGACGGCTGGCCTCATGTGAGTAGTAGGTTGGCGGTATGTCGTGTCCACCCCTAAGATTGACCGGGTCTCTAGTGGTGCTTTTATCGTCGATCCCCTTAACCACTATCTGGGCCGAAGAGGAGAAATCTTCCTGACGGCATGCTGTCTCACGGCGACCCCAATCGGCTCGGCCTTTGCAAAGTCATGGCAAGGACTATTTGCGGCGCGATTCGTCATGGGGATCGGTATCGGGGCAAAAAACGCGACTGTCCCCATTTTCTCGGCGGAGATGGCTCCCGCTCGAACTCGCGGTGCCCTAGTCATGTTCTGGCAACTGTGGGTGGTCGCGGGTGAGTATCTTGCTTCCCATCACCCGTCGCGACACACGGCTGATTATTTCGGCAGGTATCTTTCTGGGATTCGCCGCCAATGTCATTGTCAAAGACACCGGTGCAATCGCGTGGCGTCTCCAATTCGGTTCCGCATTCATTCCATCGCTCATCCTCGCCGTTGGGATCTTCTTCTGTCCCGAGTCCCCTCGTTGGCTCATGAAGCATGGTCGACATGCGGAAGCATTTAAATCGATGTTGCGTTTGCGCGCGCATCCCATCATTGGGGCACGGGACTTCTACTATTCCTATGTTATCTACGAAGAAGAACTAAAGGAGGCTCGGGGTTCGGGCTACTTCTCACGTCTGTGGGACTGCTTCGCCGTGCCCAGGATCCGGAGAGCAAACTACGGCGCCTCGACGGTCATGATCGCTCAGCAAATGTGCGGGATCAACAGTAAGTCACCATTCCTCGATTTCCGGTCGCATGCCTTAACACCTGGCAGTCATCTCTTTCTACAGCTCCACGATCTTCGAAAAGGTTGGCTACGACAAGACGGAGGCCCTGTACGCCTCGCTAGGCTATGGCGCCATTCAGGTCGTGGCCACCATTCCGACCCTCTTCCTTATTGACACCAAAGGGAGAAGAACTCTGACCTTACTTGTGAGTTCCCCCAAGGTAATACCAGTCTCCCGCTAATCTTTTCGTTCTGTCCAGACCTTCCCTGGAATGTGCATCTTCCTCTTGGCCGGTGGCCTGTCTCTCCTGAACGATGAAGGCAGCCGCGGAGCAAAGATCGGACCAGTTGTCCTGTACGTCTGTCTAGTATCGCTGGCAAGTTTGAGCTTTTTGACTGATTACGTGGCTCGCATAGGTTCGTCTACCTATTCACCATATGCTACTCTCTGGGTGAAGGACCCGTCGCGTTCCAGTACTCGGCCGAGGTGTTCCCCACGATTCAGCGTGAGCAAGGAATGGCTTGGGCTGTGTGCATTAACAACACTTTCGGTGAGCACTCTAAGCCAACCCCCCGCCCCAATTCCACAGAAACCTCCTCTAACAACGTCTTGTGTAGCGGGTATCCTCGGTTTAACATTCCCCCGTATGCAGACCGTGATGACTCCAACAGGTGCTTGTAAGTGGGCGCTGCTAGATAAAGCCGCGGGGCGAATTACTGACCCTAGCTCTAGTCGGGTTTTATGCGGGACTGAATCTTGTCGCGTGGTTCATGATTTTCTGCTTTGTTAGGGAGACCAAACAGCTCACCCTGGAGGAAATCGACCGTAAGTCTAATCGCTTTTTAGCCGATACGACCTTCCACTGACGCCCTACACAGAGGTCTTCTCAGTTCCAACCAAAGACTTTATCAGCCATGAGCTGACAGTATGGCTTCCGTGGTTCATCAAGCGACACATCTTCCGTCAGAAGCACCTTGTCAAGCCACCCCCAATCATCGCGGCGGCGGAAAGACCCGAGGTTAACCATGGTGTTTAAACCTTCCGGCCGAACGACTGAGTACGACATTGTAATGAATGACAGGATAGACGATTTCATGATATCTTGAGATGAGTAAAGATAAATGAGGTCAGGCTGGAGGGGAACAGGAAGAAGATGTGTCAGAGGGGGATGCGTCAAGGAACCAGCCCTTATATTCACCAATCCGTGGTTACCATTACTCCAGCTGTTGTTTTAGCACTGTATTCTTAACTGATTGACAGACTATTCATCCCGTATCCTGTATGTATACAAAGAAGTATTACTGCTTAGGGTAGATATATATTGTATTTTTTCGCGAAATGAGACCGTGCCGGATTCGGCTCCCCAACGACCTCCACATTTGCCACACGCACGGTTGCCATCTTCTGCCCGTCCTAATGACATTCTAACTCTGAGGACATCTCAATGAAGATGGAAGCTATTGTGTGCGCTACAATAAGGAGAATGAGACGGCATGGTACGACGGTGAGTCAGCGATCATGCCTTAAGAGTAGCCTCGCAGATTTAGTCTCTTCTTAGTATACTTAGTGCCCAAGGGATGAAATATTAGTTTCGTTGTTATTTATCTTATTGAATGGATCTTCTGCTCGTTTGACTCGCAGAACCTTCGCCTAACTCAATTAGTGCTGCATTAGCGCCGGCCGAGTCCTATTCTCCTAGCCTTCCAGCGTCCACTGCGGTCTCAACAGCCTTGGCTCTCTCCTAGCTATTCTCCGATCTTCGTTTCTCTGCCCCTCGTGTCCCTCTCTCGTTGTACACCATGGGGTTTCTTCTCTAGCAGTATAGAGTATTCCCGTAAGGATCACTTCCATATGACCATTGAAAACTGGCAAATCGCATCTCCCAGCCTGGGTTCGCTGTGATAAACCCAAGTTGTATCGCCACTCTTTTACCTACCAGGTGGTTCCTTTCAGATGTTTGTGGCTTGGAAAATCTAGGATTTCCAAGGCTGCCATAACATCCATTTTTACGACGATTCTACAGTCCACTATGTGACTCCCAAGCATACCCTAGTGACAATCTACCGATGCTGAAATTGTACCTGCAGAGGCGGAAAAAGTCGTTGTGAAAGTATCCAATGCACCCTGCTCAAACGCCTCTCCAGTCTCACCCGGCGCGAAGGAGATATTATACTGCTGCGCAATAATAGAAATGGCGATGCGCAAAGTCATCGTCGCCAGATTCTTACCAGCACAGCTGTAGAGACCTAGTATAACTGTAGAAGCATATTAGAGCGAAGACCTGGTGAATATGTGAGGCTTCAACGACCTATCCATCGATAAAGGCTGATGCCTGCCCTGCTCCCATCCCGTCATTCCGTTCGCCCCCACGCTCGGGGAAAAACAACTCCGCCTCCAGATAATACCGCTCATCCGTATGTATCACCTGTACTGGAATAAATACATTTACGTTACTAGGTATATGGACTTCGTCGACCTGGATTCCCTGGGCAGGGGCCACGCAGTATCGACCTGTCATGAGTGCGAGTCGTAGCCGGGGTGTTTCATTGATGATATCATCAATGTAGGTGATGGCGCTCATATTCTCGTAGGCCCAGTCGTGGCTGTTGCTGGGGAGGGCTTGATCAAGATAGGATTGCAGATTCGTGAGGACGCATTGGTGCTTGGAAAGGTAATAAAGGACGGTAGCCATTGTCGTTGCCGTGGTTTCGCTAGAAGTGGTGGCATTAGAGAGAGGTATAAAAATAAACTAGACCGTTTCGCTGCAGATAGAGACATGACCTCTACACTTCGGGCTGGTAGATTGACAAAAAAGTCAGTTGCCTTGGCTTCGACATAGCCCCATCGGCTGGTTTCCCATCGTTACATATAAGTCAGTCTAAATCAGAAAACAAAGCCCGGTGCTATTGTATAGGTAAATAGCTCATCTCAAATGTTACCCCCACCAGGAGGGAAGGAGCACCAATCAGAGCGACCAGCTGAGATCAAACCCGTACACGTACATGGGGCTAGGCCTGGTGTGACAAAAGCACCGATCAAAAGTCCGGAATGGGTCACCACCATCCCGTACCATTAGTGCATCACCTTACGCAAGGCGATCAGGGTTTAGAATCCTTGGACTTGTTAAGGGTAGAGTAACCCTTGGAAGGGGCTGCTGGCACCCTGTACCTTTTGCCATTTATTCTCCCTCACTTAGTGGTCTCGAAGTATGTGCCTCTCTTTTCTTGATGAACCACAACTGTGAGGAGTCTTGAGGAGCCTACGCAGTGCCAAATGAGAATCTTCAACCGGTAACATACGTTAATATATCCATTGCGTTTGCCCTGGGAAGTGCGTCGGTTTGCCTCCGTTTATACTGTCGATGGCGGTTCAGGACATCTGAACGCGATCACATGATGTCTGTATTACTCTTGGGAAGTATTCAAGACACTTCTTGTTGCCCTACTGATTCGCCTCAAGTTTGTGAATACTATGTAGCCGATAATTTTGTACATATTCTTACAATATGAATGTGGAGGTTGAGAAAGAACGCCTTTGTTCTGTGTACAAATGTTACCCTGAATTTAACAGGCATGCGACTCGGTTGCCGGATTCCCAGCTGGGGAAGATCACCAAGGCAGAATAGTTAAATTGATCTCTCCAAGTCAGGAAGTTAACCGGCACAGTGGCTTTTCGTTGAAGGGATCTGTTATATGTTTACCCACTGGACCATAAAACAGGCATTCCTAATATTTTACCTTAGATTATAGCCTCAGAGAGTGTTCAGGCTCGCAGTCTACAGTAGCATGGCTCTGGTTACGACATTTACCATTGTCAACTGGCTCGTACCTATCCCTCAACGCCCTCTACTCGACGCAATCCTTCATCCGGTCAAATATTCCTACACAGCGTGCATCAATAGGTTCGTGGTGCTAATGGTTCCATTTGTCCTGGTGTGTGCAACAGAGTCCTCAATCAACTTCAACCCTCCTAACTGCAGCAGAACATCATCACCGATCTCATCATCCTGGCGCTCCCTGTTTCCACTGTTGGTTGCGCTTCAGGCGAGCCGAAGACGCAAGGTGATGGTTCTCGCTATAATTTGCTTCTTGTCCTTTTCGGTGATTACAGCATTATGTCGTTTCATTGCCCTGAAAGGACTCGCCATAGACCCCGATACCTCCACTATACTTGGTAGAATAGCCATTGCCGCTGGGATCGAAATCGAAGTCACTGGAGTCGCTGTGAGCCTGTCTGCTATGAAGTCGCTCTTCCTGACGCTGTCTGGCAGCTCATATGAGGCTTCTCTCTGTTTTAGCCAACCGAGACAACGCCGGGGGGATCGTTCCGACCCGGGTATTTACATGGTCCAGTCAACCTGGACCGATGCCTGGAGTGGGATGCGTGGTATATGCGGGCCCTGCGTGTGGACCGAGGTAGTGCAGGGCGTTGACAGGTACTGGAACTTGGAATGCTGGTGTCGAAACGCTCCAAATAAGGGTGAGCCGCTTCCCAATAGTGGGGGGACACGGCAAGATGATTGTGTTTGTAAGGTTCAGAGAGTATCCCTGGGCATCGTCTACAATCGAGTAAACAGGCATCGACCGAGGGCTGATAGGTGCGATCGTGAGAGTGAGCAACGATGGCATCCTTCACTGCCATAGAATTGCAGCGGAGCTATATCGGAAAGGCATGACGGGCCAACCGAGACATGTGCGACAACCGCTACGCGGAATGGCCATGGTGATGGGCAAGCGAGATAGAAGCAAGCTCTGAACATCGCCTACTTCGTGATTGGCTCATTCAGCCTACATTCCTGTATCGCTCCAATTCGATACTGCAACAGTAGCGCAGTTGCCCGCCTGTTTCTGCCTTTCTATACTTGACGTTAGTATCCTTGCCCAGTTGGGGGCTCTATAGATACAACAACAGAAGCATGGTTTGCATATAACGGGAAGTCCTAGCTCATAAATGCTACTGCGTATGTTCATAGTATATTGGATTCTCTATTGTGGATTTCAAGCGAGATACAACATTTACACAAAGTGGCTGATGATAGTGACAAATATATGGACATACAGATACACATCCAGTCTCAGGATAGGTAGCCGAAGGCAGTGCAAGGTAGAGTAGACCGTAGCCATGCTGTACAGCTTTACACTTTGCACTCTGGAACAACCAAAGCTCTTAGACTAAAAGACTAGCGATAGAATCTGGACTGAAGTAAAATCTTATGAGAAGTTTGTGAGACTCGAGTGTGTATTTATGGCCAATCGATATACATAAGTTACCTCGCCTATGCCATTTATACGATGTCTCATGTATTCGATGGCGTAATAATGTTCGCATGGTAATACAGTCCGTACTACGTATCTTCCGACATTTTCAGAGCTGAAGCACACTATAAGCAAAGTTTTTTGTTACGTATTACAGCAGGCAGTATAGAGTCTTCGTTATGGTGATCACTCAACAATAGCTGAAGATAGTATATCATTAATGGCTCACTAGATTCTATTCATATATCTCCAATATCTTAAAACGCATGTCCCAAGCAGTAGTTTGGTTTAATATGATAGGTATAACATGAGTGTGAAGGAATATATGGCACAAAGAAATGTCGCCCTTTGGCCTTGAGAGAGGTTGATTCTCCTGCACAAGCCAGTATTTGGCTAATGGACAGGATTCCAATCATGCCAATACCCCAATTTACCACACACACACTACCGTGGTTGCGTATCACCACCTCTGAAGCACAAGGAGACTCACCTAGCAAGAATCTTTGTATCATAACCGCATGCATGTATTGTGCAATAGGAATATATATTGGCATTTTCCTGAACAGCTAGGAACGTGCACAAACACATTCTGGCAGCGAAAAACACACATATTCCAATCCAACCACGGCTTTGCCCCGTTATTTCAGCTGTTTATCGCTCTTCCTCCTTTGGTTTGGCTTTTTCCGGAGGTTCCTGAGACGCCTCCTTCTTGGGCAATTGTGAAAGCCAGAACTTGGTAATGGCACTACCCAGGAACGTCTGGTCCACCCACTTGAATACTGCATACAAAACCAACCCCCAGCTCCACAGAGACGCTCCCATCATGCAAGCGACCAGGAAGATCGGTCCCATGATCAAAAACGATAGAATCGCCCACAGCAATGCAGCCACCGCGGCAAATAGAAATGTACCTGCCAAAAACACAAGGAAAGGCACTCCACAGCAAATGAGCTGACATATCAGAAAAGACGTAGCGTAGGGCTTTTCCAGCGCAGCCTCGAAGATGGCTGCTTGGCGAGGTGGAGGGAAAATCACCGCCAAAAACCATTTCACAGTCGACTCAAACCAGTCCAACATGTTTGGAATGATATTTTTGACATATGCGGTCATTGGCGCATACCACGGACCAGAGGAGTCGTCTTGTGGGTCGACTCTGTCCCGGGTTTTCTCCCCAGGGAACTCGCCGGGCGTTGTTGAGCTAGTGATCGCTGTTGCGGTGGTACCGAGATCTTGAGTTTGCTTCTGCACGATGGGAACCGTGGAGCCTATCGTCTTCTGGGCGAAGCCGTCCAGGCCCCCGGAAACCGATTTCAGGGACATCTTAACTTGTTCTCGTCTAGTCGGACCGGTCTATCATCAGGGATGAACATTGGACGCACAGTTTGGGTGAATACATACTAATAAGTATTGCAGAGCAATGGCACTGCCGCACTATTTCCAAGTTATAAATAATAACTTAGATCTAGTGATAACTCATATCAAGTTATAAACTATATATCTAGTCATAATTTATATCTAGAAATAAGTAAATAGAGACCGTATGATGTCATCCTATAGTCATATCACCTCTAAGCAAAAAGATTAAATTAATCAATTAATTAATTCTCCGTTAAATCCCTGTTCTGGGAGAATTTGCCCTGATCTGGCATAATTAGTCTCGTATTATAGTTCTTAGTCAAAAGTTTGAATAATCGCGCTAATTAGACGGTCGCGTCAACCAACGCGTTGAAAAAATCTCCTCTTTTCAAACACCAACCATGACACCTAGAAGGGCTCCTTTGAGTCCCTTCAGTGCTAATATTAAGCGTTATCAAGAGCTGAGTCCACCAGAAAGATCTTATATACAGGGTCTTTATGAAGGTGGTGTAAAAGCTACTGAAATTGCAAGGCGTTTAAAACGACCCCTCCAAACTATCTATATCACGCTGAACTGATCATCTTCAAGACAGGAGATTGAATCCCAACCACGCTCTGGCTATTCAAGATACTATACAGATAGAGATAAACGGTCGCTGATTTGATTGATTAAATGATATCCTTTTATCACCTACCAAGAGGCTCAAGAAATACTATATTTTATAATTTCTCATACCACACTATACCGCATACTTCAAGAATCAGGATATGGCAAATGGCGTGCTCAAAAGCGTCCTAAATTAACACTAGATGTTGCCAAGCAGCATTATAATTAGGCTTTAAAATATCAAGATTATAGTGACTCTGATTAGGCTAAAATTATATAGTCTGATGAGTGCTCAATTAAATTAGGTTCTGGCCAATGACATAAATACATGTTTCGACTCAATTTGTATGGTGAAAAATGGAAAAAGGAATATACTCAACCATATACTAAAGGAAAAGCTATCCGTGTAATGGTTTGGACAGCTATTTAAGGCAAAAACCGCAGTGATCTCATCCGTTTAGAGCGTGATTTTAAAGGTAAAAAATATGGCTACACTGCATGCTTCTATCTTGCTCTAGTGGAGGAATTACTGCCTACTATTTGGAAGCCGGGCCTTATTTTCATGCATGGTGATACCCCCATTCATCAGCCAAAAGGATTAAAGAATGGTTGCAAGATAATACTATAAATTATATGGAATGGCCCCTATACTCACCTGATTTGAACCCTATTGAACACATGTGGTTTCCACTTAAAGAAGGGGTCTACGACTTGAATGCTGATATTGAAAAGTGCCAGGGATCAAATAATAAGAAAGAAGAGGTCCTATGGAAGGCTTTAGAACAGTCATGGGCCTTAACCAGTCAAGATATTCAATCTGCAATCATAAAGAGTATAAAGAAGCGGGTAGAGGCATTTTTAGAGGCGAGAGGGTGGTATACCAAATATTAAGCTAATTTTCTACTTCTTGTATATGTTTTCATAATTTTTGGCCTTTTATTCTATTTTTAATATACTCAGATTAATATAATCTGTCTTGTATTGCAAGATATATATATATACTTTCATATAGAGGGTTGAACCATGGCGAGGTCCGCGGCTATCAAATTATGCAAACTTTTGTGGGGCACTGTAAGATCATTGCACATAAAGGGACAAAACATTGCCAAGATAGGTCCGCCGTGCCAAATACGAGAGGAGCCTGAATGGCTCCTAGTGCTGATTCCGCTCCGAGAGTGTATTTTCGCTCGTGGGGCTGAGGCCATCTCAGCCTCAACGAAGACTTTTAGAACAGGAGCTCGAATCTAACTTTCAGTACTTCAGGGATTTCTTCTCAGAATCTGAGAAGACAAGCCTTGGAGTACTTCAGCTAATACGCTTCAATATCCCACCCGCCCGACAGCACCCTTGTTGTGCCGACATTCTAGTTGGTTTAATTGTTGAGATCCAGTGCCGTCGGCAATTAATATGCCTACCGACACGACACTCCCGGGATTCCAGGCGACCGGATACAGGCTTCGGAGAAAGCACGGAAAATCCAGAAATGGTTGTGTCAGGTGTAAGCAACAGCGGAAGAAGGTAGGCCATGGTTCCTTATGACTCTGAATACATTGTTCTGAGCGTATCACCCAGTGCGATGAGTTGAGGCCGAGTTGCTCCAGATGTATCAAGCGCACATATAGATGTCATTATCAGAACCATCTGAGTGATGGTAGTCCGTCGGAGGGACACGAGTCGACCCATTTTCCAGCTCCTGATTTGCCTGTGCTACCTGAAAGTCTCAGTCTTGTAGATCCAGGCACTCTCTCGCCAGACTCACTTTCAAATAATCACCTCTCGGTTCCCAGTCCTTCGTCTGGAGGACAGTGTGCTTCCGTTTCAAGTCCTAGTTTGGAAAAAGAGAGACTAGTATCGAATTCGCAGTCCGCTGGTATTCTTGACGCGACAGAGCTTGGTCTCTTGGCCCACTACCTCACGCACACTAGTCAAACTATACCTTTCGACGATCTCGACCTTTACGCTCTTTCAGTAGGAGTGCCAAATCTCGCTTTCAATTGCAAGGCTGTCATGTCGTCTCTATTGGCCTTGGCAGCAGCGTGCAAGTCACACAATATAGCTAAGCGAGCCCAGCCGCCTCTGGACCCCCAGAACCTAGTGGAGATTCGAGAGCTACTCGCGCTTGCAGAGCGCCATCACAGGGATTCCCTCCGACACATACAAGTGGCCATGCAGAACCCAGATTCATATGATTACGTCCTCGCAAACGCGGCCTTAATGGTCTTGTATGCCTCTGCCAGTCACTCCATCCGAGTCCATCTTGCGGCCATGGCGGCACAGTGTGGGCGGCGGTTGCCAGATGAGTTGTTCCCGCAACACTCACAATGGATCTCATTCACACGCGCAGCCCATACGGCGTCCACTGCGGTTCTTAACAGCATCATTGACAATGCCGATAAGTCTTGCAAGCCCGCCACTAGCTCGATCATCGACACACGATCAAAGCTACCAAGCGCGGGCTTATGTAGTACCAGTGTCTTATCGCCGCAGGACGGGCCATCCGAGAGCACCAAACGTCTGTTTCTGCCACTTGTCGCATCTACGTATGTCCAAGCTTTTGGAAGGCTACGCGCGAGAGCTGAATCGACGTCGGCCCTTTTGAAAAGGTCCGCGCTCTCTGCTTGCCACTACTCACAGCTCCACTTATCCTTGGAAACGGTGTCTGTACTGGAAAAGTGTGCGACCGCCGCTCTGTCTCCAAGAAAGGGCAACGAAAAATCCGAGACCCCTAACAATCAACCTATTTCATTCAATGAACGTTCGGGAGTCTCACCATGGGTGGCGAGGTACATGGTCAGCGTCACATCAATGGAATCACCGCAAATACTCCGCCGGATCATTATGTCCTTTTTGAACAAAGCGCCGGCCGAGTATCTCACACTCGTCCAGTCGGTGCTTGACTCACCCTCCATGGAAGCGAGGGCTGTGAATTGGATCACACGCGACTCACCTGGGACGACGGAGGGACCGTCACTCAATGCGACACACTTGCTCGCTATGGACATCTTTGCGCATTGGCTGGTGTTGGTGATGTTATTGGATGGCGTGTGGTGGATTGGTGGTATTGGACAGTGGGAACTAAGACAGGTTGTGTCATTGATAAAGACTCAGAATCTACTGGGTCAGTCGGTAGATGCTGGAGAAACGTGGTGGCCCGAGAGCATGTACCTGGTTAAACGGGAGCTCACCCCTAAGGTCTAGCTCTGATATATCTTTAAATCACCTTTCTCAGCTAGTCCACTATGCTCTCCCATTAATACCGATGCACGGCGTGGCTTAACCTTCGATAACCAAAAAGAATATGGTTTGCAACAGTAGAACTCCAGACGATGGCTGTGACTTGGTGTAACCCAGGTATGGCTATTATACGACTGTAATCTAACAACTCCGTCCCTGCAGCATAGTAGAACAGGTTCTACGATATCAATAGGCCCTAGTATACTGTATGCGGTGCGTGGAAAGACAGCTCACAGGAATGAGTGACCATTTCAATAATACAGATATAAAGGCATTAAGCGAAAGTATTTCCCATGGCTAATGACCTCAACTACAGCTCGCTGTTTTCTCTCCCCGTTCAAAATTACAATGCAGTCGGCAGTTCATAAGACCATTGGGGTTCTCCAGCCCACATTAGGAATGAGTTCGGAAGCACTTGATAATGCTCCACAGGCAATAGACTGTCCAGCCAAGATTCGACGCAACCAGCCTTGGCCACCGGTCGGTGCTCGAATCGATCCTCAATCCAACGCAACCAGGTCTGTTTCGCCGCGTTGATGGAGGTGAAATGGCTTCCTTGCGGAACAGTTAAAAGCTCCATATCCCCAGGGTACCTCTTGCATGTCTCTTCCACGGTAGCTTTTGTCGTGTTGTACGGCACTATCTGGTCTTCTGTTCCCTGAATGATAAGAGCCGGCCCCTTGAAGGGCAGATTCCCAGGGTTGGTCAGTTCCTCAAAAGCTTTCGCATACCAAGTCTCATGCCAATCAGGCTGCACGATCGCTTCTTCGGGGCTGAACATGGCAAAGGTAACCATTTGGGATCCTTCGATCTGGTTCAAAAGCTCTATCCGGCTAACACCAAGCGGGGTAAACCAGTTGCTGAGGTTGAAAGATGGGTAGATCTGGTCCAGGTCCTTGGCAATCCACGCTAAAAAACCAGCTGACGTAAAAGATAATGCGTCTGTTGGTGGAGCCACGAGAACAGCACCGCGGAAACCCTTCGCAACATCCACAAACAGAGGATCTTTCCGACCAAGAATCTCAGTCAGGCCCCAAGCAACTGAGCCGCCCTGGCTGTGGCCCATGACGACGTAATCGCTTGAAAGATGCTCTGAGAAGGACTCCCGAGCCGCTCGCAGAGCGTTGAGAGCATCGTGAGCACCAGCTTCGCGAACAAAGTATTGGTGTGGGATGTGACTCCTATCCCATGACGCATCCACGCCGAGTCCAGCATAGTCTGGGGCAATAACAGCGTATCCAGCCTCAGCCAGCGCAAATGGCACGATGCCCGCGTAGAACAGATCACGGCGTGTCGAGGGAGCCCCATTGGCATAGAAACCTGAGGTTCCATGTGTCCATAGCACAACGGGCGCCGATGACTCAAAGGTGTGGTTCATGCCTCGAAAGGTCTTCGGTTCGTACGGCCACATGATGTAGGCCGAAGCAGGGACCAGAGTACCATTTGCGTTTGTCGTGCTATAGACGAGGCGGGACATGGCCGTCTTAGCGGGAATGGAGAATGGCGACGGATCCGTGAACTCCTGGAGCTTGACTGTCTTCCCAGGCTCCGTGGGCCATTGGTCCTTGGGTAGATTTCGGACATTGTAAAAGTCATCCTCATGTGCTCCGCCGTTGGCAAGCTGGGAGCGGTCAAAATTGGTAATCGTGTCGATGATGGCTCCCTGATCTCTTGTCAAGTTGGCCAACTTGACCTGCTCGGGGCTGAGCTCAAAACTGGCATTCCATCCTGTCGACTGGGTCGCCGCAGCTGAAATAGCTTGACCCGCGGCTAACTTCGCCCCGAGTATTAGGATAACGACGTATCGGAGATATGTCATAATCTTCGGTCTTGGCCTGAGCTGTAATGGTTGTTGATCAGGTCATTGACGGCTTCCGAAACTGTTGGGTGATTTAAGAAACTGGAATATTCTCATCATTGTCTGGAACTTTATATTCGAGCAGGTTGAAGTTGTCTTCGGAGCGACCGAAGAAGCTCACGTCATGTCATACTGTGGCTACTCCTCGTGAGGTAGGCAGTGAAATTACAACGCACCACTGCAGGGCCCAGATCCATGGCTTCTTGGAAATTGACGCTGCTCTGGATGATGCTATACAGCCCAAGTCGCTGGATACGCCCCGAAAGGATGAATAGCGTATTAGTAATACGCTATAGCAGCAGTGGACCAATACGACAACCAATACGAGACCCACTCGTGGATACTCTCTGCCGTTTGGAGGCTCTGGGCATTGATAATAATCGTCGTATAGGCTGAGCGAGGCTAAGGATGGTGGCTGAGCAGTGCGTATGTGGAATTCTGCTTATGGCACTTCATTCACCGTAAAGGAGTTAGGCGGAAGATTAGTATCTGGAATATATCATGAGAGTTGAGATTTGTGATGATGTGCCCGAAAGTAAAAGAACCATATATTGATCAGTATATAAAGACCCCAAGTACCTTCTCTCTTCATTGTTCAGCACTCAGGAAACACCAGCTAAGCAACACATTCAATATCTCCTGTCACCTCCAAGAACAAGCAACTTTTTAAATCCCATTCTAACCGCCATTATGCTTCCCAAGTCCGCTCTGTGCTTAGTTGTCACGGTGATGCTCGCCCTTGTCCTTCCGGCGAGTGCAGCACCTCAACCGATCACCATGCGCGCAACGTCCGAACTCAGCTTGACAGCTCAGCTGCGACTTGCAGATACGTATGTCTCTCAACATGGACCCCATGATGTAAAAACGAACCATCTAATTGCGTAGTGCCATTGAACGTTACCAGCTCCTCCCACAAGACGAAGACTTTGTCTTCAATTTCACCACAAGTGAGCTTCCGATTGCCACCAGCCAGAATTTTCCGGCCCTTGTAGGCACTAGTGCCTCCTTCAGCATCTCACAATTGCCAGGTAATTTTGCAAGAATGTCTCTAGTTGTTGAGTCCGGCTAACCCGCCCTCATAGGGTGCGGCATGAGCTTTCTCCATCTCCACCCTCGTGCGACTGAGCTCTTCGCCATTACCTCGGGACGCGTGTTGTCCGAAATGGTCCCGGAAGCGGGCGTCCTGGACTCTGAAGGCAAGCAGCGAGTCATCCGGGCGGAGCTCAGTCCCGGCATGTTGACCATCTATCCGGCTGGCTCGTTTCATACGCAGGTGAACCCGGACTGTGAGCCGGCCCATTTCGCGGCAGCCTTCACATCCGATGAGTTTGCCGTCGGTTTGGTCGCACAGCAGACATTTTCCCTCAGCGATGATGTTATTGCCGCTACCTTTGGGCAGAGCATTGCCGGTGAGGATATCGAGACGGTGCGGGATGCTATTCCGAAGACCATGGCCATCCAGGTTGAGGAGTGCTTGAACAAGTGTGGTAAGCAGAAGCGGCAAGCTTGATCAGCTCGGAGTAGTATCTCTCGAAATGCGACTGGACACGCGAACCTTCGTCGGCGGCCGGTAGTACCTACTTTAGAAGTAGCAAGATGAGTATATATTGAATAAGCAAAGCTATTGGAGTTGTTAGGTCTGTAACTGAAACGACCTTGCGATATATGAAGAAAAAAAGAATGTGAAAATCAGGAATAATAGGTGATATAGAAACCAGGGACAATTCAAGATTATTCACACTGCAATCGCAGTAGAAATCCAGCCCAGCACTAGGTAACTGTGCGGCTAAAAAATAGATCTGTGAGTAATGTATTATCGGATTTACTTTGTGTTAAGGAACCCCTGGTCGTTGGAGTATAATAGAGATACCTAGGAAAGAATATGATGCTATCCGATCAATATCGTGAATGTTAGGGCTTAGAGATGGGTATGGTGATTTTAAAAGTATTTCAGATACCCTCGAATGTATCTAAGGTGCTATTATGTTATCCATTTGAAGTATTCTCTCACATGGGGACTAAAAGCTGACAGCCGCGGAGTAGATATAGTGTAGCCCCCACACATATATATCTCTCCCCTCATGGAGACTTATCCTATTCTACTCGTTTTTTCTCTTTCATGTCCGTATGTCTCGAGCCTCGCACAATGTCGACAACAACCACAACAGAGGTTCTTTCTCCCCAAGCATCCACTGTCTTGTCTGATCGGCAGCAACAGCAACAGCAGAACCCACCACCAGGGACGGCAACCTCGGGCCGGATATCTGAGTCTCTCAACGTCGAATCTAATGAAGAGGGAGAACTCAATTACCCCACAGGAACCAAATTTTGGTTCACCATCATTGCATTGTGTATGATCCTGATTCTCGGAGGGCTAGACGCCAATATCGTCGCGACAGCCGTGCCCAGCATTACCAACCACTTCCACACGGTCGCCGACGTAGGATGGTACTCGTCGGCATTTCGACTCTGCACCTGTGCCTTCCAGTTCGGGTTCGCGAAGCTATATACGCTCTTCTCCATAAAGGCGATCTTTTTGGTGAGCAATGTGATTTTCCTTGTCGGGTCTTTGCTCTGTGCCACGGCGGTCTCATCGGCTATGTTCATTGCTGGGAGAGCAGTAACGGGTCTCGGATTCGCGGGTGAGATGGCTGGCTGTTTTGCGGTCGCAGTGCAGATCCTGCCCCTCAACCGGCGGCCAGTGTTTGCGGGTTTGATGGCGTGTGTGGAATCGCTTGCGATCATTGCGGCGCCGATAGTAGGGGGTGCCCTAACGCAGTCTTTGGGTTGGAGATGGTGTTTCTGGTTTGCCCCTTTTGTGAGAGTAGTAATCAAAGGCAGTTGGACACTGACATTCTCCGTAGGATTAACCTTCCCATTGGCGTGGTATCGCTGGCGACCATGCTTTTGCTCTTCTCAGACCCAAGAACCCGCCAGGAGGACGACCTGACGTTGACCCAAAAGATCATAGAGCTCGACCTCGTTAGCAACTGCTTGTTCATCCCATCTCTAACTGCGCTCTTCGTCGCGCTGTCTTGGGCGGGAACCAAGTACCCCTGGTCCGATGGGAAAGTGATTGGACTATTCGTCGTATTTGCTGTGCTCCTTGCTGTCTTCATCCTCAATCAACACCGACGTGGAGACTCAGCGGCGCTCCCGTTCCGCATCCTCAAAAGCCGAAGTGTCATTGCAGGCTTCATTTTCACGACATGCACGAATTCGATGACGAACGTCTTGGAGTGGTATTTACCAACATACTATCAAGTTGTTCGATCCCGGGTAAGACTTCGTGTCCCCAGCTCGCTACAACAGCAAAATGCGCTGACAATACTATGGTCTGCCAGAGTCCAAGCGAGAGCGGCTACCTGATGATCCCCATCCTCGTGGGAATGATGCTCGGGCTCTTTCTTCAGGGCATTGGCACCACCACGTTTGGCTACTACGCTCCCTTTATGATCTTCGCCTCCATCTGCATGCCCATCGCGGCGGGCTTGATGACCACATACAATCTCCATACATCCCTTGTCCAGATCATCCTCTATTCCGGATTCGCTGGCTTCAGCGGAGGCATCGGCTTCCAAGGCTCCCAAGCAGCGGTGCAGACCACGTTGAGTGCCGCAGATGTCAATCTGGGGATCGGGGTCATCTTGTTCGGGCAGAGTATGGGTCCGGCGGTGTTTATCGCGATTGCACAAGTGATCTTCACGAATCGCTTGTCGTCAGCTTTGCAAGATATTGTTCCAGGGCTGACACCGGGATACATCGCAGAACACGGACTAGGCGATCTTAAGAATGGGGTTCCCATACAGGAGTGGGATCGGGTCTTGTGCGGTATTGAGCGAAGCCTGACTCACACGTGGTACCTTGCCGTCGCGTTGGCTTGCACGACGATTGTGGGAAGTCTTATGATCGAATGGCGTTCGGTTAAGCAGAAGCAGTCGTGAAGTATAGACTATTTGCAGAAACCCAGCCTTGAGGTCGTAAAGATTGTGGATGACTCTACCTCTAACACTGAAAAGCTCACATTAGACGGCAAAATATACGTGTTCATGGAAAGGTATTATTGTTCATGCCCTACAGCAATAATAGAATCTATACGTTGGTCCTGGCGGTCACACTAGGCGCGAAGCATACATTCCTCGTGGAAGACCTACAATACCTGACTGCAGATACTTCTGGAGTTTGCCATGCTATTGAGGCAGAGTCGCAGCGCCTTTATTTAAGAGACTAAGATAAACGAGTAATCCTGGCCCCGAAGCAATGAATTATCACCACAAGCTATAGAACTCTAGGACTCTCCAGATATCGCAATAACTATTTAATACATATTGAGTATTCCATCATTATAGAATAGAGTAGATTTTAAATTTTCTACTTAGTAAAATATATTATTAAGCTTGAGATACAAGGCAGTATTTTAAAATTAATTTTACGTTTATTTTATATGTTATGAGACTCGCGGGATTCTCCGTTACCCGGAGCCGCTGGTCCGTTTTCATAGTCAAGTTGGAATAACGATGCATCAGATACTTACACAGCTGCTGGTTCTATCTCGATGCAGGCCTCTTCGTCCTTTCTCTGACAGTTCTGTGGGCGCCGTGTTTGATCACCTGGAATCCTGGAACGGTCAAGCTCTGATGAACCAGTGGACACTCAGAGTTCTGGGAGCGCAACACACCTATTCGGGTCGCATTGGGAACATCATGGTTGGCCTGATGGATTGTCATAAGTACGCCTTGGGCAACCCATGGGTGGAGAACGAATAGATGCACCAATTCCCATGACTCTGCATAACTTATGCAGTTACAAAGACTATTTTACAGTTCTGAACGCAGTATGGGTCTAACTGCAGATTCGCACAAAACCAAGCAAAGCAATGTTTAGCGGCAGTTACGGCAACTAGGTATCGAAAGGAGCTGCCTCTATGCAGCTCTAGCACGTACCTATCATGTAGATACGATAAATCCGGCCGAATGGGCAAGGTTTTATGCAAGACGAATCTTACTGCGCCGGCTCGACTTCCCCGAGGACCCAGTTGGGAAAGATTGGGAGAATAGCTTGGCATAGCCCGTTGCCGTTCACCAATTTACGCGCCTTGAGGCCCTCGCAGAGGGGCTAGGAAGTAATCAGGACGGCTTGGTCAAGGCGATTTCGAGAATCACCATAGGAAATCATTTGACAACACATAAGTTGCGGCAGACTATGTGACATAATGGTCTGAACAGCAGCCCGCTTCTAGAAAGCACCGGCAAGGTGGGGTTGTGACATGTATCTCCAGTATGACTAACGTCGAAGTAATGCAGCCATGGTGCAATGATATGATATATATGCCATACTGCAACGAGCAGAAGAGTTTCTATGAAAGCTACTATCTTAAGACTCACCACCGAAGAAATCCATACATTGGAAGCAAAGTGATACCCTAGTGGCCATCAGGTGATCATTTGACAAGACCTAGCACCATTGCAGGGCAGATTTAAAAGGTTGACGTTGGAAGATGTCGGACGAAGCAAAAGCCAGAATATAAGATACTGTGTAGATCCTACTGGATGCAGCCTAACTGGACTAGATTCTCTCCAGTTCTCACCAGTCACCAAAGAGCCTCTACAACCTACCACGAGTACGTGTTTGCTTGTCAAGGAGCCCCGCCTCGCCCCTTGGATCCGATAAATCAATAGTTGTCTGCCCTACCAACGAAATAATATCGTTCAGTGGGTATATTTTTCGCTCTCTATCGGGTGTTCGTGCCATGTCTCTATTTGGTCACTCTTCATTCTATTTGATGATTATCTAAGTGTCGCACAGCATCACTTCTTTGCGTGTGTTAGGTTTTCACACTCTGTCACACATCCTCAAAATGTCGATCAGGTTCGTTTAAGCATTACAGCATCGTGGTTGTTCACGGCCTGCTTGGCGATCATGCCCTGTGGACTTCTGTGGGAGGTGTTTTCTGGCCCGAAAAACTCCTCCCGACAAAGGTATCCGACACGTGTCTCCCTCTCCTTCGAATATGAGGCGGGCAGTTGGTCATTCTTTGAGCTGGACGAGGAGGCAGAAATCGACGACATTGTTAGCGACCTGATCCACGAGCTGATGTATCATTGACTCCTCAACAGCAAGAATCTATGTACTATGGCGCGTCTTGTCCTTCGTAGTTGAATTTTTAGTCCTTCAAAATGTTTCCCAAAGGCGTAGAGCTCAGGAACTAAGTCCTTGGGAACGATGCATGCAGGCTCGATGTTTTAGGCATGGCGATAATATCACCGGTCCTGATTTAGTGCTTGAAATACATAGTACATGTCCTTCTCTATCATAAAACACTTTTTGGCCGTTCCATCTGTTAACCAAGATTCATAGCTGAATCTATAAGGTAAATGTTCTTCTAGTACAACAAGCGCCAATGCTGTGTATATCAACCAATTAATTTGCTCCAGGAATGCAAAGAAAACAAAAGAAAAGAAAAAAGAGAGCAAACGAAACATGAACCATCTTTGGTAAGCTTCAAACCTGTTCTTTGACATAAAGACCTGCCATTCCCTGGCCCGTGTCGATACGTCTACCTGTAACCAGGATCATTTTCCCTGTCCGACGGGCCTCACTCAAGATGGTGTATATCTGACGTGCCCCTGCGGATCCAAGTGGGTGTCCCAATGCAATTGCTCCACCGGGAGGGTTAACCTTTTGATGATCAAGAGTCAGGGACCGTAGGCAGAAGACAGCCACGGAGGCGAAACTCCTTATTAATTCTCTTCCTTACGAAGCTAAAACATTTCAAGTAGCTTTAGAATCGCCGCTACGGCGCCAGCCCCCATCAGTCGAGGAGGAACTCCAGCAACCATTGCGCCGCAGAACTTGGCTAAGACCAGCTGGCCTGCGAGGACCTTTCAACCCTGATGAATTAAACGGATTGACAGATGATGTCCTTGTTATGAATGGTACCCTGGCCACTAGGGAGGCAGCGCGCACAATATAGGCCGCCTGCGAGCCTTGAACCTGGTTTCAGTGGTATTAGTGTTGAATGCCAAGTAAGTAGGCCATGGTATACCCCATGCTAGGACATAATTCACATTTCCAGGAAAAACACTTTCTATCAAACTATGGTCCAGTTTGGACCTGTTAAGGGTCTCTTTCGGTAGCCTGTAGACCATCATATCTAAAGGCATATCCTTGAACCCTCCTTTTACGGCCTTGGTGAGAGGAGTGCGTAATATAATGCACAAATGATGACAAAATCGTCGTCCTTCTTACTGGTGCTATAGTTGGCAAGTCAGAGCGTACTTGATATGATAATGTTCCATGTACCTTTTGTTCGTTTGGAGGGGGCTTTCTATTAGGGGCGAGGTTTATCTTCCTGCCGCTAGCTAAACAGAGTATTTCACATACATAGAATGGAAGCCCAGCGATGGGCCAGAAACTTGAGAAGCGATTTCATTGAGTTTGTCAGCGGTCATTTTCGTCTCCCCTAAACGTAAAAGTTTACTATTTTAGCAGATACACATAGGTATATGGGATTTGTCTTACTTTCGCTGAGCCTACTTTCAACATCCTTTAAGTACATTTCCAGCAATACAGGGATTATCTGTTCCCTCGGTGATTTTCCCCTTAAGAGGATTGAAAACGGAAAGAATATATTCATCGCGACAAGAGCGAAACCTGATCGCATTCCTTTCGACCGTCGGCCAGAGTCTCAATAATGGAACACAATCCTGCCAATTGTGGGCAATGCCCCGAATGTTGCGTAACTCCCGTTCGACAGTGACCATCTCATTCAGCAGGGTCACGAACTGTACCGTCAAGATAAATACCGTAGTTCAGAGTTAGGCTAATGTTGAGAGAAAATCTCTGGAAGTACCCGTTGGGATCAGTATCATCGTCTAACTTCAGGTTGGTGAAGCGCTCATTGATACTTGTTGCAGACTCTAGGCCGGTAAAGGGAAGGCACATTTGGATAGCCTGTCGATTAAACGTTGTAGTAGCCGCCTTTCTCGCTAATTTGTCAAACTCGTTCCATGGGAAGGTCCCCAAGGTGTATTCTCGCTAGGTCTGAGACACCACACTATGGAAGGTCGAGTATGTCGGACGCTAAATAAGAACCGACAGGTTTCTAATCCAGAGTTCCTTGACAGCCCCCTGGCCGAGAGAAAGAAATTGTCGAAGACAGGAATTCCCGGTAACTCAGGGAGGTTTTTAACTTTTGGTATGCCGGTCATGTCCGACAACTTTGCAAGGGTAGCAGCTAGATTTGATATTTCCTCAACATGTTGCGGGTCCCTCGTAAGGATTCTCGTATACCATCTCATAGCTTTTGGGTTGTCACCCAGACCGCAAGCTAGACATCCACCAAGTACCATGCCGTCAATCCACTCCCAACCACTCTCACTACATAGTAGGGAAAGCATATTTAAAGCGGTGCGAGCAGTTGCTAGTGGTGTGATCTCTTTGCTAGAAGGCGGGACAGCAAAGTAGGATGCCGCTGGAACTATGAAACGTCCTGTATGATGTAACCTATCCAGCATCTGGGTGTCGCTATGTTGTTGAAAATGGTGGAGTGAGGGTCGAAACCCCCTTCTGCAAAAGCCTTTGGGTCTTTCTGCGCCTTCTTCCCCCCCCTTAACTCGTATCTTACGGACTTTATTTACGAATGTGGAGACACATACTGTCGGGGAAACTGTAGTTGGCTTTTTTTCTTAGCTCGCCTTATATTTGACCCGGGGTGCCTGCAATGCCTAGGTCCGAGTTGGAGGCATAGTACTGCGTGTGATGCACAGTACAAAAGTTCCGTGCATGCTTTGGAGGTGCTGTATGACTATACCTAACTCTTGGAGAGAGCCTTTTTAGACTTCTTGCACGGGGAGAAAAAAATAAAGGGAGGCTGCTGCGCACGGAATGATTTTAGTCTCGGTCAATACTAGGTTTACTTCCTGTTCGCCTAGCAAAACCTATCTTCTTTTGTTCTCTACCTCCTAGCTACACGTTGACACTATCGCCCATATGGCTCCTCGGAAGGTTCGCCTAGCTATCTTAGATGACTACCAAGGCATTGCTGCTGCAAAGTTCTCCCGCCTTAAACCACCCATTGGTATAGTCTCATTCCATGACACTCTTTACTCCGAAGAGTAACCACTCTCACTGACCGTATCCAACCTTTCGATGTGATTTCGACCAGGAGGAAATGTACGGCCTTTCCTGGGGATGTTATTCGAGCCTTGCCAAATCACAAGCTTATCATCACTGGTGGATTGAAGAATTCTTCCATCGACATGGCTACGTGCACTGAATTGGGTATACCAGTTCTTGGAGCCAAGGGGCTGGGAAAGAACGGTACACGAAAACCAGCGACTTCCCTCGACTCGACGTTAGAGCATATATGGGCTATCATCCTAGGCACGAAATATATCTCGCAATGATCTGGGAGTCAAACAAGGTGGATGACAAAAGTCATTTGCTAGATACTCTCGCAAGCATACAACACCGCCTATAGCCTCACGAAGGAAGCGCTTATGGTCTTATTTTTTTGTATAATCTAGTCCAATGTTTGTCTATAGTTTCTTCGGCAAGCAGCTAGGCTACAAAGTTGAGGACTCTCTGATCAGCCGGTAATCAGGGGAATTACCGTTGACGCGGTAACACTTTCAAGCCACTTATCGAGAGTGGCTGCACATTCCAGCGAGCACAGGCCATGTTGCTTGGACCAGTAGGCGACCTGTGTTTTGGCAACATATTTGATACCCAGTCTTACAGGCACACTCAACGCGCTGGCAGAGTGTGGCGCTGCTAGTGTGGTTTTCTTACCACGCTGCGGAGACTGACTGTGGTCGAGAGAGTTGGCGATGAAGACTGGGCCCCATGTATTTAGGGATACTGCAGGACTGAAATCCAAATTAATGCGGACGTATGCAAGTCGGAGGAGAGCTGTCGATGTAAATGACAGCGGACCGCGGGGGCTGAGTGGAAAAGTCGACCTCTCATCGTGTTCCCAGTGGCCAGACCATGCTTTCAGCGCACGTTCAAACATGTTGATATCCGCAAGAGACAGCCCGCCATCTCGATGACCTGGTAACCGGGCATTGCGGACCAACCAGCATGGGAGTCCTCTAGGATGGTAGGACTGGCAGTCTTTGAACAGTTCCTCAAAAGTGGCCTAGAAGACTTGTCGGGGAATGCCAAGGGTAAGCGCTTTTCGCCAGTCAACGACATTGCTCAGTTTCCATTGCTGCTCCGTGCAGGGGAGATTAACGTTGTTATTGCTGGGTAGCATCATTGGCAGGAGATCGGAAACAATGGTGTGAAGATTGAAAAAGCAAAATACAACTACTCTCGTCCACCTCGCCGTCTCACACCGAATCCATTCCCGCCAACTCGGGGGTTCGGGGTCTTGCTGTTGTCACATTGGATGCTCTCGCATCAACGTATCCAATGTAGTTCGGATGGAGAGAGCGTCATACGCATCCCGGCTCGTCCTTGAACTAAGTCGCTACGGCGACAAGTAGAAGCATGGCCTGCATGAGCTCCATGTCTAGCGTTGAATGCCCGACCAGGGAACCGGAGAGGGGATCCTCTCTATTATGACCTCCTACTGGTCCAGTATTCTGTTACCGATCACCGGCTCGGTCGGCCTGGTTTTCCCTTCCCTGTCGCGTATGCTCCAATACAACTGCCTTGGTGGCACGGAACAGCTCTGTCCCCAACTCTGGCTCTCGGGAAAAGCGAGCTCCAAGGTCCAGAATCCCTACAATTCCACACTCAGACCCTGTACGTTCGCGGATGGGGGTATGTAGAAAAGGATAGTGTTTGTGGAAGGTATTGAAGTATGCTGCCACCAGCCTATTATATAGTGCTAGAATAAAGGTTATCAAGAAAGGTCCAGATATCCAGCAAGTTTGTCTGGACACATATACGGTCTGTCTTAATGAGTGAAGGCAGCGAAACCTATTTCAGCGGAGAAGAAATGATGAACTACCGGGCCCATGTAGATATCTACAGGGGGAAGTTAAATCCCCATTGTTACTTAAATTTATCCTGGACTTGTATAAATTCTCCGTTTCATCATCAGGGCTTATTGATTTCTGAAAGTATTTGAACTGGGTTGGGATTTAGCCCAAACACATTCACTCACGTTCGAAGTCATCAAAGGCAAAATTTGATTTCTTGTAGAATTTCTTTCCTTTGGAAGCGGCGCTCTATTAAGTAGGATCACGAGTAGCCCGCCCACTTTCACCAAGGTAAATACTACTCAAAAAACGACCGAGTAGCAAAATCAGCTGGACATATGCCTCTTTTTATCACCCGCATATTGTGCCATCAAAGGCCCCTCAAGAGGATGAATAGGGTTACTCTCCAGCTGAAAGGGCGCCATATTGCCAGAACTCTCTCCAATCTGAGTGTCTCTTTGCTGTTGCGAATTGCGAGGTATTCTGCCCCAGCATAAAGGTTCTTGCTGTTCAGCGGTCTGATCTTCAGGGGCTGGGGATTCACGGCCGGCTAACTGGGAGCAGAGTTTATTTTTCATTGCTTCCATTTTAAGATTCTTTGGGACAGTTGCTGGATTGCTTAATGGCTTTCCAGGGACAATGAAGGATAAAAGAAAATCTTCTCTTGGCGTTATTCTCTGATATGCGGCCCTTACCGCAATTAGGTAGTGCTTTCGTGGCTCTGAAGTAGCAGAATTTAGTAGAACTTTCGTTTGCGAAATTCAGGTTTGAACTTCACTCTCAAAGAAATTGGGAAGGGGGCATGGGAGACATTGGACCTACATCTTAAGGCGCTCATAGAGTAGCTCAGTAGTCTGGAAGGATGAAGAAGCTGTGGCCCCCAGTACCCTCCATATGTGATATATAGCCTGACCCCCAAAGGTGGCGCGGGAATGGCCAGTAGCTTTCAACAATTCATTTGGTTCAAAGAATCATGACGTTTCCATTGTGTTACTAATGATGGAGGCTTAAAGTTATTTATTCATTCAGACTCTCAGACCAGGTCGAGCCAGAGAAACACTGCACAGGATTGGATGTACGCTGTCATCCCTTCGGGTGGAACCGTGGGTACCCCGGAGGCGAGCTTATGCTCTAACCATCTAAAACAATTACATCCCACATAGTGGCAAAGTCGAACAGAAACTTATATTTCACTCACTCTCATTTCATATGGTATCCCGATTGTAACCCGAAGTCAAATCAAGTTTTCATCAACAAATAAGAGTCATCAACATGTAATTGGCGTAGGAGTACATGTTCATCAGGTTGGTCCTGAAATGGTGCCTAGGTCTTAGACAGTTTATGTAGGATTAAATTGTGCCGACTCCAATACCTCAGTGTGAAAACTAGAGTAGATATATAATCCAATAGACAGTACATTAGGACTTATCAAAGTGGATAATAACGTTCGCCGCCGGACAATTTTTCGCGAGGACTCGGGGGCATGTTCTGCGCAACCCCTATCTAAGCAGCTCACCCGCTAACTTCACCTAGGGCACGACTTCAACGCTAGTACACCGTTACTCCAATGGCGGGGATTTTATCCATGTCTAGCTAGTACTAAGAACCCAACACAGCCCCTCGCCCTCTTCTCCTCATCCTACCTACCAACCGCTGTCTTCGACCTGGGACCAAAACGAGTGTCTTAAACCTGTGTGCCCGTTTTTCCTTTGGCCCCCATCATTGATTAGTTCTAGGAGAGGAGGGATTTGGGTGCGCTATGACTAAATTCCATTGGCGCGTAAGAGGGCTATGCTGTACGCCTGCGGGGCAGGAGAACCCTGTCACATTATTGCGACTCTTCTATCTCCTCCACTGAAAAAAGGCATGCCGGTTCTCTGGAGTGAGACAGAAGATGGATCTCACCCCCACCCCCCACATGGCAAGGGCAACCACTCACAGGCACACCTCGGTAGTAGCATGCATATTGTCTGGCTACTCCGTAGGTAGCATCAGCTGCAAAATGGTCGGACGATCATCAACCATCGATGTATTGAGATGATGGATCTTGTTTAATAGCATTCGCCGGATACAGTCAATTTCTAGTTCGACCTGCTTCGAAGTTTTCTAGCGATGGCCTACCGGGGCCGCAGTCTTCTACCGTCACGGCGACGCACCATACCAGGCTGGCATTTCTGCGCCAGTTCATCGAATATGAAGGCATATTAGTTGCCAGTGGGGCTCTCCCTCCGGTAGACGAGTTTTCGGTGCCTCTGGAGATCATTGTCAAGATACTTCTCCGCAGAGTGCTGGTGAAGAGCTTCGCTTTGGGTGCGGCGATCCGGAAGCGGCGGGTGAAATTGCTCTGACTGTTCCTCTGAGGGGAAGATTAGTCGAGACGCTAGCACATCGAGAATTGTTGAAGGATTGCACGACGGCCTGTGAATCAAGCGACTGCATCCGTGGTAAACTACGGTTTAGTGAAACTGCAGCTGCGAAAAGGACCCGCTCGTTCTAAAATATCGGGGGGAAGATGGCGGCATCTGGAAGTTCGAACGATTGCGCCCGTTACCACCGGAGCCAAGGCTATTGATCGAAGCTTCGTGAGGTATGATCTCAGGGCAATCGATGGTAATTATGGGGGAGGATTACTTTTCGTACTGTGTATCACCTAACCAAGCCTTGCCCGAGTTGGTTGCCCAAGGTATCGCTACAGAACAGGGTGCCAAAACCGGGAGATAGGTGAATATCCACAGATCATACTAGATATCATTGTGAAGGTTCATGCAAGTGAGATGCAGAAATAGTCTGGCATAGTCACACCAGTCTTGCGCTCCAATGTGCATCAAGCCAGATATATAGAGATGCCGCTACATACATCTTTACTGCACCCACTGATCGACCTTCCAACCAGCTTGAAGAAATCCCATTGCGTCTCCGTTCTTTAAACCAAGATTATAAAGGTAAGCTCATATACATATGTTAGACTGGGAAAGCGGGACACTGACAGAAACTCTGTAGGCTTGAAAGAGTAATCTAAAATCGTTGTTTGCTGCATTGCCAGAGTGAATATCAAGATTCCTTCGATAAACCCGAAGGCTTGTCCGATATCTCAAACGATATGAGTGAAAGGAATTCTCGCTGCCTATCTGCGGGGCCCTTGAAGTCACCTCGGAAACGCGGGATTGGCAGATGCTCTGGGGAAGCTGGATCCGCTTCTAGTAAGATCTGCATACATGGAAAGAATGATTCGCTATGGGTGCCTTGAACACGAGCGTTACATCGCAGGAGCATTGTGCAGGAATCGCCTGACATTCATAGAGCAGTACCTGCGCCCACCCTGCAGTATCTTATCCAGTCTCACGCTACCTCAAGCCATTCCTACCTTCTCCCCTCCAAACCACCGAGTTACAGCACATCATTAAAAAGGGGTTGCCAAGATCCACACCCTTCATTCCGTTCCTACTCAAGCCCAGACCGCTAGCAGCTGGCATGTCTCAGTGATGTACGGCCGCCATAGCTCGGCCATTTTTGTGGGGTCAATACCAGATCAAAAGTAATCCCTCACCCTACAACGCTAAGTCTAATACATCGCCGATTGGGTAGAACGCCCGGTCAGTGTCGTGGTGGCTGAGCTTCCTTTTGAAGCTGACCAACATACTCGAGTATAAATACGGAACGTCTGTCTTCCCCCAATACGTTCTGCTCCTTGCAACACGCCGCTTCAAAAGACTTCTCTATTTACTCTTAGCCAGGAGAGCCAAACTTAGGCCACTACCAATATGCAGATCATTTCTATCCTCTCTTTGCTTCTGCCTCTTGCAGTTACCGTTTCTGCAAGGCATGAAATTGGTGAACAGTGCAGTGGAAGTGGCTATGACTGCACGGCAACCTCGAATGAGATTGTAGTCTGCAATGGCTACCAATGGCAGCTTGCTGCGAAATGTGGAAACGGGTGCTGTGTGTGGCCAGGTACCCCCGCGCCTTACTGCGCCTGCTAAAACAAAGTCCGGTATGACCTCTTCTATGATACCTCACCACCAAATGATTGGGAAACCTATCTCACAGACCTTGCAGCCAGGGGATTCTTGTCTCCGATCTATTCCTGACGTGTTTACTTTATTCTGGTTGCCCTAATCTGTCTTCTGCTTCTTGTGGTGGAGTGTCGAGGTCCGTAACGTGAAAGGGCTCAGCTTATAAAGAAGGGGAAAAAATGAGGTGATTCATATGTACGGTGCATTTTGCCTTAGGAATCTGCATCCACACCTGTCCAGATGGCCTTCATGGAATTTTTGCGGGAGGTTGAAAGCTATAACTCAAGTTTACCATAATTTTGAATCATTTAGTGTTGCCTCTAGCAAGTTGAACATGATAGGATCAGAGGTATATATGGGGCAAGTGCTTTAATCACCGGTAGTCCCCTGAGGCACATTCTAATATCATCTGTGCAACGGTACAACCAATTATGTATAATCCACTCCATATGCCCAATTTACCAATGACAGACTTGTCGCTGCTCTTGGCTTGAGCATTATTTGGATTGAGACAGATCTAGGCAAAGCTTAATGCAGCTAGGTGAAAGGCTGCAAGCTGCAACAAGGAAATGATCGGGGTAGCATAGAAGCATCCTAATGTCTACATTGACACTTCAGCATACTTACCCAAGTACTATCCTACGGTAGGGGTTACCTTTACCGCTAGATGTTTGGTTTAGTAGATCAGCTGACACATCTACTGTTCAGGAACTGATTCAGTTTGCAAACACCATTGGAAGAAAGAAAGTTATTTTTGGGACAAACTTCCCTCAATTGAGCTGGAGCAAATGCATCGAGTCGGTAAACAGAGACATCAGACTTCGCGATGATGTCAAGGCATATTTCTTGGGAGGGAACGCGGCAAGAGTGCTCAGGTTGGATACTGCAGCATCGGGCAAAGTAAAGCTCTGAATGCTGCGCTTTCTAAACTATCGTAAATACCCTAAAATCATCCTCAATCTGAGGAAAGAGCATCAACTAGTTATAACAGCGATGTGTCAATGCCGCCGTTTACTATATCAGTTTTAGGCGCCAGGGTATCCTGTTCTTCTATTTTCACGCCGTTAGTAAGGGAGAATAGTCGGCGAAACTTCCTTCTGCCGTTTTAGACACGCTGCCAGGTGTCTATCAGCCTATAGTAGTAAGTCACGACAAAATGATGGCAGATTTGGCCCCTATCAGGCCAAAGTAGGAGTGTTCAAGAAAACCTAATCCAGCGTGGTCTAATATGCGAAAGATACGATCACCAAGCTACAAAAAGGGATTGCACAATAAAACATAAGTGGATTTTGTATTTCAGATAGAAGACCACAGGGAGATGGAGGAGACTATCACGCATACGTCAGAGACCCATTGCTACGCCTCTAATTAAACTCACAAACGCTCCAACGGATGATATTCGGCCCTTTTTTGTCCCTGTAAAGATGGCTTGGGCAGTTAACTGCTACAAACCTTACTATATTTATAATCGAGTGAACTGTTTTTAGAGCATAGCGCGTATGGATAGTTTTGGTGGCTTCCGCTGGTACCAAAACACGCCATAGATACCAGTATCGCCTTTAGCACTATACCTTATTTTACCTTGAATACAGCACAACTTCTCGATTTCTGAAATATCCGCCAACCTTCAAAGTGAGCATACAGTTTAAGGTATAATCAGGGTATCACGCTTAATAGATTATAGGTTCGAGCGTTGTTTCCTTCGACCGGGTCTGACAATCAATTACCGAAGATATACGAACCGATTGAAGTGTCCCGTTGAAGGCCGATTCTGCTTATAAGTGATCAGGACAATTCCTAAATGGTTCCCAATATGCAAAGAAATACGCCCAAGGAGGCGCACGCTCTTCAGCGAGCTATTGCATTCGGTGACATACCCAAAGTATCCTTTCTCTTAGAGGCAGGTTACGATCCGAACAAACAGGGCGAATTCTATGGCGATCCACTTAGCGCCGCAGTTTACCATTGTCACAAGCACCCCAGGGTTGTCCAAGCCCTTCTCGAGAAAGGCGCGAGCCCTAATAGTTCCGGGGGTGAACGGCATGGTCCGCCACTTGTTACTACGGCGGAAGCTGGAAATCTAAATGCAATACAGATGCTCCTCGACGCGGGCGCTAATGTTCACTGTCATGGCGGAAGGTATAACACTGCGCTTCAAGCAGTAATGACGGCATCCGACCACAGAAATAAACACGGGATTATTAAGCTTCTGTTGAACTATGGGGCAAACGCATGTATAACAAGCGGTCAGTTTTATTCCGCTCTTTCATCGGGGTTTACGTTACTACCAAGGGATGATTGCATTATATCTCAACTCCTCGACTATACGCTATCCCAAAAGCCTAGGAAGGACTTATTAGACCACACGATAAGAGCTGCTGCATGCTTAGGAGATCTAGCATCAGTCCAAATCCTACTCAGCGCCGGTGCAGGTCCAAATGCGGTTGCAGAAGCGGTTGAATCAGCAAATATTGATTTAGTTCGTTTCCTTGTGGTGCGTGGCGCAGATATTAATATCGATGAGGATTGTTACGGTACTAGGTTAGCGATAGCCTCATGTTATAGGCTTACAGAAAATATTTGAGTGTTTACCGGAGCATGGAGCTGATGTGAACCTTGTGTCCGAGAGGTATGGTACTCCTCTACAGGCTGCTGCGTTTGCTGGGAACACTGAGCTTGTCAAGAGACTATTCGATAGAGGAGCCGACCTAAATATCTCCTGTGGACATTGGGGCTCACCCCTGATCGCGGCCGCAAACGCAGGACTCAAAGAAATAATAATGTTGCTATTGCATTCTGGTGCAGACATAAACAAGAAGGGTGGAGACCCAGGGACCGCACTTCGGGCAGCTTGTGAAGTGGGTGACTTAAGAAGCAGCCAAACTACTTATCAGCTATGGAGCTGAGGTTAATGTCCTTGCTGGATTTACTGGGACTCCGCTTATAGCTGCAATTCGCTCTGGTAATGTGGTGTTGACCAAACTCCTCCTTGATAATGGAGCTAATGCGTGCCTTTTATCTTCCCAAAGCAACACGCCACTTGCTGAGGCCCTATACCTGCAATATCCAGACATGGTTAAGGTCATCCAAAATGCCCTTACAAGCGATGCAAGTGAGAAAAGCTGTACCTAAATAATTAAACTGTACAGAGGAAGGATGCTAGGTCGATACTTTAGAGATCTGTCACTTTCTCTATCCTACGTTACTAAGCTTTAGAGAGATGAGGTTCTGCAATGTAGATACTATATAATTTCTCTGTAGCCATCAGAATGCAGTATTCTTTCATAATCCCCGAACAGGCAATATCCGGCGTATTTCCTTTCGCTAGACCACTAGGCTGACTGTTGGTATGGGACAGGAATTGTTGGAGCATACGGACTTCCCGTACCGTGTGGTAGCAGGTGACCTTGGTCAACTCTTTTTTTTGGGTCGCGCTCCATGTTCCTACTGACTAATGGACTTGGCGATCACATAGTTATAAAGTACCGCAGTAAAAGTTTCAAGACATGTGAAGGGCTCAAGCGAGATTCGATTCAATCTAAGTAGACCTCGAACTGTTTACCAAAAGCTTGAAGAAAACATGAAGGATGCGCGGCGGGAACGCGGTTGTAAATAGACTGATCACGAGCTCGTGGTTCGAGCGTCGTATCAACAAATGCGTTTGTATTTCTAAAGAGAGCGTTCGAAAGTAAAATACGGCATTAAAAGAGTACAATAGATTTTTGAGAAGATTATTACTCAGGTTTCAACCTGCATAGGTTTGAAGGAATAGTATGCTACATTTTTTAATAACTAGCTGCTCTCGCCTGTAGATTTTCTCATTGGTTAGTCCGTTTCCTTAAAACGAGCTACTGCCTGCCTTGTTCTGGTTTAATTCTGAGCTTCTTGCATGTCATGCTGCATTACCTGTGCTTGCCTCTATTCCTGATTTGCTTCTTCATATGTAGTACTTCCTAATCTATGAGTTGTCTCATCAGTTCCTTATAAACACTTGCTTTTGCGCGAGGAATCTGACCTGTCCATTTCTGCTAATATAAACCCTAGTTAATGTGACCCTTGACTGCTCCTGAACCCGGCCCGTTAACTCTATCAACAATTCTATAACACCTCTATAAACAACAACTCTATAACCACCAACCCTAAGAAATAGTATTAATACAATTTCCTATGCATCTGCATCTGCTTATCCCCAATTCAGGGCTCAACACTGATCTGGCTGACACGTCGGCCATTGTTCTGCTCTCTGTCGGCAGCAAGTGTGGCAGCGAACTTGCTTTTCGCGCGAATTTGCGGTCCCTTCCAGTAGAAGATATAGATGGGAATCACAACGAGACAGGAAAGACAAGCCAGAATTGTGCTTGCATATTGAACATGCCACTTGTTGCCAATGTTGGTGTACATGGGCGTCGCGTACATAGCTGAGATACCAGCGAGAAGGTCACGGGCGAAAGCATTGCCACCAGTCGCGGAGGCGGAGTATACACCATAGGCAGCGACCATGTAATCAACCGAGGAGAGGTAAATCGCGTAGTTGGCAACACCGACACACCCGGAGAAGATCATAGATGCGATCCAATGGACATTGCGCGAGTCGCCTCTGCCGAAGGTTGTCCAAGCAAAACCGAACAGACCGATAGGTTCAAGGGGCGCAAGGAAGAGCAGCCACTTGAGACGACGCTCGGGTGGAATAGCCGCATCACCATGCCTGAGGCGAAGTTTCTGGTCGCGGAAAAACCAGGGAAAGTAGCTGAAGTAGGCAATGAAGTAGGCAGCGTTGATGGGAATAACCGCCCACGCCTGTGCTAGAGTACCAAAGTTCCATCCCTGCTTGTAAACGATGGCAAAGCTTTCGAGGAAGGTGAAGATCAGAGCATCGGAGAAACCAGACAGAAGGGACAGGCAAAGGACAATGGGTTCGCGCAACAGCATGTGGAATGGTCGCATCCAGATCTTGCCGGCTTCCTTGAGGGAGACACGAGGAACCTTCAGCTCGTTGGGTCCGTAGATGTTCGGGTCTTCTCCGGACTTGCGGCGACGCTTAGCTTCCTTGTCCATGATGATGGTCGAACGACTCTCGGGCATGAAAAATATGATAGCCTGGGTTACTCCCCCAAAGATAAGTTGAATCCAGAAGAACCATTTCCAGTGAAGGACTAGATATCAAACATATTTGTTAGCAAAAAGAAGAGTACACAGCTCCAGAAAAGAAAATTGTGTTTGCCTACAGCGCGCAATTGGTCCACCAATCACACCACCAATGCTGGTACCAATACAAGAAGATAAGACGATAAATGCGAGAGGGAACTGCTGTGTCTCAGACTCGTAGATGTCGGCAATAAGTCCGAGAGTGACACTGCCACCAGCAGTCGAAATACCGCCCTATGTGATGTTAGTATACCCAGTTGTCGAACGCTAGCTTGCCAGAGGGGGAATCAACCAAAGCACGAGCGACAACAAGAGAGCCCCAGTTGGGGGCAAGGGCTGCTGGAAGTTGCCAGATGTTGATAAGGAACATGGAGAGCTGGAGGATAGGCCAGCGACCGAACTCCTCAGACCAAGGTGCCCACAGCTCGCACCCGATGGAATAGGTCACTAGATAGGCCATCTGGCCCGTGCGAGCGTGTTGCTCGCTAATGTGGAACGCCTCGGAGAGAGGTTTGACGGCAGCGGGATAGACGGAAGTGTTGAAGTTCATAGAAACCTGCACGAACGCGACAGCGGCGAGATAGGTCCATTTCTTCCACCGCGGCCACGAATAGCCTAGAATCTCGTAGCAATCTCCTTCCTTCAGCTCACGCTTTCCATCTGAGCGCTCGCTTTGCTTTTCTCCGAGCTCGTTGGCAATGTCAACGGGCGCGCTAGATTCATCGTCCGTGCCATTTACAGACGACGGGCTGCTCTCGGCGTGGTCCGCGAGAGTTTCTTGTTGCTCTGGAGGAGACATCCGGGGATGGGCGACGGTATAGCTGACCAGGGACTGAGTGCAAAAGAAATACAATCCGGACCTTCCCCCAGCTGTTTGATCCCTACGACTATGGGCTTAACCGACCAGAGCACCCGAACGCCACACAAATCGGCATTCAGACCCACATCCGATGACGTACATGACGTGGATGACCTCAGTTATCACAAACCACTAGTTCGATTGGTGTTCCAACCGGGTCTGTCTAAAAGCCCGGCACAAAGCCTCTAGAGGTATGCTACGCTCAAAATGTTCAACAGTTGAGTGCCGGCAGCATGCTATGCCTCCAAATAAAACCTGTCCGGCTACCACCCACATGAAGTTTTCCTTGTCCTAATTGACTAACTAATCTATGTTACAAGTAAATGCTTGGCTAGTTTATTATCCCGGGCATTTATTCTTACCTACTAAAACTTTTCTATCTGTTTAGCTCCTATCCTTATTTCAAAACTGACATTATGTCTTACCGCTGATTGCAAAAGCGGCCCCAACGTTTATACTTTTCGTCTTTTCGTAAGATTTTCCGAAAATGTGTGTCATAAACCTCTGTATTGTAATAAAATACTCACTGCCTCTCTACATACTTTACATAGTTAACTACCGCAAACAGCCACAAGTTTATTTAATTCTAGAACCGTGTGACGAGCACTAGGCAGGATCGACAAAGTCCAGATAACTCTATTCATACCACGACCTCAGTCTGATATTAGTTTGAGCTCTAATTCCTTACAGAACTTCTCCAAGCCAGTACCTGAAAATCTGGTTCATAGTAATTGGCCAGCTTGAAAATGAAATCCCCAGTTATTATGAGGTTATGGCCCAAAACGAATACTACAGCTGAAGTGGGTGAAAAATCCTGGTACTTCCATTTCAATCATGAAATGCCTTTTGGCGACATATGACGTTATACAAGAGTGCTTTATTGCTTCCATTGGCGGTTTCCACTTATGAACACGATCCGACTAATGATTCAATGAATTAGAACTTGATGAACGCAATGCTACGGTACAAAATCATACGAATTTCCGCTTCCACTGTATGCATACCACAAACTATGTCTTTTATCATAGCTCTCAATTGTTAGGCCATCATGCCGAAAGTGACTTTTGAGCACTGTTTCTGGGTCAGCATCGTCAATATACCTCTAACGGAGAGTACTAACGTCGTGGTTAGGTATATTCTTCGATTGTATTCGGGGTATAGTGTGTTCGTATAGACATGACAAAATGAGAGTCATCACAGCATTGAAACAACAAAGGTGCCCCAAACAGCAGTATAAGCAGCAACAACCCCAATTGCAACATCCGCCTTATATCCTATACCGCAACCACTGAAGCGAACCCAGCAGTAAAAGCTGATGACACAATCAAAGCAATACTTTTGTCCCTGCGAAGCATCATCACTAACATCGGCAATAACACAAAGATAGCAGTAATAAATAAAGCTGCAAGCAATCCTCAACCATTATTATGTAAACATATGGTGCCAATGAGGCCACACAACCACATGACTGCACCCACCACTGTTAATGAAATGGCAAGCTGCCGAGCATCGGTTGGGCCGCCGGTTGGATGGGCAATGAAGCTGGCAGATACTATCCATATAGCTAAGCCGATAAACCAATCGACATGTATTCTCCTGTACTCGGCATGCCCTATGAAACTTTACGTATGACACCGTTTCGGTTTTCACTGCTGTTTAGAAATGTTTTTAAGAAACAAGTCTGCTAGCTTTGTTTAAAAATGGGCAAGCTTCCTTTCGTTATCTTTTGTATTCGAGGGCCGAACATAGATCAATTTCTCTGTAATTTCCGCAGGATAGTTCTTGAGAATGTTCAAAGATTTTCGTTTTATATGCTGCGAGGACATGTACTTGAGTTGAAATGAGTCTAGAGTTCAGCCCCTCTTTAAACTAACGTTGCCATGGAACAATAATAGGTTCAGAGTTCGACAACACCACACACAAGGGAGAATTTGAGTGGTCTAGAGTACATTGAGCTTTTCACGCCCCCAGTTGAAAAGAGCAGGTGGCGAGTGTTGAAAGTTCGTCGCAATTGAGATTAAGCTTCCTAAGTAGCGTGTTTATCATGATGGGTTAATAGGTTTTTACTCCAGCTCATTATGGGAGCTTGCAGAAAAAGCACAACATAGATAAGTCACCAGCCTTTTCTGTTCACAAAATATACTCAGCATTTGAGATTGAATTATTTGTCAGTTGAAGCTATAAGATTGGCAATTATATAAATATACCTCGGAGTATGGGTATACCCGTAGATTTTCAATTTCCGATACTTTTATGCGTGCAAGTGTAATCATACTGCTTTTACCCCAGATACACTCCACATACTTTTAAAGCCTTCCCGTTATGGTAACGCCCAGTATACACAGAGATGTAAGTTAAAAGTTACTGAAAATCTGTAACTTTTACTTTCTCTTCGGCAATCTAAACCAGATTTTAAAAAAGCTTAAGGGGAGACAAGAGCAAATCTAAACACTTTGATTATAAATTAGCCCTTTTTTAAAAAAAAATTCACCTTCTTTAGTTGATTAGCTGTTATAACTTCCATAATATATACATCGCTAATATACAGGGTTTTGTTTTGTCCATTAATAATCAGGTCTCTTTCTTTTATATCACACTTTTTATATGTAACCAAGTTATCTTCGTAAATTATATTTGTCTTTAAGTCCCGATATGTTTAATATTAATTGTTATTGGCCCTTGCCTCTTCTTTTCGCAACATAACATACACGACTGCCGAAAAGTAGAGTTGCTAGCAGGGCGGGTTTTTCGGATTTACCCAATCAACTCTATTGGCGGAGAACTCACGGGGAACCCGGCTATTTTTCGGCTGACCAAGTGGTTGGGTCGAACCTCAATGAAAACCCGTCCTGATAAAACAACTCTCTCTATACGCAGTATATCCATAAAATTCACAATTTTTTTTTTCAGATATAATCGTTTCAGGGCATCAGCGTGCGAAGTGCGCGTCCTCCACTTTTCTTTCAGTTTTTATCGTATAGGCTTCTACTCCCCCGCACGCTTCTGGTTCGTCGATATCCTTTCGCCTTCCGCTCTAGTCTTTCTTGGCATTGTACTCTCTAATGCACAACTTCCATCCTTAATTGGAGCTCAGTCCATCTGTGATGCGTCCTTATCACCATGGCACAAGTCAATACTAAGTAACCGCGGAGAAATGGTTGTTCCAGCCGTAGTGTGTTCCTCTTTTATTTTTACATGTCCATACGTGTCTTCTAATTGCCGCGGTAGAATGCAGCTCAGCTTGCTGCATAAGTTGTCCGTCACATTTTCTTGGCTATACAGTTTGCACCCTGGCGTGAACCAGATTTTTTCGCGTTGATTGCAATCTTTAAGACTGCTCAGACCCGCAGAAAGAGACACAACTGGTTAATTCATGGTTTATGACAAATCTTTTGAGCGCATGTCAACAATCGAGCCAACCATAAATCTGCCACTTAGGCGAGCGTACTCCTAGTTCGAAGGCAACAAGGGTTGACACGTTCATGGCCTCGAAAGTCCCCATCCCGAAAGTACCAACTGCTCACGAACAACAACACCGTCCAAACTGAGTCCGTTTGGCGTGCCAGAACTGTCGAGAACATAAGGCAAAATGTAGCGGTCATCGCCCCAAATGTGACAGGTGTCGAAGGGTAGGTCTGATCTGCTCGTACCCGGAATCACAGCGTCAAACTATTGAGAGGTAAACTGGATCACCCGAACCAGATGTTGCGTTACTAAAATGCCATAGACAACTGGCTGCATTGACAGACCAGGTCCACATTTACCGAGATCTCCTTCGTGAGATTTGTCCGAGACTGGACGCCGCCTCTACACGCCGTGTGGAGGATGTCTTGAGCACGGTATGTTGTGAAGAGCATGAAAGTGGGGCGCATGTTCTTCTAACGAGATTCCGAATGCATAGGGTACGTCCGACAATAATGCTTCTCTCGATAACCTCTTACCCACGTTTTCGCAATCGCGCAATAGAGACGGTCCAGACTCGATCCACTCAAAGGCGAATCCTTTAGAGTCAGCTACAGATTTCACTGAAGAAGATTTCAATCGTGATGGAAAGGCTCAGGCTACAGGATTCCTAGGAGAACACTCAAGCATCTTTTGGCTGTACTGGATCAAGCGGGAGGCTGAACAGGCCCGGTTGTCAATGGAAGATGTATGCTTCACTCCCCACCATCAGCAAAACAGGCAAGGCTTCGTGAACTCGGTCAACTATTCGTTGGATGATGCGGATCTACAGTTGATGGATGGTATTGATGCTCTGCAAGTCCCGCCTCAGCAGACGGCTGACGATTTAATCCAAAGTTATTTCGAATTCGCTCACCCGTCTTTCCCGATTATCAGCAGGATTTTGTTTCTGACGCAATATAACACGTTTTACTCTAGGCCGCATGTGCGCCCAGGGAGGAAATGGCTTGCTGTTCTGAATTTGGTGTTCGCTATTGCGGCCAGATATCATCAGCTCGTGCAGTGGAACAATCCGGGACACGAATCCAACCATTTATTATATTTCTCCCGGGCATGGAATCTCTGTCTAAGCGACTCTTTGACAGGCCACCCGGATCCCCAACAGGTGCAAGTTGAGGGTTTGGCTTCCTTCTACCTTATGTCAGTGGGTCATGCAAATAGGTAAGTTAAACTGGCGTCCTTCAAAGGGTTCGGTTCTTATGTGTCATGAACTTATTCATGGTACTTAGAGCCTGGAGGATGTGTTGCCTGTCGATTAGCTCCGCCATTGCAATGGGACTCCATCTTCGAAACGAAAACAGCGGTATTCCTGTTGTTTCTAAAGAAAACCGCTACTTTGTATGGTGGTCTCTTTACACCTTGGGTATTACACTTTCTATTGTCACCGGCCGCGGGCCTAGCATCAACTATCATTTTATGACCACACCCCTTCCCATACCTTTTCAGGATCAGACGCTCTGGGATATAGATTCCCTTTCTTTAATCAAGGATTACAGGGCTCTTGGTCTGTTAACCAGACCTCAAGAGTTAAATGATCAGGGAAACGATGTTAGCGAATGTGCTGCAACGACGCTTCCAGCGGTAGACAGTGTCTTCGCGTCTTTTGACCGAAGCAGCGTCGGGCAAACCCCGCAAGGGGGGCGAAAAATCGCTCCTAATGAATCGCTCTATTTTCTTTACTTTGTTGAATTGACTCTCTTTACACAGGAATCAATCGGATCTTTATATGCCCCAGCCGCTGTCCGGAGACCGTGGCCGAACAGAGAGGCTTTTATCATTATTAACAATAAAAAGGTGGAGACATGGTCCCACCAACTGCCCCCTGAGTACCAGTTTCAGCGCATAGAGCCTGGTCAGGCTCATGTTCGACAGAGCGTTAGCTTGGCTTTCTGTTACTAAGCTGCAAAATCCTTTTGCTTCAGCCCTGCCTTCGCCGTCTCAGCAACCATTCCAGTGAAGCTTGCAAATCTCTGGCCGCGTCATGTGTGGAAGCAGCGTCTCTCATGCTCTGTCTCCTGCCGGACCATCCCGATACTTCATGGTTGTACACGGTTGCTCCGTGGTGGTGTGCACTACACTATATTATGCAGTCTACCAGTGTACTGTTAATGAAGCTATGTAAACTTGGAGCCGGTGGCCCAGATCCGTCAGAAACAGTCAGGTCCAGTGTGCGCAAGGCTCTTTACTGGCTACGTGAGATGTCCGCTAGGGATCCTTCGGCAGAAAGAGCATGGCAAATCTGTGAGCATATTGTTGCGCTTTATTTCCCAAGTCTACTGGACTAATGGGCCTCGAGGATGAGAGCGTGAAATCCTTCTTCGCGTCGATATTCGTAGTCACGTCTAGATCATGTGATACGGAGCAACAAAAACCTGTAGTTATTTTGCAATACGTTGGCCGGCAATACGTTGGCCGTGTGAGGAGCCAGAAAATAGCCCACTTCAGACTCGATATATGCGGGAACACCGAATCCTATTATTTGGCACGGTCGTAGCATCAGATTATAGGGTGCTGATCCTGAACTCAAGAGCTTTCACAATATCAAGCACTACTTATTTCTTTCAATCGATATCGTTTCAGGACCGAGGCGTGCGAAGCGCGCGTCTTCCAGTTTTCTATGCTAGTCTTCGAGGAACCATATACCTTTTATATAGCCTGCTGTATTAACTCGCCTTTCTTATTAGACTCGTCTTATGACTATCCGTTTTCTGACGAACAGATTTGCTGTGAGATTTTCGGGGCGCCCGCTGTTTGGAGGAAGTTAACGACATTGTTGAAGAACTAACTGACAAATATGTATCAGGTAGCAAAACGAACCTACTAGAGAATGTGGAACATAACACCAAGTAAGGGGCATTGAAAAGCCTTTTATTACTGCAGTTCATGATCCGATATCTAATTTGCATATTGTAGAGGACATTATGGTTTGGCGATTGAGGTCTCGTAAACTATGGTATATAACATGGTAAAAATTGCGGGTTAGTGTTCTGTAGGTCATTATCTTTTAAAACAAGTCCATCGGGAAAATCGTTCAACAATACGGGCATTACTTCCCTTGTTAAAATGATAGTATACCTAAAGATTTTGGACTGAACTAATTAGTGAACAATGCTCGGTAAACGTATTATTAACTATAATACTACTAGGTGTTTTCCCTTCTCAGTAATCCTCTACATCTTAGGAAAAAGATAGAAATAGAATTAAGAAAGGAAAAAGCAAGAAATGTACAGTGCCTAGGATATTTTTATTTTCTGTGTTACTGCTTGTTTGTGAATGTTCACTAATCTGTGGCTTACTGTACATTATTTTTGAAACCATTTTGAAAAGCCATGATATTTCATGTCAAACTAAACCCCATGTTTAATCATGGGGCCATACTCGTACTTTCAGATCAAATTGAATATACAGGGTGGGCTTGTGGACAGAGTATGAAGGGGAGGATACATAATCTAAAATATTCCGACTCATCAATCCCATATGCTGTGGGGTTCATATGCCCGGTTCGTTCCAGGGCTCCCACCAACTTCCTTATCCCACCATCTTGCCAGCAAGCTGTCGTGAGATCTCTTCACGTGTTTTATCTTAATCCGCAAAGCTCAACCTTTCAAAGACATATTTGTAATCTGCGAGGGCTTACCTTCGTCTTACAGTTACCCTTCTGTTTATGTTATGTTACTTCCGGTGCTGAAGGTGGTTTATCCTGTGCCTGGGGCTGGTCATTTTTCTAGCCTTCCTTGAGCCCTTTTTCACTGAGCCATTCAAAGGGAATTGTAAGGTAGTCTTTTGTAATGGAACTATCTAAATCAGCAGCTTCTTGAAGGTATTTCTTTTTCTTTTATATTCTGGATTCACCCCCCGACCATGTCGTCACAGACCGATTTTTTTGTGGCATTTTTAAGAGTAGACTTATCAACTGCCCTTCAAAAGTCTGCCAAAGCCGACGGTTCCCTATAGGCTTATAGCCTCTGTGCCAAGCTGGTTTCTCGGCTGCATTCATCCGGTGATAGACAATAGAGCCAGCTAGTGGGTCGGTGTGGGCCGCTCGGATGGCGAAAGAAAATGAAGATGACAGCCGTGTTTAACAATCCACTCTGGGAAATCAAAAATTTAGATCCACAGGTCCCGCATCCCCACCAACATAATATAGATAGCTCGTAAGGTTCTCTCTGTATTGAACTTTAAGTAATGTCCGAGAACTTGTCTACCCTAAACTGTTCCTTATGATTCTGCGTCCTCTTGTTCCTGATCTTGATTTTGCTGGTGTAGAGGACTATCTATTATTTTCGGGTTTGGGCTTTTCTCGCCACTGAAGGTCCTGTTGGCATCTTTGTAGGTATTACTGGTATTGGAGACTGAAGCATAGCGACGCGAGATACGGTCACGTATAGGATGGGCTGCGCCAGTTTGAATTATACCATGATCAGTCACTCTGTCGGCTGCAGAGAGACCCAAATCACCCGAGTCAAAATACATCCGTTTCTTATGCTTGTCAGCTACTATAGTAGATCGTTGGCTTATGGAAAATATACCCTGGACTGCTGCCAAATCACCCTTCGCTGATGTTCGGCACATTGTCCTATACTCGACGCGCCTGCTCAGGCTACTGCTTTACCAAATTTTTGATTGGTAGATAACCTCGCTCAGTTAGACGCCCGAGTTCTTGGGCGTTGGACGTCGCCACCCCGCCGACCAAGCAAGCAAAGCTGAATGGTATTAGCCGCCCTGAACCTTATAGGTTAATAACATAGTAGAGCTAAGGCCAAAAGGTTCAAAGGCCAGGAAGTGCATGAAGATATTTTCCAATTGGCCATCGCCTGGACGTGAACGAGGCTGTATGTGTAGACGCTGATCTTCGGACGGCCGAGAATTCCTAATCTTATAGGCGTTCATTCTAGCGTAGCCTAGTCACCTTGCCAAATAAAGAAATAATAAATTAGGCGGGCTATGTCAATTGTAGCCAATAAATATTCTTATTGCCTCGTCCTAGCCAGAATTTCGTACATGCTGCATCATCATTATTTGTGTGGCTATGGCCTACCTGACAACATTTGAACTACAGCCGCGGTATCCTCTTCATTTATAGGCAGATCTATCTCTATAAGTGAGCCTCTCCTTGGCACAAAATTATTCCTCTAGGTGTTGAAAAGCTTATCCAGTATATGAAGCATAGCCTACTGGTCCCGGCGCAGCGAGGCTAATGTGGCTTGGCTTGGAGAGACATACATCAATACTCGACGAGTTCCTAGTATTTCTCAGATTTAATCACACGCTGCCAGTGCACAGCCACAAATCTAGTGATTCAGTAGAGAATAGCAAAATAATATGGTCTGCCTCGGTAAACAAGGCTGAATCCGATCTATCCTCTATATATAAATACGAAGTCCCCTTTGCGCTCAATATGTTCGATTTCAACCTCCAACATGCCCACTAAAACTCCCCCGAACGGTTGAAGTCTCAGTTCGGAAGATGAGATCCGATTTTTATATCTCGATCCTGCCAAATCCTCCGAGCCAGTAACCGCCAGACTTCTCCACTCCCCGCTCAGCTCGGCCCCCGCATTCAGCGCACTTTCGTATGCCTGGGTCCTGGAACCAGACTACGATGATCCTGACGAATATGATGCGCATAAACTAACGCCTTGCATTATTAGCATCCAAGATGAAAATGATGAAGTTTTCAATGTGACTGTGACTCACAATCTCTGGCTGGCTCTTGCCCACCTGAGCGAATTCTACCATGGTCCTTTATGGGTCGACCAGTTATGCGTCAATCAAAGCGATGAGTACGAAAAGTCCTTCCAGGTACGCCGGATGGACCTCGTCTACACTTAGGCAGTCCAGACATATCTCTGGCTGGGACCGTCAAACGAAATGCGCGCCTGGGGAATGGCCCAGATCCACTGGTTGGGTGAATTTTTGCATAATTCCGGTTTTAATGGAAGGGATAACGTCAACTTCGAAGAGGCCCAGATATTCAATCACTATGATGATCCGTCCTCACTTCTTAACGGCATATACGGCGTCATCAGACAGAAGTGGTGGGCGCGAGTTTGGGTCATCCAAGAAGTCCTGCTCTCTCGTGATCCAATCTTGATCTGCGGCAACGATTCCGTTCATTTCAACGCGGTCGTGTTAACGCTGTTTTTCCTGGATCAACTGATCACCCGGATCGATGCTGAATCTCGACCGGATCTCTATCAAACGACTGAGGCCATTCTGCTAAGAGCATCCCATTTTATTGTGCTATTGCAAGATATGCTGTCAGTTGATGCAGCAGAGAAACGGTTGCCCCTTTGGAGAATCCAAGCTATCGCTAGGACAGCTCCTGGATTAGACGCTTCTGACGAGAGAGATCGGTACTGGGGTATGTTGGGTTTGGTCAAGCCTGAGCACCGGAAATTCGTCCAGGTTGACTATGGCGAGGGCGTCAAGATGCACGCGGTAGAGTATAATATCGATTGGGCAATTAGACAGGCTGGATGGTAAGGTTTGGACTGGTTGTTGTTTCGGGGTGTGGGAATGTTGGGCTTGAAACTCTCCTATATTAAACTCTAGTCATCTTGGGCCTTTACTTGATTCGCAGTCGCCGCTGTATACCTACGCATAGTCCTAATATGCGTGCTCCCACTCTTTTGTTTTCTCCAGGTATTTTTATCGCCCTGTGATAATCATATTATTCAACTTCAGTTATGTTATAATATTGATCACCAGCAGTCTACTTCTTATTTATTAGCTGGGCGAAACGAACTACTACTGCATTATTCCCTCGATTTGGTAATTCAATATTGCGGGTTTTATTGAAATGATAGGAGTGCAACATTGATAATATATATTGCTGTCTTCGGGAGAAGCAGCGGAAAGAGATCCGCCGGGATTTTAGTCAGAATATAAGTGTGGAAAGTGCGAAATAGTGTGATATCAAAGATTGGCTTAGCCTCGCGATAACTCTGAGTTATCTCTCAATTGTCTTAAGGGATTGTCGCTGTGGTTCTCCTTAACTCCCGCGAGCGCAAAAGGGTCAGGTCATGTAGGCGCGTTCAGACGCCAAGGTGGACCGAAACTAGTCATGTGATGGGGTTAGCAAACCAACTGGCTCGTAACTTACAAGTTTTAATTACCAGCCTATCTGACCCTTTCATGCTTGTAACCAGCCAGCTTAATAGATAAATACCTCCAGTTAACGTAATCGGTAAACGAGCTGCGCACGCAATCGGGCTGCGCACCAACCGCTATATTGAAAATTAAAATAGTCAAAACACCATGAATTCAGACTTCTATATAGAAATGAGTAGTTCTATCGATTCGGGCAGTGCGTAATTTTATGGCCCTGTACACCACAGCCAAAACATTTAGGTGGGGCGCGCCTAGAAGCCGATTCAGTAGGCAGAGCCTTATTTGCCTGTATAGCTTCATCTACCTGATTTCGGCGCTCTTTAAGAATTCAGGCTTCAGATACTGATGTGCCTCCTTCAAAAGTAATCTGTTTGGTAGAGCGCTTTCGCTTTTTAATTTGCCTTTCATGTTCAGCCTGATATTACTCAAGTTAATACTTCTATAAGGCAGCCTTCCAGAAAGGCGGAGGCGTATCTCATCCTCAGAAAGAGCCTAGCAACGGATTAGCTCAGTGCGCGACAGTACGACTACGGTGGACATTGGTTTGTCCTGTCCTGATTCCATTTCGAAATGTGTAATGTACATTATTGTTAATAAAATTGTATTGCGTTCATCGCCCCAAACGTTAAGACGACAGATTTTGCCCCTCTATCGAAATAGCACAAACAGATCCATACGTCATCGTCGCCATTCGGTCCCATGGAATGTTGGGCCTTTCAAAGCTAGATCTCGCCAAATCGCAGGGTAGGTTTTCGACTCCGGACCCAAACCAGTCAAAGAAAAGAAAATGACGGTAATATATACATGGAGTACGCAGTCGCTCATTTGTGACAAGGGCGACGAGCATAGTGAATAGCAACACAAAATGTATCTCATTTGACGTATAGAGCAAATTATGCCACATCCGGTGGAGGACCGAACCCGTTCTCGACTGAGTTGCTGATTTATTAGGTTGGTAGTTCGTCATAGTGTGGGTTGGGTAGCTCATCTGTCATCATCTTTGATCATCTCGAAGCGCTAAAACCCCCGACTGGGCATTGTAGCCGAAGACGGGCAATTGCATCCAATGTTGGAATACCCTCGTTCCCCTGCACAGTTACATCTATTTCGGTTTGGGGAAGGGCTCAGGGCTAAGGCTGCTGGGGCTTCGTCATATTCCTCAATCAACACCTTTAGCCCTCCAACCCTCTCCACCTTAGTCCTTCTAGTCGTATGACTCAAATAATAATTAACTGCCTTCGTCTTTTCTATCTGACCTGTCAACCGTCACTAGCTGAGGTCGAGTTCCGCCTGGATCTTACCATGACTTGGCAGATATTTTCTCTAAGAGGGAATTTAATAGCCTTCCGCCCTGCAGGGGAGAATTGGAGTAGCTAAACAATGAATGCAGAGGAACTTGAAGCGGAAAGATAGTACCCCATTGACAATCTACAGAAGGTTTCTATATACGGTCTGGACTACCTTGTGCCGAGTGGTCCATTCTTACCCATCAACAAGCAAAAAGTCCTCGAACCTAAGAGTACCCACTCATCTGATCAAAAAGTTGTACCCTTCCAGTACGTTCAACTTATGAGCACAGTGCCCTTACCCCCTATAACTATGTCTTTTTGGACGGAGCTAAAAAGAAATACATGACGTACTGACTTATGAGAGAAAGAAAGAAAATAAAGTAACACCTGGTCAGCCTCCGGGTAGTATATTCTATATTGGGCCTTGACTAGCTAGCAAGCAGCAATGGGCGCGTTTACATCATCAATCTTTATGTTGCGAGAAAGGTTGGAGACTCTTCTTTTCGGTGGACTTTCGCTGGCTCAACCTCATCACGAGAACGTGCCTATTATCCAGCGCCTTTGATCGATTAGGTTTTGGAGAGCATATCTTGTGCCTAGGTCTGTAAAAAGCGGATAACTGGCAGGTTTTCACTGTATACTATTAAAGCAATAAATATTGTTGCCATCTGGTGCTTAGAATAGCTAGGTAACTGAAAAGGAAAGCCATGCGGCAAGTATACGCAAAGGTAAGCATAACTGAAGGGGATTGTAAGGCATATACTTTGTGTATCAATAGATCTTTAATCTTTTAGAAGGAAAATCACAAGGTGTCCGCATTACAGGTAGATTTGTTGCTTGAAGCATTTGTGCAATATTGGAATGTCCGGATAAGGCAGCCCGCAAGGCATCGCCATAATATCCACCCTTGGTGATGACATTAGCTCCATGCTGTAGTAGAATCTATACAATCTTCTTATGGCCTCCGGATGAGGCATCCTGCAATGTATTGCCATACTTTCCACCCTTAGTGTTGACACTAGCTCTGTGTTGCAATAGCATCTGTACAATCTTGTCATGTCCTCTGGATGAGGCAGCGTACAGTGCATTGCCATACCTTCCACCCTTGGTGTTGATAATAGCTCCGTGTTGTAATAGCATCTGTACAATCTCCTTATGTCCTCTGGATGAGGCAGCCTGCAATGCATTGCCATACACTCTATCCTGGGTGTTGACATTAGCTCTGTGCTGTAGTAGCATCTGTACAATCTTCTCATGTCCTCTGGATGAGGCAGCCTGCAATGCGTTGCCATACTCTCCACCCTGGGCGTTGACATCGGCTCCCTTTTGAAGTAGTAGCTCAGTAACCCCTGTGTGTCCATTCAGTGAGGCCCATACCAACGCACTTGATCCTGTATCATCTGCCTTGTTTGTATCGGTTTCTTTGGCAGTGAGCAACTTCTGGACCATTCGTGTATGCCCATTGAAAGCTGCCAAATGGATTGCATCCATCTTGGGCATTCGTTCAAACCCCATCGCAGCCCACCAAAATATTCGGAACCAAAGTATCCATCGTTCTCTGTCTCTGTTGTATAATTGATCTAACAAATCATCGAGCTCTTGTTGCTGTGCCATGGATACGTTCCGTATATGATCTGGCCAATGTACAGCCGAGTATTCCAGAAGACTTCGATGACCTATTTCTGTTTCTCCTTTACTTTCTTCTAAGTCCTCCATCAACAGGTATCGAACACAGACCTGAGCCATTAGACTCTCAGCGCCTGTCTGGTTGAAGGCATACATAGAATTGGAATTTCCGGTAAAATCCCTGCTGATAAGAAATTCCCTGGCTGTCTGGTGGATAAGGTATATCTTTGAATTATTGATAAAGACAAACAGACCACACAGTTGTCGTATCTTTCTGGCTAATTGCACTGGATTAATCCCAGCATTTGCTGCACTCCGCGACTTCGGGTACAACGCTATACCTAACGCCATAGCCATTTCTTGCGTTGTCAAGGGACGCCGTGCACCGACAATAATCTGAAGGATCTTTCTTACTGTATTGACTTGGTTGGTTGGAACACGAGCAAGGATCTTTCCGTATGCTGCATCCACGGATGGAGGTATTAATCGAATTGATTCCTCAGCTGGCCAAAGACTGTCTTTAAATGTGGTGCTGATATCGTCAATGGCTAGATATAACCAAAGATACGTGCGGTGTTCCATTTGAAGAAGTTGGTACTCAAGCCGTTGCTGTATATCAGATGATAGTAATGCAGTTTCAGCAAGCTCCTTTACTCGAATCCTTACTACCAGATTAACCTCTTCGCGGATTTGATGGTTTTCTTCCTCGCCTTTGAGATGTATGTATGGGAATGAATCCGTGATAGGTTTGAAGCTGTGCTCCACCTCATCATAGGGACGACTGGTTATCAGAAACTTCAGCCAGGTTCCCACGGTTAATGAATCAGTTCGATGGTAGAAGTCTTCGAGTCTCCGGATGAGTTGCCTTTGATCATCCGGATGACATTCATCAAGCGCATCGAGCACACATATAGTATTGGCTGATATGGGATCTGACATTACTGCTATAAAGATCCGCCAAAGTTCACCAGTCTCTTGCTGGAGTTTGTTCCCATTCCTCTCCCATGATGGCAGCGCATACTGTAGGAGATTCGGCTGTTGGCTAAAGAGCTGGTGAAGTACTGCACATAATGCTACAGCAAGATTGTTCTGCTCATCATTGTCCTTGAAAAAAAAGTAACAGATTGATACAGTTGGCCTCAATGCTTTGAAGCCATCGTCAATAAGTGATTTGGCCAGAACGGATTTTCCACAACCAGGGTCGGCTGATATCCACAGAAGATCATTGCAGCAACTATTCCGCCAACGGCGATATTGTGGATTCTGTAAAACCCATTGGCATGTCCCTGGAACACGACCAGGATTGATGTTTTTATGCTGCTCGTAGTTAGATATCTTGAATACTTGATGACACTTTTGTTGTTGATCAGTCAAGGCTCTAGCTGTTTGTTCGCGATAGTGCTGTTCCTGTTGGTTGAATACTATATCCAGTCGTTGATTTGTGCCTTTGACTTCTTGAGTTAAATTTTCTATGGAGCCTATAGAGCGATAAGTAAACCATATGTTCTTCTGAATATTAGGCTATTTGGATATTACCTACTGCATATATCTACTGCAAGATTCTCTTGCGAGACTTGACCCCGGGGCACATATTCCAGCAACTCCTTGGCATAGGCTGCCGCCGCCAAAGCAGCGTAACCTTGCCACTGCTTGTTCTTGTGCGAATCAGAGTAATCGCAGATGCCACGGATAACAATGCAAGGGAAGTCTAACATCAAGCCTGCTGCCTCCATCTCAAAACACAGTGCCCCAAGTTCCAAGCGAAGCTGTTCTCTTGTGCAACCGTGTTTGATAACAGAATTTCCTGAAGCAATAATACCATAGTGTAGCAGCGGATCCTGACCATCCCGTTCACGTCTAGTCTCTTCCCATTCTCTTGGACATGTATCACAGTTCTTCGCAGTAGCAGGATGTTCGCGCTTGGTTTTGAATAATCGATCGCTTTGTGAGCTGGGTCGGCCAAAGTTTGCCTGCGTCCGTCTGGTCCTCCTGATCGCTCTTTGAAGATATTCCGGGTACCGGGGATCATCAGTTAGCTCAGCAGCCCTTATATTATTAACTGCTGTTAACAATGATCTAGGAGGACTGTTCAAAGAGCCAGTTCGGCAAAATACACCGTCCGCAGTGACCTTGCCCATATCATATTGAACCACGCCTCCACAACTGCCTGTCTGGCAGCTAATCACTATATCACCAAGCCGTATATCATGATCTGTCGATGGGATGCCTCCCCCAACACCAACCATCAGACCAATCCGTAACGATTTTGAGAACGTACGGACCATGTTATTTGCGACCGTTGTAGCTGCGCAGGCTCCATATTGTCCACAGGGCAGGCAGGCGATCACGACATGGTGTTTTCCAATGCGACCCAATCTATAAGAGTTTGTATCTGCAGCATCTTGCTGTTCAAATATTCCAAAGTCCTCATCAAGCATTTCTTTGGCTGCGGCCGCCTCGATAGGTAGGGCACAGACCCAACCGATCTGAAATTCCTCTCGTGCAGGACAAGGCATGGTTGTTATGTGGCACGACCAAGACGAATTTCTGCTCTAATCTGACGTTGACGACCAAAGACGGATGTTAATAGAACAGTTGAAAGGCAGAAGCAGAGGGGCTGTCAAATCTGACATTGCTGAAGAGGAGCTAGAGTGCATAACTATTAGCCACTAAAGCTCAGCCTTGTGCTGCGCACGAGGCATACGCTGGGCGGTAAAAGACGAAACACCATTGGCCGCACTGAGGCTGCCTTGCTTCCTTGTCACCTGCTTAATAAGAGAAAATCCATTTTAGCATTTTATATTTGCCCAATGGGATCTGTATATGTCCGAATCCTCCTTCGATTTCGCAAAGAAACAGGATACGGTATGCCGATCTTAGATAAAGTGGAAATTTCAGATGCTCTAGACTAAGCTTGCAATCCGAGCTTGCATCTACGTGATGATCATGACACACGGAAGGTCTTGAAAGCTCAATCACCGGACCTTGAGCAGTTTCATCCCAGTGCAAATCTTATTCGCTGTTGAAAGCGGTTACAGTGCAGTGAACAGAAACAAAGTCAAAGCACTGGCAGGGCTCGACTGGTCTTTAGATACGACGATAGGTATGGCACATAGCTCATTCGTGAGAAACATATAGTAGCATTGGATGCGAATACTAAGTTTGAGAACGGAGAAGAAGAAAAAGAAGAAGAAGAAGAAAAAGAAGAAGAAGAAGAAAATGAGAAATCGAAGTCATTATGAAAACTGATTGCCCTCTAAACTCCCATCTGCGGACTCGAATTGTTGAGAAATTTTCGAGCTTGCCTTTGGAGCTTATCGGCCCGATGCCTTTCTGCAGGCAATCCGAGCACGCATGCCCGCACTTCTCTGGAGCATTTTTGTATTGTCGAATCCGCGGCAGTGACCAAGCCAGGCATTCCTGAGCAGCCTAGGTATGCTTCGACCTGCGTTTGGAATAAGCTGACTGAGGGAGCTCCACTGTCTGATGGTTCCTTCTGCTGGTGACAAAAGTACATTTAGCGCTGAACACGCATCTCGTCTACAATGGTCAACAACCACTGATCTACTATTGAGGGTCCGGAGTTAAGCAATGGATCCCCTCAACACCTTGCAAAGACGTCCGACTTGGATCGAGTGAAGAACGGAGTGTTGCCAGAAAAGACTGTCAGATGCTAGCAAGCACTGGAACGACTGTGACCAAATTTTTGGTCTCCCAGACGGGCTATGTATGTCGATGACTGGGCAGAACTCTACATGCGTGGCTACGATCCAGGGCGTTTATAGCAGATGGATTCATTTAAGATATACTTTAGATATAGCAACCTGACATTTCCAACTGAACAATGGCACTTAGACTATTTTTCTTCTTTTCCCTTCCTTGATTGGCTGCTCCTCCGGGACAGTCTTTGACTCTCCAGGTTCCAAACTCCAACGCCTTTTCCTTATCACATAATTAGAGCGAGGTTCCTCGATCGAGTGCATGTCAAAAAGGTGATGCCGAAAGTCTAGGACACTGCTATACTCCTTCCCAGAGTAACAGGGATGATAGCAAGTAACTGGGTTACCTGACAGCAGCTAGAAGAGATACCTATCAATATAATTCAAGAGTGTGGCCTTGTTTAGCTATTGCTTGAAACACTCATCCGGTCTCTTGTTACCGTCCCCTAGACAGAAGGGGCAGAATCCAGGAGCTACAAGAATGTAGCAGAATATCAGCAATCTATATCAGATTTTAGATTGGCTAAATAAAGAATACAGTGCTGGTTCCAGTCTTCTTTGCTGTATAACAGCTGCATGTATAAGTAGCAAAACTGTATAAAGTTTTGTTAGATATAGCAGTAAGCTCTCTTGCTATTCTTATAGCACTATTAATAAGGAGCCTCATTTAATGCCTTTCTCTAATATTATAGAATATGCTTTGCGTGACCTTGTAGTCACTGGGCAACACTAGTAGCTTGTCAGTCCCTATAGCTTTTAAGGTAATGCGAGGTGCAAACCTCCTATGGATTTTTGGCAGACCAGACATTATCTATTAATAGGGATTAATCCAGGATAGTACATAACTCTCTTGGTTAATATACAGAGACTAACCATGTCCTAAAGGCATTATTTTCCTATCTCACTATTAATAGATATCTCTTTGAATAGGTTTTTGTACAGGCAAGTTCTAGTCGGGATATATTTGGCATAGATCTTGAATAGATTTGTTATATCATGTTCAGTGAATTCTTTTCTAGAGATATATTCTTTATAGTATTTATTCTATTATTATAAAATATATTTAGATTACTTTTCCTGAAGCTTTTTTGCTTTCTGTGTATACAGCCTAGATTATTCTTCTGCCAGTGATTTATAAATACTGAGCTAACCTGCAATCCTTCATGAAAGGTCAGCAATCCTTATATTTAGGCCAATAATTTCCTTATTATATTCAAACTTGAATAGTGTTGCGGTGTCAAGGCAAAAAGGGACATTTAGATCATGATAATATACCATGCTCTGTTCCATGTCTTGACACTCATAATCTGGTTCCATACCATACATTAAAGCTTGCATATCCAATGCCTTGAGCTGAGCCTGATATTTGAGGAATGTGTTATGGTCTTGATGGTCAAGCGCTTGGCTGCGCGTAGCTTCCGAGGCTTTGGCTATATAATTGATCAGCACCGGACAGACAACTATGCAAAGGTGGGGAAATCAGAAAGCAAAGGAGAGGTAAATAAATGTAGTGGGCGGAGTCAGCTTATGATCTACCCTGTTTGCGAGCTCAGCTCTGATTCCGTGGACGCGTAGTTGGTCCTCGAATCCATCTCTTTGCGCTAGACTCGTGAAATTGTGTCTCAACAAGGAGAATGTCTGTCCTTTGTCTGCTTTTGGTCCCTTTGGAGTGACCGTTCAAAAAAATGGGAGCTCTCTAGCGGTCTTAGTCCACTGCAGAGTCCATGATTCTCTGTTCTCCGGAGGTCTTTGGGCCAGTAACTCCTCAACAGAGGATATGCCTTTAAACGCACGATCCACAATGCTGTGGACAATGACCCAAAAAACAAAATTCATTACAAGGATTGGATACTCCCTGAACCAAGTTTTTGGCCTAGTAGCACGGTAAGCCCCAGATTAAATAACAGTAGCCTTGAGAGTAGGGTTGTGTAGGAAATGAAAGAAGGGAAACAATCTACAAAGTTTCATCGTCCCGGTAGCGCCATCCTTTAAGGAATTTAGGATCAATTATTACCCATCTCTTCACTGTCCCAGCCTGGTTACTCCATTTTATATGGAATGAGAGGTGCTTTGCATAAGAGTCAGAGAACTGAACCTTGGAGCAGACATCACAGGCACTAACCTTATAGTAGAGACATTCATTTATATTTCGATAAGAACTTGATTCTACAATTGCACCAGCTCTGGATCCTGAACCTATAAAGAGAGCAAGCTCACTTCCAGTTTGGACTCATGCCCGTTCATGCACATAGTCATGTGTATCGTCCCCAAATAAACGGCGAAGCAGGTATTCAATATCCTTGGCTGTAACTACGAAGCGTGCCCTTGGTTCCGTTGGAAGGGCATACTTGCTTGTTAGATCATTTCGTATGAACTAAGCAGAACCATATTAGCATTAATTCTGACAACAGGTGTGTTTAGATCACATACATTAAGGACATCTTTCTTCGCTTCCATAGGGAGACTCCTGGACGTCTCACGCTCCCATCTCGACGTGAAGCTGGTAAAAAAGCAGCATGCTGTCTTCTGCGAGGGTACATTCTTTTTTCGGGTAGCGATGTAAAACTCCACAAAAAGCTTTAGGATTTGCGGAGAGGGATCTGGCTCATCCTTAGAGAAGCTTTTTTGTTCCACTCTCCTTGCGAGAATGTCTCCATCTAAAGATAAAAGAGTTAAGAGTTACCTCGCTAGGCTTAACTGGGGATGGATACTTACAAAGCCCACTGGAGTGCTGCTTGATCATATTTTTCACAAGTCGCCGGTGCAAGGTAGAGATGTCAAAATATTCCTGTAAGCGATATCGCGCGGCGTCTGCTAACTTGATGGTACATTGTGCCCCTAGCAAGATGTAAACAGAGACCAACCGCTACCAAAGTATGGTTAAATGCTAAATTTGGCGCTGGCTTGGTGACTGCAACTCCCCAGTGTGCTGGAAGACCGTGCAATAGGTAGATTTCTTGTCATATACCAGCTCAAGATATACCTCACTATTCCTGCTGTCTAATATCCATCATCGGATGATAAGAATATGTCAGAGCCTATGGGAGCCTAAGGCAGCAACCACGTGACCTGACCACAACACCAAGGAATCTCTGTATGATAGATTTAGACCTGAAGACAATCAATCCTGATATGAATCTATAGGAGACACGTGATCGCCTAGCGGCTTGGCCGGATCACCCACTCCTTCAGCCCCTGAGGGCTTTACCCATTAGTAGTTGAGGAAGAGAAGAAGAAGCGCAAAAGATAGTTGATATAGTCGTCCATAGAATTGAGCACCTACCAGAATGGCATCCGGTCCTCAGTAGGCTACGTACGTGTAGCTGATACAGCCTCATCCTGCCCATCTTTCCCCTGAGATCACAACAAATCCCATACACGTGTGCTACACCAGCTCCATCAGAATATGTAATAGATATATACAATGACATCAAGGCTTGCACTGTCTAAAATCTAAATCATCGGTGATATGTATAATACAATGGACCAGCTATATGCCAATTCTCCCAATGCTATTTAATGCATATAGCCGAAAATCAGTCATTGTATCCGCTCGAACCCGGAGCTATATACTTAGTCCTATAAACCAGAGCAAGTGCTCGGGAATACCGTGTATATTGAAGAGTAAGTCCATTGACAAGCGGCTACATCATGTATCTCTACCAGTAGTTGTGTCAGACGTAGCCAGTAGCTATAAGTTAGACATTACGCGCTGACGACGTTTGTCCAACTACTCCGACTGGTGAGCCAGAGACTCGGGGCTCCACATTTAACTAGGCCTCTCACGTATTAATAAATGAGCTTGGCAATGCTCTATTTCTACTCCTGCACGAGTTAAGCAACTGGGGACGGAGGTATGCGATAAGACACTACTACCTGGTGAATTACGTCTTGCTCTAAACCCGGCCATGGGTTACGGCAGCTGGCGTATTTCATCGGCTGGTGAGTCGCGCATAGCCTCCTTTTGTCTTCTCACAGGAATGGATACTGATGCAATTCTACACGGCTGACTTCTACTGATTCAGCCCTTGACCCGGAATACTCGGAAGTTTCGAGGCTTGCCACCCAATAGCGTCCTAGATAGGAACTATCTCGTTCTTAGAGGTGTTGAACGATTGGCCATTGAAAAGAGAGGATATAAAGACTATAGAGGGGGTGGTGGAGGAAGTAGCGTGGGTGAGGAAGGTGGAAAAGTGGTAATCAATCTGCTTCCTTGCCGCAAAGGAAAGCAGATCAAATTACTGATGCTGCTGTGGCGGAGACTTCGAAAAGTTTAATAAGCTGGTGACCGCTCTCCTTGGGAGTGTAGTGAAAAGATGACCATGACCTACTGATCTCTGTGACGGTTTATGCAGACAAAGAGGCATTTTACATGTTCTTGCAGGTGGTGAGCTGAATGCAGACGTCTTCAATCTTACGCGCCAGATTCTAGCAGAGGAGTGAAGTCTCAACTGTATCCGTTGTTTGCTTCATCTGCCCTCCTCACTATGTAAAAACAACATTTGACCACCAGACCAAGGATTGTTTGTATGCTTATGATGGATTAGATACCAGTGTTTCATGTACCTCCGTTTATGAGACCTCTCAGATTCGTAGATCTTTCACTGTCAGTAATCTTCCCAGACCCGGAAGCGAGCAAGTATTCAAGCATTTACATGATCTTATAACACTAAAATTAACTATCTTTATTCCTGTACACTGTCTATGAGATGGAACAGACTCCACTTTTTGTTAAAGTGCTGCCTAGCATGTACCTCATCGATTTATTTTCTGACCTGCAGTGAAAATAGTCATCTGGCTGACTTAAATCTGATACTGTTATATTTTGCCTATCCGGACAAAATCGAAAAAAAGAACTAATTTTACCTGTTGTATCTCTGTATACCGCTTTACTGGCCGCCTTTACCTATCCCTAACTAGCGGTGTAGCTTTCTCAATTATTCTTCATCAGCTCTAAGATATCAAAATTTATCATGCCTCGCCCCTCTATTGATCTTGAGCCCTACAAGGCTGAGATTATAGATCTGTATGAAAGCCATACTTCTACCTCTTCCCTTTCAGACCTCCTAGCTCATCGATATGGGGTTCAAGTGACTTCTCGTACGATTGATGACCGCTCGGTGGTTGAAAACGTTAATTTATCAAATACAACATGCCCGCTTTAGTGCGGCTTTCCAAACTGCAAACTGCTGAGAAACACGCTCCAAAAGAGTGAAAGCATCGAACCCATTATGGAAAGCGGGATAGCTGGGTTTTGCAAATCCGTGGCATGCCCCTGTGGTATAATCCATGCCACGAAGAACGCTAGCAAGGGTGAAACACAGACAAAATTATAGAAAATAATCCGATGTAGACTGATGGTTTCGCGAGCAAAGATCCCCCAAAAGTCCTCTCGCCTGTCGCCTGCTTCTTCCAGTTCGGTCCTTTTCTTTGGGAGGAACTTCAGGATGTCAGAGGAATGAGCCCCCAGCCTTTTACATTTGTGGTGTAAGTGGAGTAGTGGTCGTGGTTTGTGACAAGCATAGAAACGTTTGGTGAACTCGTGCTCGGAGATTGGGGGAATGTTGTCCATCGGTCTTGGCTGATACTCGTACTCGGTGTTCGCATGGTCAGGGAATGCATCTTTAATTTTAGGTGTGAATTCGTGGTCATCAAACTTCTCAAACTGTGATTTATCTACTCAATCAAAATCCTTGGAGTACCAGACTGAGGCACTCACCTTGTAAAAGTCACAATGAGAGTACCTCCAAACGCTGAGCCAGCCTCGTAGTACACCTCTAAGGCGGAAATACTCTTCTTTCAGTGTACCGAAGAAGGTATGGCAGTTCAGGTCGCCCACGCAGATTTGTGCGAGCCTATAATTTTCACCCTGTTTTACGAGGAAGAGGACGCGGTGCTGGGTGATACTCATATCGGGGGTATTGGCCTTGAGCCCCGAGGGACGATGATGAAGCGAAGTATCAGACGAAGAGCTATCTAGCTGCTGACTTCCATAACCTTGATAGGATGCCTGATTATAAACTTGACTATTAGTCGAGGTGCTGCCAAGGACCGAATTAGATTTAGTATGTGCTCCTAGAGAAGGTTGCATATTTTGGGTTGCCGCAGTGTCCTTAGGAAGACTTCTGATTACGGACTGAAGGCGTTTGACAAAGGTATTTGGTACTTCTGCCCACCGCTCTTCGCGACATGTCTGCATTACCGATCAGGGCCTGGACCTTGTGTAAGGCTGGACATAAATGAATACTTACACACTTCCACCGTAAACGCGACTCTGATTCTCCCAGTGGTCTTAGACAACGAGGTAATGGCCACCAATCCCAACGCTCTCCGGTCCAGTGCTCAACTAAATGCTGGTAGTTGCTGATGAACCTGACAAATTGAGAACTATCTTGATCACAGTCAAATTGAATCTCGTGGGGATTCACGTGCTGCAACTCTGTGACAAGATTACGCAGCTTATACCGCGCAATATCACCATGGTTCTTGTGTTCTGGAATTGACCACTTTGTCACCAGATCACGAAGTCGAGAGTGCAGCGAGGGCTGGACAAACCCTTTGAGCTGACGACGAAGAATTTGGTAGGCGGCGCTTTCCAAAATGAAGTTCTTCATTTGATCCAAATGTTGTAAAGTTCCCTCATACGGCTCATCTTCGCCAGCTTCCTCTGCCACGGAGTCTTGGTCACTTTCCTCATCATCATGATTGAATACTTCGATTACGCCACTTGCCTGGGGAACAGGGCGACCCCTGTGTAGATTTTGAAGAAAATCTTCCACTTTCCTTTTATGGCCTGAGCTTTTTTCAACTGATGCGATTCTATGTTCTGCCTCTAGAACGGGAGGCTTGATGTTTCGCTCTTCGTGAATGGGTGCCATGGCAAAAAGCTCGCGGGTGATCATGGCTGAATATGAGCTTACAAAGCTCCTGAGGTCTCGGTGCAGTTCGCTGAGGATATCTGCCTTAAGATTATTCGCAAAGTGTTTCAGCAATCTTCGAAAGTTGTTTTGCATCCTTTCAAATCCAATCCGCTGCTCTGATACGCCGAGTAAAAGGAGCGAGAGCAGAATGCCGTCTTCATGCAGCAGGGTCGCAAACTCCTGAATGAGCAACGAATTTATTTTCCCCTTTCCAGATTCAAATGATCTGGTGCTGGGAATGGATACAGGAGCAGAAAAGACTGAATCATTTTCAATAGAAGAATCGGAGTCCTCATAATGCACAAAGTCGGGATGCGTTGGCTCTAGCACCTGCTTGCTAGTTCCCATCACCTGCACCAGTAGATCTTTTGCTTCTTTCCATCGTCCTTGGTTCTTGTACAGAGATGCGAGGGTATTTATGCTAGTTAATATGTCAGGATGCTTTGGCCCTAGCACCTGCTTGCGAGTTTCTATTACCTGCACCTGTAGGTCTTCCGCTTTCTCCCATTGTCCTTGATTCATATATATAGATGCGAGGCTGTTCATGCTGGCCAGAGTGTCGGGATGTTCTGGCCCTAGCATCTGCTTGCGAGTCTCTATTACCTGCACCAGTAGATGCTCTGCTTCTCCCCATTGTCCTTGTATGCTGTGAAGAGATGCAAGGTTGTTTATGCTGGTCA